TTGTGCCTCCCTAGCAGTTCTTTGCGCACCTGAGCTCTCCTTAGCGGTCCAGCAACTCATCGAAAACATAAATTCTATCACCAAAATTATATTTTTTCTTAAAATAATACATTTTTTATCTATTAACTTACTACAATATAATATAAAAATGCCCTAGGAAGTAATTTAAGGTCCTTTGTGCCTCCCTAGCAGTTGTTAGTGCACCTGAGCAGTCCTTAGCGGTCCGGCAACTCATTGAAAGCATAAATTCTATCACCAAAATTATATTTTTTTCTTACAATAATACATTTTTATCTATTAACTTACTACCATATATTATAAGAATGTTCTAGGAGGGATTTGAAGGTCCTTTGTGCCTCCCTAGCAGTTGTTAGTGCACCTGAGCAGTCCTTAGCGGTCCGACAACTCTTCAAAAACATGAATTTTATCACTATAATGATATTTTTCCTTAAAATTATACAATTTTTATCACTAAACATACTACCATGTATTATAAGAATGCCCTTACAGGTATTTTAAGGTCCTTTGTGCCTCCTTAGGAAATATTTTAAGGTCCCTAGCAGTCCTTTTCGCACCTGAGCAGTCCTTAGCGGTCCGGCAACTCATCGAAAGCATAAATTCTATCACCAAAATTATATTTTTTTCTTACAATAATACATTTTTGTCTATTAACTTACTACTATATATTATAAGAATGTTCTAGGAGGGATTTGAAGGTCCTTTGTGCCTCCCTAGCAGTTGTTAGTGCACCTGAGCAGTCCTTAGCGGTCCGACAACTCTTCAAAAACATGAATTTTATCACTAAAATGATATTTTTTCTTAAAATTATACATTTTTTGTCACTAAACATACTACCATGAATTATAAGAATGCCCTTACAGGTATTTTAAGGTCCTTTGTGCCTCCTTAGGAAATATTTTAAGGTCCCTAGCAGTCCTTTTCGCACCTGAGCAGTCCTTAGCGGTCCGGCAACTCATCGAAAGCATAAATTCTATCACCAAAATTATATTTTTTTCTTACAATAATACATTTTTGTCTATTAACTTACTACTATATATTATAAGAATGTTCTAGGAGGGATTTGAAGGTCCTTTGTGCCTCCCTAGCAGTTGTTAGTGCACCTGAGCAGTCCTTAGCGGTCCGACAACTCTTCAAAAACATGAATTTTATCACTAAAATGATATTTTTTCTTAAAATTATACATTTTTTGTCACTAAACATACTACCATGAATTATAAGAATGCCCTTACAGGTATTTTAAGGTCCTTTGTGCCTCCTTAGGAAATATTTTAAGGTCCCTAGCAGTCCTTTTCGCACCTGAGCAGTCCTTAGCGGTCCTGCAACTCAGCGCAGGTAGGTAATAGAAACTATGTTGTGTTATTGTTTGCATGCGTTTATTTGTACCTACCCCTTTTAAAATTGATATTTTACCCGTGGAATTTTGTGTTGCGACATCTCGTACGACTAAGCAATTTTGTGACAGAAGTGAACGGTTTTGAATAAATTTCTTTAAATTGGCTAAGGGAATCAGAAAAGAGTTAGTGTTTATCAATTGTGGATTATATAAGCTATGCAACGCAGTATAGTTTTTGGATTTTTTTTATTTAATTAGTGGAAAATCTCGCATGAATTTGAGGGTGATCGAAAATTCTCTATTTAGCGAGTAATGCCCCTTGTCTATATTTATATACATATTATAAGGTTATGACTAAAATCTCATTTTAAGGTCACTATCAAGCAGTATATACCATCCAAACACTGTGTGGACCCCCTGTGATATCAGAAATTTCATTTCTTGTTTTTTTTTGTAATGCATTAAAACCACAATTTTAGACCAAAATATATAATTTTGTTTTAACATTTTGCCATGTCATATATGAGTATGAAATTACTAAATTTTATGTCACTTAGCTTCAGAAAATCAATGCCATTGACAAAAAAATAAAAGAGTGCCAAATTTTCCACTTTTGTTTTCAATCCAATAGATTTTGTCTACTTTTTTGTTATTATATACAGTAATTGTATTATCGGCGCAACTCTATAACTGACGTACTCTCAGTATTTGTGTCATGTGCGGTCATATATACGGTGAAGTTAAAAATATTAGACCTCATTCAATGAAACATGTACGATACAGGGGTTTTTTTTGGCCGATTTTATAGCCGTTATTCGGTCATATTCCCAATTGAAAATAGTATGTTTTTTTCCCAATTTTGATACAAAAATTCCCAATCGGAAACTTAAATTTTTTTTTTAAAAATCGATCTTTGGGGAATGTAAAATTGTGCGAATAGCCGGCGTCTAAACAACCCATGTGTTAAGTAGATGCTTGATTTCTCAGTAGATCTATAAGTTTATCGAGAGTCTAACTATATCGACGACCTTCGAAAGTGAAAGTAGATCAAAATGTCTCACATTTCAAAATATTACGTTAAAATTTTTTAAAAAAAGCACTGATAAAGACAGAAAAATTGATTTAATGTTTAAGCAAGCGACTCTCATATGAAAAGAGTTGTAATTCGGAAACGGTAACGGCCAATGAAACTGCAAGTACTAGTGAGAAATTGCCTTCAACGGTGGCAACATTATCATCATTACCACAATGATGTTCCTTCTCGGGGTTTTAAAAGTTCTAGCGACGAGTCTAAGTCAGATACATTTGTCCCTGTCACTGATCAAAGGTTATGTAGTTCCAACAAATATGAGTTGAAGTATGAATTGTTGTATTATAGTGGTGCAAAAGTTGGGTATTGTTGCAAATTGTGCAAGCTTTTTTCAGCTACAGATGAAAACATCTTCATAAATGGTACAGGTGATACAATAACACAGTTTAAAAATAAGAAAACCAGAGACCTAATTTTGTGAAGACAAGGAATATGATATTATTGCCTCAGGAAACTTGAAAATGTTTTTGTTTTTTTTCTCAATTTTGGGCAAAATGCCGCTAAAATTCCCAATCTCAAGGGTATGGGTCATGTTCCCAAAATACTGGAAAAAAAACCTGGATAAATCGATAATGATTAGTTGAATTTTTTCTGCTTTCCACAAAATATTCGTTATTAAAAATAAAAATTCAATTCCGTACAGACATACAGAAAATGTTAAGTACGCCGATAATAGGGAGTCCCATGCTAATATGATCATGACATGAGTAATGTATATCGAAATCACCAATTTCAGCACTTATACTCTAAAAAAGTGAAGTGATATTTTGGAATTGTGATTGATTTTTATACTATTGCAAATTTTAGTGGGAGTTCTGAAGCTATCATGATCTTGATGGATTTCAGGGCAAAATGCTCAAACCTAACTGTTAAATGACAAACCATTCCGGGAAAATTATACGAAAGCAGATTTTCCAAAATTATTATTGATATGTTGTGGACAAAAATGTGGTGATGCATTGGTAAAATCACCCTTTAAACTACAAATCATGATTGTCCTGCTACATGAAAGTTGTAAAATGTTTTTTGTCATTATTTGACTGATTTTAAAGGAATAATTAATATCTTATTCTACTGTAATTTTTTTTTTTTTGTTATCTATTAAAAATTTCTGACTTTAATTTAATGTCAAATTCCTAGAGGGGTCATAGACATGACACTAGCCTTCAGAGACAGCTATGAGATGCAAGGAATCCGGGAACCAGTCCCTAGCTCTTATTCAATAAAAAATTTCCGATCGAGAAATTCATTTTAGTGGTGTTCAACTGCGCACTTTTTGCCACGTCACTACTGATTCTTGGCTTACTTCTGTTAGCTATGTAAAGCGAACCAACTTCGTTTATGTTCCGTTTTCAATTGTCAAGTATCGTATCGTAGTAACCGTGGAAAATGATTTTCATGTACAGCAGGGAAAAACAATAAAATAAATTATGACACAATACTTGTATTGGAAGCATTAAAGATAAGAAAAAAACATCAAAATTTGAAAAATTTATTCGAGCTTATAAAGTTGGTTTTGGGCGAGTAACTTCTCAAATGTAACTGGCCCGAATGGCCAGTAACTTCAAAATGTTAATTTTGAAGACTGTAGGTAGGTTGGCAACACTGAAAGTGTCTCTGAAAATCCCAAGGGTGTTACCCAGGAATGAACCCGGGACTTCAGGAGTGATGGTCAGTGGTCTAACCAACTAAGCTATCGCGCCACTGGAGGTCAATTTTAGGGAGAAGTGACTTCTTTGCAAACCGTAACATGTAACAGTACATGTATGCAATGTTACACAATGCATGTACGATTTTAAAGTTGTCCAACAGAAGTCTACGTGTCAATAAAGCTGATGATCTAAGCAACAAACTGTGGTCTACTCTAGTCAGAAAAAGCCAAATTGGCATTGCTGCAGCAACAAAATGTAACTGAATCATTAGCTCAACAATTGCAGTTTCTTAGTCTGTTTAATATTATTTCAATAGAAATAGATATGTACCAATAAAAGTTTCTTATCAACTGTAGGAAAAATCATCAGTGTTATTAATTGTGTTAACAGAATGTCACTAATATAAAATGGTAAGATGTACAGCCATAGATGTTGGATTCAATGCCCACATAGGGTTGTATATCTTTTCCCTAATATTCACGAAAAAAGTTACTTCTCCCTAAAATTTCCCTCCAAGATGAACCCTGGTGTAAACATTACATAGATGACACCTCACCTGTCACTTTTAATCAGCAAGTTAACAGGGTTGCATCATGCTAACCTTATTTGGCAGTTGCTACGTCACAGTCATGCATATCTGTGTGTATCATGTGTATATTGTTTGTGCATCAATTTGTGCATTAATCTGGCTGTATACTAGACCTGTGGATGTCCCCTAGTAACTCTGATTTGTTGTTGTTTTTTTTATGATTTGAAAATTCCTAGTTAGACAGACATGGGCCTTTTTGTTTATTCTTATATATGGAATTATCTTATTCCCGACATGGTATTGACTTTTTTTTGTAAAAATAAGTAAAAAAGTTATTCAGATTTATGTAAAACGTTGATGCATGATACATTGCAGTGATCCAGAGAAAGCAGAAAGATGGGAGCATTTTTAGACAAGCCAAAGACGGATAAGCATAATGAGGGTGGTGTAGGAAATGGATTGAAATATGGTCTAGCCAGTATGCAAGGCTGGAGAGTTGAGATGGAAGATGCTCATACAGCAGTAATTGGACTACCAAGTCTGAAGGACTGGTCATTTTTTGCCGTCTTTGATGGTCATGCTGGTGCAAAGGCTTCGGCCATGTGCTCCGATCATCTGATGGATCATATCATATCAAATGGTGACTTTCAGAAAATGGATTTAAAATCTGGCACTGAAACGCAGCCCTCGTTAGAGGCTATAAAATCTGGTATTAAAACAGGCTTCCTAAGTATGGACGAGAAGTTAAGAAATACGCCAGAAGTGCTTAGTGGTCAGGATAAGAGTGGTTCTACTGCAGTTGGTGTGATAATTTCTCCTACTCACATTTTCTTTGCTAATTGTGGAGATTCTAGAGCAGTTCTATCAACATCAGGCAAGTGTGCATTTTCTACAACAGATCACAAGCCCATCAACCCAATAGAAAAAGAAAGAATACAAAAAGCCGGTGGCAGCGTGATGATACAGCGAGTTAATGGATCTCTGGCTGTGTCACGAGCCCTAGGGGATTTTGAATACAAAAATGTGGAGGGAATGGGCCCATGTGAGCAGCTAGTTTCACCCGAGCCAGAAATCTTTGTTCAGGAGAGAAACCCAGGTGACGAATTTCTTGTTTTGGCTTGCGATGGCATCTGGGATGTTATGACCAACGAGGAACTTTGTGACTTTGTACGCAATCGACTTCAAATATCAAACAGTATGGAAAATATTTGTAACCAAGTCATAGATACTTGTTTATATAAGGTGAGCTTCATACCTTTATTTCTAGGAAACATGTCCCAAAGAATGCAATTAATTGTTGTTTTTTATGTGGATCTGGAGATCAATATTATGATTAAATTTTCAATAAGTCTGTGTAAGCTTATTTTCATAATAACTTACTGGAAATTCACTGTGGAACTATTAAACATGAAATTTATTTTATAGTGATACAGCAATGATTACATTTCTAAATCATTTGGCGGATGAAAAAGTTCATTTTTTACGTAGCCATTTGAAATAAGGTTAGTATAATTCACAAAAAGCTAAGCATATGGTCAAACTTATTTGAAAATGTTTTCAGGGTAGTAGAGATAACATGAGTATTGTTGTAGTTACTTTCCAAGGAGCTCCGAAAGTTTCAGAAGAAGCCATCAAAAAAGAAGAAGAGTTAGATGCAAAAATTGAAGCTAAAATAAAAGGTAACTTTGAAACAGATTTAAAACAGATATATATGAGTATGTTTCTAGATTATGTACGAATGAGAGCTGAGGGAATGATGCTTATCTTGTACAAAATCTTGCCTTTTACATAGAAACCTTATAAAATCATGCTATATATAAAGTTTATGTAAACATGTATGTTCATTCCTAGTCAAATCTTCAATGAGGACAGCAAACAATAATACTGAAAACTAGTGATACAACTATTTTGAAGACCAGCCTGCTTTACAGTATAAAAATGATCTTTTAAAAAAAAAAGTATTTTAGCTTAACATGCAATGAAAAACGTTTGAAGTGTGTTCAAAAGCTGCTATCAGATAAAAATTGAAATTCTCAAAATTAATTATGATACAGTTTCAATGGGTTATCAAAGATGCAATACTTTAATGGTTACACTTAAGATAATATATATAGGTCATGAATATACATTGTAAATGATATGTATAGTCAGTCTCACAATTTAGACTTGAAAGGTCAGTTTAACTTTGACATTTGATAAGAAAAGAACTATGATCGGTATGATCTCAAATTGCAAAGTAATTGTAACAGCGGAGCAACGTTTCCTTAAATTCCATACTGAAAAATATGATGCTTCTTTTAAATTCCTATAATATAGTTTTTAGCAAATAAAGCTTTGTCCATAGGAAAGCATGGGATTACCATTTGCTAAAAGATTTTATCATTTCCATAAAGCTGTAAAAGTTTATTCACAAGGTCTCCAGTACAAAGTTGAGTCATAGGAAAATGGGCTTGTCAGTGTAACATAACATACATAGAAATAATGAACTGTCAGCATATTAATTCCAGGCAGAATCTGGGGATTCTACAATTGTTTATCATGTCCGTATGATTTTGTAAGAGTTGACAATCACAGTTACTTGAATTCTTGTTGAGAAAATAAGCTCCAGATGATACTTATTTGATGGGAAGATTCTATAAAATGTAGCTTTTTCTGTGAACCAAAATTATATTGCTTTTTATGATTTTGACTTATGATTTGAGATATTGCTTGATTTTCTATAACTGTATAACTGAGCAAACCTTCTGGTTAGCTCAATAGGTAGAGCGTTTGGACTGTGAATCGGTGCAGGTCATTTTCATTGTGATTGATCATGAAATCCTTTCTACAGTCATTCATATTGTAACTCAGGGCCTCTGCTCTGGCATATACAACAGTTAACATGTATTAATCAGAGCAACAGATAAGGTGCGTATTTGCGTATTTACGCAATTAATTTTATAAAATACGCAATTGATTTTTTAAGAATGCGTATCAAAACCCCCCAAAAAAAAAAAAAATACGCAATTGTCTTAAAAACCCGTGCGTATTGTCATTTTCATCACCGCAAAATTAATCTGTCATATGCCAAATTATATCGATATGCATGCTATCCGAATATTCCCGAATTAATGCTAACTAATCAACGGTCTCCGGTCTTCGACGGTCACCGATTAAGCCATATCAATAAAGCATGAGACCGTCGATTTGTCTATTCAGGACGACGGTCTTTACAGACCGGCAGAGACCGTTGATTTTGCGGAGACCGTCAATAAGTAGGTCCCAGCTGTATCAATAGACGCTTTGAAAGCATTATGGCGTCGTACAAAAGGGAAAATGATTTGAAACAAAACAGTGGTAAATAATCAAAAATCAGTCAGAAAACGAACTTGTTAAAAATATTATGAAATATAACATGAGCATTTTATATAAAAAATAAAACAATTGTGAAAAGTTCTAGTAAATTGTTAATCCTATTTTCTTTTTAAAACAGTTTAAATTTTATTGATATTGAAACCATAAAATTCATATCTTCATAATTGAATACCCAATTGATCTTGAAATCATAGGGTATTGAGTTTTAGAATACCCAATTAAATGGAGCCAATACCCAATTCCAAAGGAAATGATGGAATAATACCCAATTCACTTTAAAAGCTTATCTGTTGCTCTGATTAATTATTCTTTATTAACAAACAAGTTTGTCACTTATTTTTCAGAATCATTATCAGCTGAGGGTAATGATGAATCAGGGGAGGCAGATCTTCCCTACATAATGCATGTCCTAGGAGATATAGAAGGTTTACCACCTGGAGGAGGACTCAGTTCAAAGTAAGTGCACTCCCAAATAATGCTTTCTTTTATAAATCCTGAACACTCTTACTTTATATAATGGATTTGACCGACCTCTGAATTTGGAAATGTCCATTTGTTTTTAAGGAAGTTCTATATATACATGGTTTCATGATTAATTATATAGTCTTGAAAGTCAGAAGTGTTCTGGTAGTCAGAGATAATACAGAGACAAAGAATGAAATATTAAGAATAAGATTTTGTTTGCAAGAGTGTAATATCATAAATATGCTATTTGCTAAAACATTTTAACCCTTTCCCCTATAAATCTTAAATGGACTTGTCCATCTTTTCAATCTTGAGAAAACGGATCTTTTTAGGGGAAATTTCAAAATGTGTACTGACTGAAGAGTGAGCTTACTCATAAATATGCAGTCTTGGTCATCAGTACTAGCATGAATATATCATTTGGCACAAGCAAACTTAAGGTTAATGAATATTGTATTTTTGTGTGAATTCTTGCACTTGTATATATTTTCTGTAATTTCAGGCGTGCAACTGTAGAAGCAATTTTGAATAAATTACGACCTCCAAAGTCAGATGCTGCTGTAAGTGTAACTTTTCCCTCTAAACTAGGTGGTTTACCACGATGTTGAGAAATGAACTGTTAGACTCAATTCTTTTTTCATTGGCTTAACAGGCATCTGTCTATCAAGTTTATTGTATTCAATGGTGACTTTTAAGTGAACTCTTAAAAATAAATGTTTACAGATTACTCAACTTGCACAAGTTTCTGAAAGTTATGTATTACGTCATTTTGCAGTGATTTGAAAACATGTGTAAAAGTTTTTTTATAAAAGAGGTGTCCGATGTAATGCTGATATATTGAGCATTGAAAGTTGGATAAGTTGTAACATTATAAATGAGGTACTTTATCCTTGTTTTACTGTTTCTTTAGTAGTGGGGAGCCTACAATGATTGGGCAGTATTTACGCCCTGTTATCCTTGACTGATCTATAGCTTGTAGAGGTATATGAGCCTTGGATTATGTGAGTTGTTGGGGATAATCAATAACTCCAGTTTCCTTAAACAGGGGTTTTATGAAAGTGATCTGTTATACTATTATCATAATTAGCATATAACTTATTAAAGTGACACTATGCCAATTTATACTGTTAAATTAAAAATGACTTTACATTTTGCCATAGATGTTTTTCAATGTTACATTTTGCTTCATAAATTTATGCTAAAAAACGCAATATTATAGTAACATTCAATTTTACAAAAAGATTGGGGCAGTCTTTTTGTATGTAAGGCAGTTTTTCTATTTTATCCATATCATTTTTCTTACCAGATCAGTGGTCAATTACCATTAAAAAGGGCAATCTTTTGAAATATATAGTTACATGTACTTCAGCTCAATTTGACGATGAAAAAATGAGCATAATGTCATTTTAATATAACTTTTTAATCTTTCTAAAATATTAAGTGTGCTATGTAATATGCCACTAAGACAGGCAGATACAGTGGGGTTATTAGTGTTGTATGAACCTATTTATAGTTTCTTAATAATCTAAATGAGACAAGTTAGAAATTGCATTTCATTTTCAGGAAAAGTTGCCCTATAATAGAAGCAAAAGTAGCAAATAACAGTAGGTCATAAGACTAAATCAAAATTGTCACAGTTTCAAGAAGGCCAGAGTTCAAAGTGAATTGATATCATATGTTTTACTTTATAAAAGAATAAATTCTACTGTTAGCCGTATTCCAAACAATTGCGTATATAGTAAATCAAATCGAACTATCTCAAATTTACCAACTTAGAACCTGGCATTTTTGTTGCATGTTTGTGGTTTGAAACAATTTTTTGTGTATATATCACTTTTCTTTGACAAATATATACTGGAAATAACTAAATAGGTTTTAATTTGATTTAAAAAAAAATTGATATTGAATCATATTTGAAATCAATTATTACACGATTATATAGAAATTTTTGTTCTGTTCGAATTTGTGATGTATTTTCTTTTTATTCTTTTTTTAGCAAATTGAGCTCTAGGAGAAAAGTAATAACTGTTAAAATGGAAGTAAACATAATGAACTTTTTTGATAACATTATTACTATAATGTAACCCTTAATTTGCTGAACTAGTATAGTGAATTTGCCTTGCTCTTAATAGGAAACAATCCTTTCAAAGTTTCATGAGATTTCAGGATCAAAATACAGAAATTGAAACTGCCAGCAATTTAGAGCCTGGCAAGAAAGCCCAGATATACAGGCTTTCAGTTGCAGCAAGTTGAGGGTTATTATCCCCCGCCGATGGAATCGGGAGGGGGATATAGTTTTGGCGTTGTCCGTCCGTCCTTCCGTCCTTCCGTCCGTCCGTCCGTCCGTCCGTCCATCCGTCCGTCCGAATTTCGTTTCCGGAGTAGTTCTCTGCAACTAATGGCTGGAATTCAACGAAACTTTATGGGAATGTTGATCAGCATGTGAAGTTGTGCACCTGGGTATTTTCGTCTGGATATTTTTAGTATTTTTAGAGTTATTGCCCTTGACTTAGTAAAACGTCCGAATTTCGTTTCCGGAGTAGTTCTCTGCAACTAATGGCTGGAATTCAACGAAACTTTATGGGAATGTTCATCAGCATGTGAAGTTGTGCACCTGGGTATTTTCTTCTGGATATTTTTAGTATTTTTAGAGTTATTGCCCTTGACTTAGTAAAATTTGTAATTTTCAACTTGTGTCGCATGTAACTCAAAAAGTATTTGACCTAGAGTCATGAAACTTTACAGGAATGTTGATCAGTATGTGTAGTTGTGTACCTGGGTATTTTCATCTGGATATTTTTGACATTTTTAGAGTTATTGCCCTTGACTTAGTAAAATTTTGTAATTTTCAACTTGTGTCGCATGTAACTCAAAAAGTGTTTGACCTAGAGTCATGAAACTTTACAGGAATGTTGATCAGTATGTGTAGTTGTGCACCTGGGTATTTTCGTCCGGATATTTTTACTAGTTTTAGAGTTATTGCCCTTGACTTAGTAAAATTTTGCAATTTTCAACTTGTGTCACATGTAACTCAAAAAGTATTTGACCTAAAGTCATGATACTTTACAGGAATGTTGATCAGCATGTGCAGTTGTGCACCTGGGTATTTTCGTCTGGATTTATTTAGTATTTTTAGAGTTATTGCCCTTGACTTAGACTTAGTTTTGGCGTTGTCCGTCCGTCCTTCCGTCCGTCCGTCCGAATTTCGTTTCCGGAGTAGTTCTCTGCAACTAATGGCTGGAATTCAACGAAACTTTATGGGAATGTTGATCAGCATGTGCAGTTGTGCACCTGGGTATTTTCGTCTGGATTTATTTAGTATTTTTAGAGTTATTGCCCTTGAAACGTCCGAATTTCGTTTCCGGAGTAGTTCTCTGCAACTAATGGCTGGAATTCAACGAAACTTTATGGGAATGTTCATCAGCATGTGAAGTTGTGCACCTGGGTATTTTCTTCTGGATATTTTTAGTATTTTTAGAGTTATTGCCCTTGACTTAGTAAAATTTGTAATTTTCAACTTGTGTCGCATGTAACTCAAAAAGTATTTGACCTAGAGTCATGAAACTTTACAGGAATGTTGATCAGTATGTGTAGTTGTGTACCTGGGTATTTTCATCTGGATATTTTTGACATTTTTAGAGTTATTGCCCTTGACTTAGTAAAATTTTGTAATTTTCAACTTGTGTCGCATGTAACTCAAAAAGTGTTTGACCTAGAGTCATGAAACTTTACAGGAATGTTGATCAGTATGTGTAGTTGTGCACCTGGGTATTTTCGTCCGGATGTTTTTACTATTTTTAGAGTTATTGCCCTTGACTTAGTAAAATTTTGCAATTTTCAACTTGTGTCACATGTAACTCAAAAAGGATTTGACATAGAGTCATTTAACCTTATTGGAAAGTTGCTCAGCATATTTAGTTTGTTCCTGGGGTTTCGCTTGTGGATTTATCCAGTATTTGTAGAGTTATTTCCCTTGACTTAGTAAAAACTGTTTCATTATGTTGTTATTTGATCCTTGAGTGCTTGAGTTAGAATCAACCAACTTTACAGGAATAATGATCAACATCACTAAATTACGAATAATGAAGTCTGGAGATTAAGATGTTTTTACATCTAGGTGAGCTATTGTGATCCCCCACCGTCCGTCGTCATGCGTTGTCAGCAATTTCTTTAAACAACATCTCCTCAGAAACAAATGACTGCACAGCAACCAAACTTTACAGGAATGATCCTAGGGTGGTCCCCTGCCAAAGTTGATCAAATGGTTCTGGTCTGTTGCATAGCCTTATGTCTTCAGTTGTTGTGTTAATAATAACCAGTACTCGGCGGGGGATATAAATTCAACGAATTTGCTTGTTTAGTTTTATAAGTCCCTCTGTCATGTATGATATATTTCCACTAAGGTAGACAACTTAGTAGGAACTATCAAGGACAGAGGTAAGTTAGATATTGTGAGTCACTTCTCTCAACAGATAGAGTTCCCTGAAAGATTTGAGTAAAAAAAATGTTTTGTCGAGTACTGCACATATAGTGAGATAATGGCTTACCTGTACTTAAATAAACTAGTTCTAACCAGTTTGTTTCGATGAATGAGTTTGTGAGGAAGACTACTTAAAATGACAAAAGTTATCTAGTTAAGCTCACAATGTTACATGGCTTAGTTGTTAATTAGTGTTTGTCAACATGGCTAGTTCGTATAATATGGCAATTTCCCTGTGTGGCAGTTACATGTAATTTGAGCACGGTAAAAGTCACAATTTAAAATCTCAAAAATATCAAAACAAAACAAAAAACTAAAAGATGAGTATTATTAGTAACATTATTTGTATACAGGACCCATAGTTATATAAAATTAGCAATTAAAGAAAATTTACTTATAAGGGGAGTGGAAGCCTAGTGTTCAAAGTTTTGGGGATTGATTGTTCATTCTTACTGAAGTCACAGTCATGTTGGATTGTGAAAAAAATAAGGAATCTTTGAAAATTCTGAATCAGTATATATTTATACCCCCAAAAACGAAGTTTGGGGGGGGGTATATAGGAGTCACCCGGTGGTCGGTCGGTCGGTTGGTAAGTCGGTCGGTCCAGACATCCGTTGCATTTTCCTTGTCCGGAGCATAACTTGAAGACTAATGGTTGGAATTCAATATAACTACATACAATGGTCAAGTACATTGAGAGGAAGTGCAGTGCACAAGAACCATAACTTTATCTTGACTAATTACAGAGTTATTGCCCTTTGTTACTTTTCCTTGTCCGGGGCATAACTTGAAAACTGCTGGTTGGAATTCAAAACAACTTCATACAATTTTCAAACACAATAAGGGGAAGTGCAGTGCACAAGAACCATAACTCTATCTAAAGTAATTACAGAGTTATTGCCCTTTGTTGCTTTTCCATTGCTTTTTTTTTGTCCGGACCATAACTTGAAGACTAATAGTTTGAATTCAATATAACTACATACAATGGCCAAGCACATTGAGAGGAAGTGCATTGCACAAGAACCATAACTCTATCTTGACTAATTGCAGAGTTATTGCCCTTTGTTACTTTTCCTTGTCTGGGGCATAACTTGAAAACTACTGGTTGGAATTCAAAACAACTTCATACAATTGTCAAACACAATAAGGGGAAGTGCAGTGCACAAGAACCATAACTCTATCTAAATTAATTACAGAGTTATTGCCCTTTGTTACTTTTCCATTGCTTTTTTTTTTGTCCGGACCATAACTTGAAGACTAATAGTTTGAATTCAATATAACTACATACAATGGTCAAGCACATTGAGAGGAAGTGCAGTGCACAAGAACCATAACTCTATCTTGACTAATTACAGAGTTATTGCCCTTTGTTACTTTTCCTTGTCCGGGGCATAATTTGAAAACAACTGGTTGGAATTCAAAATAACTTCATACAATTGTCAAACACAATAAGGGGAAGTGCAGTGCACAAGAACCATAACTCTATCTAAAGTAATTACAGAGTTATTGCCCTTTGTTACTTTTCCATTGATTTTTTTGTCCTGACCATAACTTGAAGACTAATGGTTGGAATTCAATATAACTACATACAATGGTCAAGCACATTGAGAGGAAGTGCAGTGCATAATAACCATAACTCTATCTTGACTAATTACCGAGTTATTGCCCTTTGTTACTTTTCCTTGTCCCGGACATAACTTGAAAACTACTGGTTGGAATTCAAAACAACTTCATACAATTGTCAAACACAATAAGAGGAAGTGCAGTGCACAAGAACCATAACTCTATCTAAAGTAATTACAGAGTTACTTTTCCATTGCCTGTTTTGTCCGGACCATAACTTGAAGAATAATGGTTTGAATTCAATATAACTTCATACAATGGTCAAGCACATTGAGAGAAAGTGCAGTGCACAAGAACCATAACTCCATCTTGACTAATTACCGAGTTATTGCCCTTTGTTACTTTTCCTTGTCCAGAGCATAACTTGAAAACTACTGTTTGGAATTCAATTCAACTTCATACAGTTGTCAAGAACATTAAAAGGAAGTGCAGTGCACAAGAGCCATAACTCCATTTTGACAAATTACAGAGTTACTGTCCTTTGATACTTTTCATTGTCAGGAGCATAACTTAAAACGTACTGGTTGGAATTCAAAACAACTTCATACAATGGTCAAACCAAATAAGAGGAAGTGCAGTGCACAATAACTATAACTCTATCTTCAGTATTGCCCTTTGTTCCTTTTCTTTGTCTTTCTGGACTTATTACAGAGTAATTCAATTAAACTTCATCAATGGCCAACCACATTGAAAGGAAATGCAACATATAAGAACCACAACTATCTTTAATTGCCCACAACCATAACTCTATATTTCAATTCTTTTACAAGGTATTCTGTTACTAGTAACATCCTTATATTTCAATTCTTTTACAAGGTATTCTGTTACTAGTAACATCCTCATTTCCGAAGCAGTCTTGTGGGGGTATCACATTTAGTGATAGTTCTAGTAATATATGTTGCTCTTTTAGAATTTTTTCTTTGCAAATACAGTGTATGCAAAGATAAGATCACTTAAATTCTGAAAATAAGAAACTATTCTGTATGAAATGAAAATATAATAAACAAAATAATTAGAAAGTAGATTGCCATCTTTGTGACAACAAATTAAATGTCAGTGAGTGTTTGGTACTTATGTTCTGTATAATTAATTTCGGCACTTAAATATTTGTCAGATATGCGTATGTCTTAAAGTGGAGAGTGTTTTATTATGTTGATGGTAGTGCATGCACACATTTTCATTATGTCTTTATAATGTGTACAGGCAATCTTCTATATATAGGTATAGATATGTAAGTTTTTATGCTTATTGTTTTTTTAGCTCACCTTAGCTTGCTCAGGGTGAGCTATAAGGATCGGTGAATGTCCGTCGTACGTCCACAATTGCTTGTGAACACACTAGTGGACACACTTATGACTCAATCATCATCAAACTTTGTCAGGATGCTTGTTTAGTCAAACTCGGATGAGTTCGAAACTGGGTCATTTCGGATGGAAAACTAGGTCAAAGGAGCTAAAAATAGAAAAACCTTGCGAACACTCTAGTGGTCACATTTTTGACCCAATCATCATCAACCTTTGTCAGAATGCTTGTTTAGATTATTGCTTGGATGAGTTCGAACATTGGTCATCTCTGATGAAAATCCAGGTCACAGGAGCTATAAATAGAAAAAACCTTGTGAACACTCTAGTGGTCACATTTTTGAACCAATCATCATCAAACTTGGTCAGAATGCTTGTCTAGTCAATTGCTTGGATGAGTTTGAACATGGGTCATCTCTGATGAAAAACTAGGTCACAGGAGCTAAAAATAGAAAAACCTTGTGAACACTCTAGTGGTCACATTTTTGACCCAATCATCATCAAACTTTGTCAGGATGCTTGTTTAGATAATTGCGCAGATGAGTTCGAATATGGGTCATCTCTGATGAAAAACTAGGCCACAGGAGCTATAAATAGAAAAACCTTGTGAACACTCTAGTGGTCTCATTTTTTACCCAATCATCATCAAACTTAGTGTGGATGCTTGTCTAGTCAATTGCTTAGATGAGTTTGAATATGGGTCATCTCTGATGAAAAACTAGGTCACAGGAGCTAAAAATAGAAAAACCTTTTGAACACTCTAGTGGTCACATTTTTTACCTAATCATGATCAAACTTTGTAAGGATGCTTGTTTAGATAATTGCTTTGATGAGTTTGCACATGGTTTATCTCCGATGAAAAACTAGGTCACAGGAGCTATAAATAGAAAAGCCTTGTGAACACTCTAGTGGTCACATTTTTGACCCAATTATTAAGAAACCTTGTCAGGATGCTTGTTTAGTCAATTGTTTGGATGAGTTCGAACATGGGTCATCTCGGGTGAAAAACTAGGTCACAGGAGCTAAAAATAGAAAAACCTTGCGAACAGTCTAGTGGTCACATTTTTGACCCAATCATCATCAAACTTTGTCAGAATGCTTGGGTAGTCGATGCTTGGATAAGTTTGAACATGATTTATCTCGGATGGAAAACTAGGTCACAGGAGCTAAAAATAGAAAAACCTTGTGAACACTCTAGTGTCACATTTTTGACTCAATTATCATCAAACTTGGTCAGGATGCTTGTCTAGGTAATTGCTCGAATGTCAAGCTCGAATATGGGTCACCTGGGGTCAAAAACTAGGTCACACTGCTCAAATATGGATAATCCTTGTTAACACTAGTGGTCACATTTTTGACACACCTGTCTTGAAACTTGGTCAGAACGCTTGTCTAGGTAATTGTTCGGATGAGTTTGACGGGTCAGGTGAGCGATCTAGGGCCATCTTGGCCCTCTTGTTTACAGTTTTTGTAGCTTTTTGATCAGTTGCTTAAGCCATCATTTTCATTGATATGTTCACTTATTGAAAGAAAACTTTTTCATTTCTCTTTTACAGTTGAAATGTAAGCTTTAATTTCTTAGCTATCTTTGAATAGTTTTTTCATAGTTTTTATTTTAATGTTTTTAAAAAAGCATGTTATTATTTAGACACCCAAGAAGAAAAAAGACATGTGATAATTACTTTGTCACTTAAAGTTTTTATTTCTGGGATGTTTATAAGGATGTTTCAAGGTTTAAACAGATCTGCTGGTAATTAATCAGTATCTGGTATAGAAGCTACATTTCTGGATGGAATGTATCAATTCGGAGACTGACCGTCTTTGAGTAAGTTTTGAATAGAATAATTTAGATCTTATTATACCCCCACCACAAAATGTGGGGGGGGGGGGCTATAATGGATTCGCTTTGTCGCGTCGGTCGGTCGGTCCGTCCGTCCGTCTCCATTTTCGTGTCCGCTCTATAACTCCTATACCACTTGAAGGATTTTCTTCAAACTTGGCTCAAATGTTCACCTCAGCAAGGGGATGTGCAGAACCCATGTTGCCCATGTGTCAGCTCAAGGTCAAGGTCACAATTGAAGGTCAAATATCAAACACAATCATATATTAGACAGTATGTCGTGTCCGCTCTGTAAGTCCTACAATAATTGAAAGATTTTCTTCAAACTTGGTTCAAATGTTCACCTCAACAAGGGGATGTGCAGAACTTATGTTGCCCATGTGTCATCTTAAGGTCAAGGTCACAATTGAAGGTCAAATCAAACCATCAAATATTACACAATATGTCGTGTCCGCTCTGTAAGTCCTACACTTATTGAAAGATTTTCTTCAAACTTGGTTCAAATGTTCACTTCATCAAGGGGATGTGCAGAACCCATGTTGCCCATGTGTCATCTTGAGGTCAAGGTCACAATTGAAGGTCAAATATCAAACAATCAAATATTACGCAGTATGTCGTGTCCGCTCTGTAAGTCCTACACTTATTGAGAGATTTTCTTCAAACTTGGTTCAAATGTTCACCTCAACAAGGGGATGTGCAGAACCCATGTCACCCTTTTGCCGGCTTAAGGTCAAGGTCACAATTGAAGGTCAAATATCAAACAATCAAATATTAGGCAGTATGTCGCGTCCGCTCTGTAAGTCCTACACTAATTGAGAGATTTTCTTCAAACTTGGCTCAAATGTTCACCTCAACAAGGGGATGTGCAGAACCCATGTCACCCTTTTGCTGGCTTAAGGTCAAGGTCACACTTGAAGGTCAAAATTTGACTTAGAAAATGTTCTTAAATTTTAACATATGTGTGAATATTTCTGAATCTAGGAAAGGTATTTGGTTGAAACTTAAAATATATATGAAATGTCACAATTAAGATATGCTGGTCAAGTTTCATAACTCTGTATTGCATTTAAACAAAGTTATGCCCCTTTTTAATCTTCAAATTTACATACAATCACATATTAGACAATATGTCGTGTTCGCTCTATAAATCCTATACTAATGGAAGAATTTTATTCAAACTGTACTCAAATGTTCACCTAAACAAGGTTATGTGCAGAATCCATGTCACCTTTGTGCAGTCTAAAGGTCAAGGTCCAAAATTGACTTAGAAAGTGTTCTTAGATTTTAACATGTTCTTGAATATTTCTGAAACTAGCACAGGTATTTGCTTGAAACTTAAAAGATATATGAGGTGTCACAATTACGATATGCAGGTCAAGTTTCATAACTCAGTATTGCATTTTGACAAAGTTATGCCCCTTTTTAAGTCTTTAAATTTACATACAATCAATACTAGAATATATGTTGTGTCCGCTCTATAAATTCTATACTAATGGAAGGATTTTCTTAAAACTTTACTCAAATGTACACCCCAATTGGGCGATGTGCAGAACCCATCTTACCCTTGTGCCAGCTTAAGGTCAAGGCCACACTTGAAGGTCAAAAATTGACTTACAAAAAGTTTAGTATATTGGGAAAATGAAAGGTTATTTGTAACTGTTTCGAACATGATTTGATAATAGATATTTATACTATTACCTGTACAATAAGTCTTTTTTTCAACAGAGATAATTTCTTTTTATGTATTGTGCGACTTAAGTTATTTCCTTAACCACCTTTCCAAGTCGTCTTCTGTCAAGGACATTGGTGGGGGTATGAATCGCATTCAGCGATAGTTCTAGTTTAATATTGTTTGTATCGTCTAGAGAGCAAGAGTCCCAAGTGTTGATAGGACATATCACAGGGTTGTTTCTCCGTCCGTTCCTGGTAGTTTGTTTGTTGGAAATTTTAGCAGCATTTTGCTAAGAAAATAAAATAGGAATATATTTTAAAAGTGGGGTGGTTGTCTAGTTCATAGTTTCAAGTTTGCCAACACCATACCTGTCAAAATGTTCACAAAACATACTCACCTTTGGCACATTCAAGTTGGATTTGTGTGCAAGAGATGCTGTTTCCATTTTGAAAATATGGTCTAAAAGCCCTATAGACAGTCCATGCAAGTTACAGATCTATGCATTATGTAGATTTAAGATTTTTATTAGTAATTGCAAAAAGTGTTATTTTGAAGTCTATGTGATGATTTATATTGATTATAAATTGTTGACAAAGGAATTATCCTAGATATTTTCCTTGAATCTGAATGTTTTATTTGAATAGTGCATGAAATAAAATAAAATAGATTTTTTCTGTATGTTTCACTTGTTAAAAAAAGGTGTGATATTAAAGGAAGCTATGTATTTTAAGAAAATCAAGAAACCTTTTAAACTTGTGGAAACAGATACAGTAATATATTTTCATGTCTTTAATTTTATGTCATTTTGTTTACTTGCTGAATACAATGTATGTATGAGTAAAACAAAATGTACATTGATTTGTTCTTTGAGAAATGTACAGTGATTTTATCTTTATAATTTGTTGAGAAAGTGTTTGAATATTTTTATCTTCTTGCATGTAGAATGCACAAGTCAATTTTCAGCTTGCATCAAAATACTGACATGATTTTTGCTAACAATTAAAGAATAAGTAAAGTTATAAATAAATATCCATATATTTTATTAGTCTCTTTATAAAAGAAAAAAGTATTTAATTGTGAAGATATACACCTATTTTGAAATACCAGTAATTTTTCTCGAGACTTTAGATAAACAACTTAATGTACACTTACATGCAAAAGAAAGCATGCGGTTAACAAAATTTGTATTTTGTATAAGAATTTCATTGTTTTGATAAAGGTCTTGAATTCCATTATTTACCTTGTCCTTAAAAATTGTTGTCCTTTTTTGATTCATCAAAAAAAAAACCCAACAAATATCCCCATTTCAAAATTCCTGTCTTCTCATAGAACTGACAGTGCTACTTCTTGCTCGTGTCATATTCTGTCACTCTTCATCTAAGGCCACAAGCATGTCCTGCAGGTTTCCTGGCAGTGATACTTGCTTGCAGGCATAATTCATCAGATTGATTTACAAAGTGCATCATTTCTTTTGCTTGTGTAAGTGAACAAATTATAGATTGGATGCAATGCTATCATAAACAAGAATTTCTGAAAATTTCACGAGTGGGAAAGCAGAGCTGCTAGCACCTGGCTACTTTTGGGTTTGAATCTAGCTAGCTTATTGAAGGTTCTACCTATGTGCCAGATCTTGCATAAATGTAGCCATATGAATGCTTTAACAGTTTTGATATGACTTGAAGTTGGACTTGCCCAATAAATACAAGGCAATGTATGAAAGAAATGTGATTCATGGGAAAAACATTGTAGTTATAAACTGGTAAAGCTAGCAACATGATGAGTTACAAGTATAAATGTGATTTGTTGTTGCTTTGTGAAGAAATATCATTCTGTTGTGTATATATATAATTATATTATTGTATATATTTCAGGACGAGAACGATGCCACAGCCATTGATTGATACCCATCTATCATATTATCATTGAGTATATTGTCCAGCGTGTATGTCAGACGAAAGAGAAAAATCACCAGCGAATAACACGTTCCTCAGCTGCACTATAAAATGATTGAATTACGTCACACGTTTCCTTTTTCCTTTCTTTCGAGAAATGACAACAAATAACAAAACACTTGAATCATTTTGTTCATTAATTCAAACCAAACACCACCATGATTTTAAAGTTTTATACGTGCAAGAGAAATGATATATACACCTTTCATTTGATATTTTTTTCCCCCATTGAATAATAGTGAAATCCAGATGACGTGTAAAAGGGAGATGCATGTTTTTTTTTTATATAAGTGTGATAATATATATTTTTAGATATCTACAAGTTAAATTAAAACAGTATAGTACTTAGAGAAAAATGACGGAACAAATGAAAAAATGCATCACTGGCTGGATTAATACCCAATACATTGAGATGTTGTTTAATCGAAAATTTACTTAACCCCTAACCTGCTGACTTTGTGTAATTGATTACGCCAGCTTTGATTTTGGAACAGTCCATTCATATTCTAATGGATCAAAATACAAAACATTGAGCTACCAACAGTATAGGGCCTGGTCAGACTATATGGATGTACAGGCTGACCTGGCTCTATACTTGTTGCCGAGGCTAATCGCTATTGGTTACAGCAGGTTATGGGTTAAAACTTCAATAATTTTTTTTTTGTACTTTATTTAACATTTTATTTGCTGTTGGCTCAAATTGTTGCTATTGATATAGAGTTTTATATCAGTTACAAAAGATGGGTTTTTTAATTATGAGAGAATACTGTCAGTGCATCACATCAGAGGGACTACTTTTTTACCAGGTTGGCCTCAAGACAGATAAAACAGTGCATCATCATGGGGACTACTTTTTTCCCAGTATTGGCTGTACACAAAGTAAATACACACTTAACAGTGCCTTCATGTTTAATTTCTTGAAATATTAACTATTTGAACTTGGAAAGATATATAAAGAGGTCAAATTTAAAAATGTTTTAGTTCAGGAATAGTACCTATTTAGTAATATATTATTTTTTTAACAGACGCCATCTGTGATCAAATATGTTTAACTTGCAAAAATTTACACTTGTTCTGTTATAGTATATTTGAAGATATGGATTTTCCATTCACCAGCCTAGCTGGTGTGCATAATGATAATTAAATGATATGGGTTCTGAAACAATATAAACAGAAAGCTTCTGTTATAGATCTACAAAAAAGTCAGTCATTTTAGATGCTTATTGTGATGTAACACTTGTTCATTTTGAGGAAATTATACATATTAATAAGAACGTATAGATTAAAATGTAGGGGAAGTTAACACTTGATGATCTTTTACTTTTTGGCATTGAAATGAGGACAATTTGTAGAGATTTGAATGAATGGCTGGCTATGTATTAAACCTCTGTTGTGCTGCTCTGAACGTGTGAATCAATCTGTATTAATTAGTTAATTGCTATATGTATACTTGTTTAACTTTTTCTGTAAACTTACTTATTGTTTTAGAGTTTATTAGACTCCAGTTAAATGTATGTAAGTGTCTCACTACATGTATAAATGGCAAATAATAACGGGGACGGACGGGGGAGTGGGCGGGGGGAGAATTAGAGGTGATCAAGTTTTGCAATAGCATTACTCGTCATCTACATATTATACTTAGTTTGTAAATGCCAGCCACTACTAGTAAGGTGCTTCATCTGTGACGAAACAATATATAGATGTACATAAGTTGAAAGCTATTTACTTGATAATAATTGTGATCACTATAAAAGTGTGTCTATGATAAAAGTCTATAGTGGTATGTTTCAAGTAGTATGGATAATTTGGATGGGAGAAAATACAATATATTTCTTTTACTAATAGGCAGTACATACCTTATTAAAACTTTGTAATCTAACTATGTAGTAAAATATAACTAGGTAAAATGTAGATAAATACATTTTCTCCGAAATTAAAGTTCTACTATTTTTACCCACTATTCCATATTTGGGTATGATTTGATAGTGTTATTACAAAAAATATTGTCACATACAGAAGTAAAAACCTTGAAAATAATCTTTAAGACAAAATTTTCCTTATGTTAATTATGGCTCAGTTTAAATTGTGCTAACAATGGTTATGTCGCAACATTGATGAGAGTTTTCAATTTTTGTACTTTGATTATGGGGATTGACTTTATTAGGAAGTAGTGACGATTCCATACAACGTTTGTTTTGAGGCACTGATTTGTTCCTGCTTGTCAACCACAAAGTGGTCATTTCTTTTTCATTCTTTTCACAACATTTCTTATATTTTATGTTGTTTTATGTTTGATTATATATATCATTGGTTGAATATTAAGGCATCTATAGTTTTTTCTGGGGTAACTTTAATATAAGGTTCTTTAGTTGTGTCCTTTACTTTGATTTAGACACGCAACAGTCTGGTTAAAAGAATTGCACTTTAGGCTACTTCTGTAGACGGTACAAAAAGATGGGAAGTAGAACTTTATTAGTTTTGTGTTTTGTTTATATTTCTGATAAGCTTACTGCAACATTGTTAAAACTTGAATAATGGAATGTTCTTGCTTCATTTTCTCAAACTGTCTAATTTTAAGATATTTTTTATTATATCAAAATGCTTTCCTTCAGCAGCTATTAAAGCAGATACTTTTGCTAGGCTAAAATTTGGTGAAATCAACATTGAAGACTAATTAACCAGGTTAGATATTGGTAAATTTCCATTTTCTGTTCTGTTAAATTTTTGTGATACTAAGAACGTTAGTTTTTAGCATTAAAAAAATGAGTGAAATTTAATCCCTTGCAAAAATTTGTGATTTTATGATATTACTTGGTAAAGCTTGTATGGATATATATTGGCAGCATTGGCAGTTTTTTATGGCTTCTATATTGAGGGGCGTCTTTAGCCAAGTGGTTAAAATTGTTGACTTCAAACCACCTGTTGATGTGGATCCCTGCCTTGGTCTTTGGATTTGTTCATTTAAGGACGCAGCTAGTTAGCTTATGAAACATAGGTGGTTCTGCTCAGAAGCCCGTATGTGCCTGAAATAATACACCGGCAGGTTTTTCTTGACTAGATAAGCTGGAAAGTCGCCATATGACCTCTACTGTGTTGGTGCGACATCAAACACAACTAAAAAAATTATTATATCGTATTAATCAGATTTATATTATTTTCCCTCCTCAATTATCGTCCTCTGATGTAATTATTGTTGTATTGATGCTTAGTTACAGATGTAATGTCCATGGAAGTTTTTAATATGTTGACTGGCAATAATTAGATTATCTAAATCAAGAGTGTCCCAGAAATATTAAGAAATAACATAACTATTAGTACAGTAATGTTAATTATTTATTGGGTGTTTATGATGTGTTTCAAGTCATATTTACATTAATAGGAACTTAAATTTAAGTTGTCATCTTGGTGGAAAACTAACAAATATTTTGTAATACATGTTGACATGAACTCACTTGAAGTACTGAACTAGTACATACTTAGGCAAGTAAATATTATATAATTATCATTGTAATTGTAACATTTTCAAATGAAAAAAGAAGAAGGGAATAATATAGTACTACTAATTCAATGATATTTTTAATCTTGTGAAAAGATGATCTATAGAAGTATGTAAAAGTATGTTTATGCCACAAACATGAAACTGTTGTTTTCTACTGTCTGCTTGTGTAAATGTTTGTTTAAAAGCGAGTGCCACAGATATAAGCCTTCTTGTCTTCAGGAAAACAACAATTCTCACTGTGATAGAAAGTTAATATCAATTTTTCATACCCTACCACCTCTGCTTGTTTATCGGATTTGTCCGGCTTTTAAATTTGGAACTTTCCATTTTGAATGTAACAGTAAGGGTTTTGTTGTTTTTTTTAAAAAGGGTAAACTGCTAAGAAAAATAGGCTGCCAGGATTAAAGTGTGCAAATGCACGTGCAAGCTGGCCAGGTTCTCGGATGCATCAGCCAAGTCTTGTAGCAGACAATATGTTTTAACTTTTTTTCTCCTTTGTTAGAGCAAATTTTATGTTTCATGTTAATCCTGCTTTTATTAACTAAGTAAGAAAAGTCGCAAAAGTAATAAATTGTTTTTTTTTCCTCAGCAAGTTATTAGATAAATAAGAGATTTCTTTTCATTTTAGAGGGAAAATGTTAAAAATTGCACAAGAAGAGAGTATGCAATGAAATGTTGATATAGAGTATGTTAAGTTAGTATTACCAAATTACCTTCATTGAAAAGACTACTTTTATGTGAGAAAAGCTTACGGAACATCAATTGTTGCATGTTTGTGCCTGAAATAATGTACAGAGGGGCACCTAAGGTCTTCCTCCACCACTCAAGTTGGAAAGTCGCCACATGACCTATACTGTGTTGGTGCGACATTAAACTTGATTTAAAAAGAAAAGAAAGAAAGACTACTTAAAGTAAGCATTGAAAAGCAGCCCACCTTAACTAACATATACTCCAGACAGTATGTCATCAATTTTTCTCAGCTGTATGAGGAATTGTATAAAAAATTATAGAATTTTATAGGAGACTTTGTACTTGTACTATGAGAACTGACTGTTCTAATTCCATTATAGAAACATAGAAATATATCATTTAATTTATTTTATATAAGTTCCCTAAAGAAAAATAATTCTAAATCATTCGGACAAAATGTCATTCTGTATTTACATATTTGTCTATTTTTTGTTATTTTTTATTATTTGCTATTCTTGATATTTTTTATACTTTGTTAAAGAATTTCCAATGTTTTAGTGCTATAAGAAAACATACAAAACATATATGTGCTTGTGAATACATTTGTAATCAAATTATTTTATTCATGATATTACTAAGATATAATTGTTGTCTTTTTGCAGGATTTCTCGTAATTGACGCAGGTTTTTTAAAATGTCACAGAGCTAAATTACATCATATATATATAAATATAGCTTTCTCTGATATGATTTAAATTATATTTGAATTATTTAAATTGACAATGCAGTTTGTATTATGCATAATTAACTCTTTATTTTTGAAATTGGATATTTTTTTTGTTTTCCATGAATATGTTGGTGCAAAGCTGAGAGAGATGTAAAAGCCATCGGCTTAAAAAATTTCCAGGTTGGTAGACCGACTGTTCAGAATCAGGACGTAATTTCTTTTTCTCATGTTTTAAGTTATCAATTTCAGTATATATTTTTTTATATAAACATTACTCATGCTTTTTTTGTCATTTATTATAACATATTTGAAGGATGAATGTGCAAACCTTGTATCAAAGGGGATAAAAGCTTAGCCAACAGTGAGACTATAATTGAGCCGCGTCACGACAAAACCAACATAATGGGTTTGCGACCAGCATGGATCCAGACCAGTCTGCGCATCCGCGCAGTCTGATCAGGATCCATGCTGTTCGCTATCAGTTTCTCTACTTGTTATAGAATTTGTAAGCGAACAGCATGGATCTTGATCAGACTGCGCGGATGCCCAGGCTGGTCTGGATCCATGCTGGTCGCAAACCCATTATGTTGGTTTTGTCATGACGCTGCTCATATAATAATTGATCATTTTCACAAATTATTTATATGATGTATGATTTTCTTTTTTGCAAGACCTTTCATTTATATATATAATTATCCTGTTTAAAAAGCTTATAAACTGTAGATGTAATTAAGTTCTTGATTTGATAGTATGTACACAGAATGATTGTACTCCCCCCAGAGACGGTGAAGTGCAAGTTATAAAACGTATGAACGAGAGACCTATATGTAAATTCATCACAGGCGTCAACAGTGTACCAGTGTAAGCACAGACAGTTCTATTTCCTGGTTGATTTCAAAAAGTGTATAAAGCTAAATATAACATTCGAGTTTTAAAAAAAAAGGAATATGCTTCTAAAATGCTTGTATGAAATAAATAGGGTAGTAAATTGCCTTAAAAAAGAAACATAGCATGCACAGAATCATTGCTAAATGGATAATACCCTACTTAAAATAGCAGAATGATGTTTTGTTCCGAAACATTTTATTCTGTTTACGTACAATATTCACACAAGTGTTAAATAACAAAGAATTGACCGTAAGATTATGGTTAAAATGAAATGATTAAGATATGATAAATATAAACATAAAGTTTAATATTTTAAGTTACCCTCCACCATAAGTTATACCAGAAGGTTAAGAACGTTAATGCCTTAAATCCTCAGTGAACCGGAATACTCGTTAACCCAGAAAGTCTGGTCCGGACCGTGTCTGATTTAGTGAACTTTTACTGTAATAAAACAGAACTGTTTGTGTAATGCTGGTATATATTTGTTGCCTTGTGTTATTGGAGGATGGACTTACAATTTTCTATGAAATGTGTTCTCACATAGGTTCCTGTTCATGTTTTATTTTGTGTATACCATGTAACATGTTATTATGGACGTTTGTTATTTTGATCAGGTTTCAAGCATTTTTGTACAAATTCATTGTATACCTAATCATTTATGAATTTGTATGTTATAAAATTATTGTGAGAATGTTACACCAGTGTTCTTTGTTTTTTAGCTCACCTAAGTGCAAAGTATTCACGATAGTTGTTTTGCCTTTCGTAGACTTAAAAAAACATGAAAGGTTTGAAATGATTTATTACTAATTCACCGTTACTTCAGTATGCTTGCTGCAAAGCTTCCTCATATCGTATTGATATATTTGCATCATATATGAAATTAGAAGTTTATAACCGGATTGTAATGTTTAATTGTATCTTTATACCCCCATACGAAGTTTGTTGGGTGGTTATATAGGAGTCACTCGGTGGTCGGTCGATCCAACGGTCCGTTGCATTTTCCTTGTCGGGAGCATAACTTGAAGACTAATGGTTGGAATTCAATATAACTTCATACAATGGTCAAGCACATTGAGAAGAAGTGCAGTGCACAAGAACCATAACTATCTTGTCTAATTACAGAGTTATTGCCCTTTGTTATTTTTCCTTGTCTAGAGCATAACTTGAAAACTACTGGTTGGAATTCAAAACAACTTCATACAATTGTCAAGCACAATAAAGGGGAAGTGCAGTGCACAAGAACCATAACTCTATCTAAAGTAATAACAGAGTTATTGCCCTTTGTTACTTTTCCATTGCTTTCTTTTGTCTGGACCATAACTTGAAAACTAATGGTTGGAATTCAATATAACTTCATACAATGGTCAAGCACATTGAGAGGAAGTGCAGTGCACAAGAACCATAACTCAATTTTGACCAATAACAGAGTTACTGCCCTTTGATACTTTTCCTTGTCTGGAGCGTAACTTAAAATGTACTGGTTGGAATTCAAAACAACTTCATACAATGATCAAGCACAATAAGAGGAAGTGCAGTGCACAAGAACTATAACTCTGTCCAGAGTAATTATAGAGTTGTTGCCCTTTGCTACTTTTCCATTCCTTTTTTCTTGTCCAGAGCATAACTTGAAAACTGCTAGTTGGAATTAATACTATTTCATACAATGGTCAAGTATATTGAGAGGAAGTGCAGTGTACAGAAATCATAACTCTTTCTTGGCTCATTTAAAAGTTTTTGCCCTTTGTTACTTTTTATTGTCCAGTGCATAACTTGAAAATTAATGGTTGGAATTTAATGCAAATTTATACAATGGTCAAGGGCAGTGAGATAAAGTGCAGTGCACAAGAACCATAACTCTATTTGGGACTAATTACAGTTATTGCCCTTTGTTACTGTTTTTGTCCTGTGCATAACTTGAAAACTTGTAGTTGGAATTCAATACAACTTCATACAATAGTCAAGTGCAATGAGAGGTAGTGCAGTATACAATAACCATAACTTCATCTTCAGTATTTATAGAGTTATTGCCCTTTGTTCCTTTTCCTTGTCTTTCTGGACCTATTGCAGAGTAATTCAATAAAACTTCATCAATGGCCAACCACATTGAAAGGAAATGCAACATACAAGAACCACAACTACAATGTATCTTTAATTGCCCACAACCATAACTCTATTTCAATTCTTTTGCAAGGTATACTGTTACTAGTAACATCCTCATTTCGAAAGCAGTCTTGCGGGGGTATTAATCACATTAAGTGATAGTTCTGGTTTAATTTGGTTTGTTAAATTACATAATCAGTACACAACTTAAGGCTTAGGGCTTGCCTTTACAGGTTGAGGCATCAGAATTGCAGCCAGCGTTTAACCCGGCGTGATCGTAAGCGGCGCCTAAAATAGGTTCGAAATATTGGAGTCTGTGCATCTCTTAGCTCTGGCAGGTGAAATGGTTTTGACCCTGGTGTTGCTTTTTAAATGATTGTAACACCTAAGGTTAGCCAAAATAATCTTTTCTGTTTTGGCGCCATATGACATAAACTGTGTTGGTGCGCCGTAAAACCAAACAAACATAAATCAGTACTTTTTGTCAACTTGTTGATGTTGTGTTGAGGAATATATCCATGAACATCTAGCGTGATTCTTCTACTTAATTAAAAGTCATATAAATAAGTAAAATACCTATCAGAAATGCCAGCATTTGAATCTGCCCGACGTTTTACGATGCACAATCTATAAAGCTTTTGCTTATTTTCTAACATGAAGTCGTAAACTGCTTAATACGCTTGCGTGAGTCGTATATGGTTTAAATGACACAATCCTATTAAAGCAAGGAACTAAGGATGTAACAGAAGAGAATAACATCTTTACATCACGGAAGACCCTCCACCAACCATCACCAAACTTCACAATATGTATCCACCAAACTTATCTAAATTAGCAAAACGTTAACAGAGATCCTAAATCATTATAACACACAAGTAGCAAAAATAGTTCATATACACGTGTATATAACCAATGAGAACAATTTCGTAAAGTGGGCCCCTGTTATTATGCGATCTGGGTTCACTAAAAATTGCATTAAAAATATAATCATGCATGCATGTATTCTTACATTGCATTCATTAAGTGTGCCAAAAAAGCCAATATACTTGTTTAAGTTTTTAATAATTTGTTTTCTATTTACCAACAAAAACGTGCTGCTTAAAAAGAATAGAGGCGCTTGTGGAAATCCACATGATTTCCAGGGGAAACAATTATTGTTGTATTATTATTTCCCAAAATGGGAGTTACCTCTCTCGACGTTCTAATAAGGTGTACATTGTAATAGCTCGCATAATTACCGCATATTTAAGTTCGAAGAAATAAATGTATTATTCTTTAAAAGGTTTTGCCAATATTGGCTATAGAATTCTTCAGGTATATTGTCGAAGATTACTGTTACAAAATAAGAGAAATATTTTAGTGGCGAGTATAAAATGGCTTTCAGCCAGTGTTTGCCATTACATGCATACGTATTTTTCGTAGCTTACTCTCTAGGTATATTCCACTTTATTTTACGAAAAGGGAAAAAAATCCACTATGATGTTCTCGTGGGACCGATTGTTTTGGTGAATCACTCGCAACTAATTCTATAGCCGGTATATATAGAGGAACCTTTTTAAGACTAATATTTCTGTTAAGATTTCTAGTGATTGCTTTACAAAGACAATCTGTCATTTAATTTAGTAGTTAGTAGGTCATGGTCAGATTTGGAAGAACTAATATTATCCTAGCGTAAAGCTCAGGTTTTAGGCAGTTCGAGTAAAGCCATCCTCAGTGAACTGGTGGGAAACATTTATCGATCCAAAATCCTAAAAATGCTTCAGAGAAAAAATATTTATTAAGCCTTCATGACTACTTACCAGGAAAATGGGCTCATCGAGTAAGTTACTTTCTCACTTCCTATAATGATGATGATGATGATAATGATAATAATAAATCTGTCTGTATTTACTTAAATTATTTGTATAACGTATTGAATCAGCCCCGCTATTTTACCTATGGTAAAACAAATTAACATTATGACAACGAAGTGTGTAAAACAGTATAGGTCTATAGATCGTTCAGTTGAAATATGAAATAATTTAAAACTGGTAACAGAATATGGTCTGACGATTTGCTTGACTGAGTTATATGGTCTGATGTCTATTTATAATTTTCAACAGGTTTTATCTATTACAACAAATACGTTGCAAAATGTTTGATTTGTATAACGCAATAAATGTATGCATATTCTTAAAAACTACGAGTGTGTGGGTTGAGCGGTGATTAAAAATAACAAAAACAATCTTAACTAATGACAGAGTGGTTTAAATGACTAAAAAAATATCCTCAAAGTTATGAAGAGAGGACAAATTTCACTCCATGCTCCACATTCAAAGAAAGTTTTTAAAACCGCTATTACATCGACATAAAATAGACACTATTATGGCATTGTCTACGCTTTTTTGGATGCAAAATAAAGAGAAAGGGCTTTAAAACTTGGCAATAGTTGTGGGTAATTTGATAAATGTATGATACCATACTCGAGGGTTTTACATTTTTTTACCAGAAAATGAATCGATTTGTGTTCTAGTAAACATTGGCATATCAAAATTGCGCAATGCTTTGTACATGACTATTAAACACATATTTGATGTTGGTCACGCCACTTGGAAATATGTTTTAATGTACGATATATATAATGCTCGTGTATACATGTACAAAATTTAATATGTTTGCAAACTTGAAATATATTTGTATAGTCGTAAAAACACGCAACATTTCTTTGCTGTCATCATACTATACCATCTTTTAAGTTAAAGGGTGTTTGTTCAGAAATATAGGCCATAAATCTCAAGGACTATAGGTCAAGCAACAAACAAACACATTTGATAGATCTGTATAATAAAAACACCGCCGTGAAAGAATCGATGAAAGTTAAGATCGGTGTTATTGTCGGCATAAAAAGATAGTAAAAATGTTGTAAAGGTAGAATAATTTGAAACCGGGTATTCTGTTATTTTATGACCATTAAAATGATAATTTGTAATATGTAAAGGTAACAGTTGACTGACACTTTAATAAAACCTTTGCTGTATCAGTGCCATGCATGCTTTTTACGACATTACTTACATCAAAAATAACGGAAGACCCGGCCGTTGCTAATGTTGGGAGAGCTTGTTGGTCAACCCTTTTGCCAAATATGTGTTATACCATTGTATTGTTCCTGTCTTTACATGTATGTATATGTTTCTTTTATTTTTTGGCAATAAAATATGTTAAAATCAAATCCAAAATTATACTCAGAACCCCATAATCCGAGGTTTGACGGAAAGAGCCGAATAGTTGCGATTGCAAAAATAATGATGCCGCTGACATTTCCGAACTTTAGAACTCTACCGTGTTGACATTGATGTTCGTTTAACTTTGAGAATCGTTAAGTTCTAAGTTTTGTGTGTTGGTATATAAGATGGGTTCCGTGAATATCAACTGGATTTATCAGTGTTTTAAGGAAGTTGCCTAGATTTTACGATTCTATAATGTAAAACTTCCGAACATTTATCATGAAAATAATTGAATTATTTTATGTCATACTAAAATTGTCCTCATTTTGTCCTTCATGCTCGAAAGCTTGATTCATTGAAACTCCGACAAAATTTTGCTATTAAAGCTATACTATATTACAAATCTCGGAAAAATAAAATGACATTATGTAAAAACATGTATGTAGATGATGGTTAATGATTAAATATTTAAAAGAATAACAACCATGGATGCATACATTTAAGTATCACAATTCACCACGTTTGGAACGAACTTCACGTTTGAATTATTATTATTAGATTGGGTCCGTAAATTTTGAATACTTGGTGTTTCTTGAGACAATATCATTTTCAAATGCCATGTAAAAAATAGAACCGATAAAACCACTTCGTATTTGTCTCTAAATTTTGTAAAATGCCCATGTCAAGAAGAAGAACAACAACAACATGTTCTTAAAACATTCTCATCTGTGCTGCATTTATGTTTAAATACATAAATGCCAGTACATTATACAAATTAAATGGTGTAGGTGGCGTAACCCCCCTCCCCCTTTTTTTAAATTAATGCTTTGAGCAGACCGCTTTAATAGTATCATTTTTTTAAATCGGTGGTATTTATTTAGCTACCTTTTCAAGGTCACAGCATAACATACCTTGACATAGATTTTCACATACTGTCACAATGATCATAGAGCTTTTATCTTTTAAAGCTACAATCTCATAGATATTGTTGTACAAATCTGGTCAATTTCTGAGAAAGTATCTGTTAACAATACTGTTACCTACAAGATACTGGCACAAGAGAGATGCAAGATTACCGCCCCTTCCTCCCCTACCCACACCCACAATACTTTAACCTGTGTCACGCTTAATATTTTTAAATGACTTGTCCCTGCCTTATTCTAGACAAAACCATTCATCATTTTAGGGACAATTTCAAAATATGTTCTGCCGATAAGCCAACAAAGCAGACCATAGTCGTCTGCTTTGGTCACATGGGTAGAATAGCAGGCTAAATTCGGTAAAAGAAACGTATCGTAATGGTTTATGATTAGAACTCAGCTTTAGTTTATTGTTGATGTGTTTGCGCTTTTTGAAGAAAAAAAATATGTTGAAACTACCAAATTGACGGAAATAACAAATTATCACATATTATCGATCGCTTTAGTTTTGAGACATAATATATATGAATATATGCCTATATAAGGAAGTGATAATTATTGACTGAGTGAAATAACAACATGCAAAAGTCTCGCTTTCCAGTTCAATTTTACAATAATCAATGATTATTTATAAGTTTCCAATGGACTCGCAAGAAAACTATCATTTGTAAAAGATCAATTTCTGAACGTGCAGACTGACTGCTTATTAGTGGATATTGTTGTAAACAGTTTGTGTATATATACCAGGCAGTGAAATACACGAGAAAATATGAGAATAAAGGATCGGCAAGTGAAAATTAATATTTTAAGTTTTAAGGGATGAAAACATATTTAATACACGTAAATGAATACGGCATGGGAAATACGGTCTATTACTTTTATAGTAGGCTAGGGGAAACTAAGGCAAATGACAACATAGTTCGTGCAATCATGGCAATGCCAGTTAATGTTTAATATTATTTCGACCTGTCTTTAGCTACATTCCGCAATATAAGCCAAATATCTGACCTTTAGGTAATATGCCCATTTATGGAGCAATTGAAGGACAGGTCACCCTATTAACACAATACATGTATAGGGAGCGGGCGCGTTACAATTTGGTTAATAACATCCTTTTCTCTCAGAAGGTTCAGGTAAGAAAATATTTTGCATAAAAATTGCAGATTTATATTGGTAACCTTTCGTCCGTATATGACATGTACGTTTTAAATCAGAAGCCGAATAAAAAGTCAACAAACACTTAAAACCACTTTATTTGTTTATAAAAATATGTGCAGAAGATAAAAAATAAACTTAAACGCGAAATTTTTATAACGTGTTTAAGTTATGAAACGGCACCTATTTTGTAACATGTCTTAATTTTATTGTATAACTAATTTGAAGACAATAGTTTAAATAGTTTGGACTTTGAATGGGATATAGTGCACCGGTATCAGATAACCCCCGAAATGTATTAAACTGTTCGTACGACCCAGACCTGGCAGCCGATAACATTAAGTCATGTTTTCAACTCATGGCTACATGTGAAATTGATTATTGCTAAAATAATGCCAAATGGAATATAAGTTACTAACCTATCCAGTACTATTTGTGTAACTGAACGCGTACCGATCTCATTTTGTTGTTTATTGTGTCATTCGGATAAGAGTTAACAGGCTTTTTCCATTGAAGCTGAAAATATAGCTAATGTATTGGAGTAATTAGATAATTAGAAAAATCTGAATAATGAGCAAAAATAACCGACGTTATTTTAATTTTTTGTCGTCTGCTATTTACGTTTGCTCTATTTCCTCTTGATTGGAGCCATTCGCGTATTTGAATACATGGATATAATGGTATTTCTTGGTGTCGTTTGGTTTACTATTTAAACAAATCGGCTTCATTTCAATTTAATCTCTTATGAAATTATTTCAATTTCGATTGTTATTCCCTCTAGAATGTCGATAATTTTTTTTCAAATCTTGAAAAAGTGTACATATAAAGTGTAAATAAATGACAAGTTTAATAGCTAAGCTTAGGAAATATCAGGTGCTTTAACCGTGTGCTGTCAGCACATATCAGGTGATCATTGGGAAAAATACAGGTGTATTTAAAACATATAACAAGACAGAACTTTATTGGTTTTGACCGTCAGTAAAAGATTGACCGGATTTGTATGTACTGAAGCGTTTATGGGCCATCTTAAGTCAACAGTGTCGTGATTGTAAATTAAAATTCAACATAGTATGTCTGCCTTTGAAACTGTCATATCATATATTGAAATCTGAAAATCGAGTGTATATTTCAACGGGTAACTGTGCAGTGTTGTGTGAAAAAGTTATTAGTGGATCTTAAGGAAGGTTAAATAAGGGAAGGTAAAAAAATAGTGTGATGATGCAGGGGCGGTTTCGTTTGAAGTTGAAGAAATTCTTAAATGTTGTGAATTGTTCCACAAAAATATCAGTTGGATATGGCCAGAAACATGTGAGTATTTTGTTTATTTTACAAATGTTATTACAGTAGATGTAAAATGATATTTTTATAAACAGTTTATGTGCAGTTTGAAATGAACAATGCAGATGCTAAATAGGTAATGCGGTACTTTTTTCTTTCTGTCTTTCTTTTAGTTGTGAGCGTTTCGTGTGACTCCCGCAATAAGTGTTGGACATGCACTCGTACAAAATAAATGCTTTCCGAGTGACGCGTGCCTATGCATATCTACAGCTATAACAAAACATGTATAGTATGCTAATAATAATAACTGTTATACATGCATGTAGTAAATATGTATGTATGTTCAATCTATGTTACCATCCCTGTTTATATTATAAATGAAACTCCGGTTCATTTTCTGGCACACGCATTTTAATCTATATAGTCAACGAGACAGCGAGATAATTTTGGACGGGCGATGTCCTTTCCCAGCGGTTTGACAGTAGGGAAAAAACCTGTAAAATAGGTCGAATTAATTTAAGCTATTTACTCTACAGTTAAACCTTGAAACGATAACCTCTTGCGACAAGTACATACATGCATAAACTATTATATGAATTGTTATATCGGTCAATGACTAACTAAAACTGATATAAACCCCTCCAAATAGCAAACGTTAGTATATAATTTATTATAAGTATTGTTTGTACTGCAAGTTTATACACATTGAACATGTATATACATATTATATTGTGAAGTATATTTGTTATTGTTCGTTCTAGTATACGGTTCACATGACAAAAATCTTGGTCATTCAATTGTTACACTTCATCAGTCGGAGAGCACTAAGTTCGGAAAATTTACTTAAGACAATTTGTGTACATACTTTATTTGTTTAAACGTTTTAAGTGCTTGACATTCAATGTATCGTATCAAAACTCGTTAAAATATTTACAACACGCAAGTATATCATGAAGAAGATAAATTTCAAAGTCACCTCAAATTTCAAATATATAATTCATGAACTTTAAAGCCTTCGCATAGCCTTGACGCTGTACTAATATTAATCACTATTAAATATTACAATATAAGTGACTATTTTTATGTTTGAGAAATGAAATATACCCTAGATCTAATTTTCTAATCATTTAAATGTATTTTTTCGTTATTTTGCCAATGATTTTCCGAAAATGAAAGCAAAAAGGTCGAACTACTTAACATGAAGATGCGATCCGTAAAAACGTGGCGTTTGTGCGTTTTAATGTTTGTATTAAGGAAAAAATTATCAGTTGTAGAATATTGCTCGGTTCGAGTTCAAATACGTAGGAGTACACCCACGAAGGCCGTTAGGCCTGAGTGATTAACTACATAGCATTTGAACGATAAACCGTGCATTATTAAACTAAAAAATGCACGAAAAATTAATATCTATTTCCATTCTAACAAGCAGAGACATAGATAACATGTCTCTGTAACAAGCTAGCAAATATAAAAGAGCATTGGTATATACTTAAGTGTGATGCCACAATAACGTTGTGGTTGACGTATCCGCAGCTCCAACCACAGTTCGTGGCGTGGGTTGCAGCCTTGCAAGGGTCACAACCATGGCATTTTCCTCATAAGAAACCACAACGACTACTGGTTTTTAAAAGCGGATTGTAGTCATAATTTAAATTATCCTATCCATCGCAACTCATCGGCCTTTTCCGACAAACTCCGAATAATTGTACATGTATGTCAGAATTATGTAATATCGGCATGGGTGTTCCGAATGTAATGCTGTTAGTTTTATTCATATATGATTTGTATGGTTTTGGAATAAAATGGACGGACATTCGAGTTTCTTTATTAATGGTGTATACTGTTTAGAATGCGTACAGGTCTTGCCAGAACAGTTATCTTGCTATGTTTATATTGGCATTTCTTTCTTAAAATACACCACCTAACACATAACAAATATACGTTTTATGTCATGATTAAGGCAATATCTCCACGAGAAAGCCAAGAATAGTGATAACAAACTGTCATTTCTCGTGCAGTTTCCATTTTCTTTTTCAAGATAAAATAATTAAAGGCCCATTATGCCACAGACATTCTTTTATTTTTATGTCTCAAATTATTTTTTTTTACTTTTAGTGTCCTTTTATAGTTTCCAAAAGTATACCAAATGGACAAAATTTATTCCTGAATCATATTTTCCTTCAGTTACTTTCTTTAAATTACATTTGTAAAGTTAAGTTATAGTGATTCAGTATTTTGTTTGGAAGTCAAACTACTACTTTGTCTACATTTTGCTACTGTTTTGACAAATAATTCTAAGCTCAGCGCATCATTCTTCATGTTTGGATCTAACATGCCGTAAAACCACCTTTAAACATTATGAAACTCATGTTTGCCCTTTCTAAAGAGGTAACAGTTATTCGTTTCTGAGACACATATTGTGCCTTTAATGAAAATATTCAGATGCTGAGAAATGAACCGGAAATATAAATGAGGTACAAGGCGGCTCTTTTACATGTGAACTTCTCTTGCGCAAGGTTGATATTTAATCATTGTGGGAAAGGGGTAAATGATCGATAACTTTGATTAATTTAGTACCTGCACTTTCCTTCTGGGGTCAAAATTATATAAATGTTCTAATTGTTGCTTATGTATTATGCTATAATATCACCTTTAAAGCCGGGCGTCGTGTTGGGACAAGGTGGTAATCCGACATTAACAAGACTTTTGTAGCTTCAGTGAGGTCCGAAAGACTAAGGACATACAATTTGAAATAACCTAAACTTGGGCACGTACAAGTAAAATATGCAAAAGTTGGTAATGAAATATACTTAGAAATAGTTTTTTAGCGATTCTTAGCCCGATTTGAACTAAAATTCCACCTCAAATGTTGCTATCCTACCGGCGAGGTGAGAGTATATGTTAAATTATAATTATATATTATTTAAAGTAAAAACATATGTTGACATAAGTTTCTATTTACTTTAACATACGTAAGCGTCTGTGTTTCGTGTGTCACGGAAGATTGGTTATCTGATATATAACTTGACTATCTAATCTAATCACCACTTTATTGTTCAGTTTCATTAACCTTAACCTCGCCGAATTTTCATAATGGACCTGACGTGTTTTAAACTTGGAAGCGCCCATTAGAAGTTAAAGGGATTTCAGCATATATACAGTATGAGCAAGCAGGCTGACCTAACTTTTAAACTGGTGACCTAAACAAGTCATTTTAATTGTCTGAAACCCTTTAAGCGTTTTAAAACTAGTTCTAAATGACCTAATTATCTACAAATTACTACCTTTGTATAAAGACTTATGTAGATGATACCCCGGGTCATATTTCAGAAGATACAATCTATATTTTGATAGTAAAATTATGTAATTGATCAAATTGATAGCGATTAAATGAATCAAACTTGATACAGAAGGAAGGAAGTTTGACTGAACTGAGCTGTACGTGGAGAATCTAATCCGAGAATAACATTATTTCCACAAGTAATAAAGGATTTATATCCAACATTGTTCATGATGTAGAATATTATTTCCTCAAATAATAGATGTATTATGTTATATCCAACATTGTTCTTGGTGTACCGATGTACCGGTGTCGTTTGAGAAAATATGGTTGAGAAGAGCTCGGAACTATGACCCCTGTGTTAAAAGCAAACGACTTAACCAGCCAAAGGCCACCACTCCTCTGGTTGCATTACTTAATGTTACGATACGTTACATTACGACTCGTGTGCTCTCCGATGATTTAAAACGTAAAAATGTGAAATCAAATTTTACTGTAACAACGTAAATTATAGTATACCTTAAAATGCTTTTAATTAATTTTTGGATGGGTTTGTAATGCGACTTTTCACCTTTATTGGTGGACAGAAGGAAGACCTCTGTGCGTAATTTCAGGCACGAACAGGCACCTGAACAGAACCACCGGCGTTCCGAAAACTTGCTCATAAAAGAATCTAAAGTCCCATGTCAGGATTCGAACCCACAGCGATGAGGGGCAAGTTGTTTGAAATCGACGACCTTAACACTCGATAATGGACGCCCTATAAAACACTTTTAACCAAACAAGGTAAAGTTTCAAAACTCCACAATAAAATAAAAAAAAATACCCTAAAATTGCTTTGAATAGAGATGAATTTCCATCTGATTCGATCATTTGAGGTGAAAGGTTTGCAAATCATAAATACAGGTTACACAGACGTTGAGTTGAGCATGACTTTTATTTCGTGTTTTCTAATGGTAATACTCTATATAGCAGTTCTTTAGTATTACTCATCATGCAACTTATATGCCTTTCAGCACGTTATTTCCATGCGTTATGACTAAGTCCCCGTGCATTTGAAAGAATAATAAAATTCGAATTTTCTTCTTAGAAATAATGGTTTTCAGCAAAATTAATATACATAGTGCAGCATCTAGTTTTTGTTTTGTTTGTTGTTTTTTTTTTAAACTGATAAATAAATTTGTTAACCATTACATATCGTAACCGTATACTTCGGGTTTGCTCGTATGTCATGGGTAACTGAATGTTGTCAAGTTCTCAATATCATTGTTTTTCTTCCCCTGTATAAAAGAAACATATGAGCCGCGTCATGACAAAACCAACATAGTGGGTTTGAGGCCAGCATGGAATCAGACCAGCCTGCGCATCCGCGCAGTCTGATCAGGATCCATGCTGTTCGCTATCAGTTTCTCTACTTGTTAAAGGGTTTGTTAGCGAACAGCATGGATCCTGATCAGACTGCGCGGATGCGCAGGCTGGTCTGGATCCATGCTGGTCGCAAACCCATTATGTTGGTGTTGTCGTAGCCTGGGATTCAGGCGTTGATATTTTTTTTATTTATTCATAACTTACGCGCTATTTCATACTCGATCGTCATAGATAACACAACATCTCTGGTTTTGATAGTATCAACTTGTCGATTTGCCGAACAGAAGCACATAAAAAATCGACAGACTGGAACCCAGGCTAGTGTTGTCGTGACTCGGCTCATATCTCTTTCACTTTTGCTACAAAGATGGCACACAGAGGCCTCCATTTTACCTTGTGACTGACAGTAGTTCCAATACGGTTCCAATATGTCGCCTAATTATAAGAGATCAGATTGAAACTTTGTGTTATCTTATAATGGTAACTTAAGCTTTATATTACCCTAGCATACGCCTTTTGAGTCTCAGACAAAAATGTCTATACAATTTTAAATAAGTGTGTTAAGGGGTCAAGAACGTGTTAAGATTCTTATCACTTGAGGAACGTAGAGCTGAATATGAAATAATTTGCCTTATGGTTCAGAGATATGACTTATGAGTACCATTTTAAAACTGTAATATTGCAATAAAATAAAAAGCTTTCGGGGAATTTTAAAAATAAATTGTATGTGTGGCTTAATGGACCTTTAAAGCTTTCAGGCAGTATTATAGTCATTAGTGCTGTTAAAGATGAGTACCTCTTAGACTGTCTGTTTTATATTCAACACTTACAGATGCCGTGTATTTGAGTAATATAACTAAATTATTTAAAATATTTTGCAGCCGCCGGCGAGTGACTGGAGAAAGACATGGTGGGAATCTTTTGAGGAGACGCCATTGTATGCGGCTATCTGGACGTACCTCGGATATGGGATGCTGGTCATAGTCGGCTACATACGAGACTTTCTCCGGAACGTAGGGATAGAAAAACAAAAGTCATGTACGGAGCCAAGATTACCGGTAAGATTAATGTATAGTTCATGTTAGGTAGTGGAAAATCCAAATTTTCGATTTTTTGTTCTTACAATTCTTCAATCACTTCAAACTGTTTGAAACATGAGTGATGTAATTTTCTCTACTATCATTCAAAGGCGTGCGCATGCATTTAACAAATAAAAAGGGTAATATTTGATATACGAAAGTTAGGAGTCAATCCGACATATATGTGTGTGCTATTTTTCTCTAATCATATTCATATAGAGACATTATCTTACACATTATTTAGTAGCAGCAACAAGTAAGTTTTACATTATGTATAATCTTGAAACTACTGCGATAGTTGATGGTTCGTGCCACATGGCTTTACTATATACATGAAATATTGTTTATCTTTTGTCTTAACTTGATAATAAAACAAGGAAACTATTACTTAATAAGTATTGAAAACATTAGCTAATTTTGTGTGGTTAATATTTTAACTACCTTATTTTCACCATATCTATATGATCGTATCTATATGATTGTTATTGCATGAAAAATACCTTAAATTGGCCCGTGAATTGAAAAGGCATGACAGAGGGTTTAATTTAATGAATGCACATTATACTTGCTTAGCAATCGTAATCACTCTAATAATATTATTATAACATCCATTCACTGAATGACAAAAAATCCATTTCAAGCAGGCCGTCCCTGGAGGTCAAAAAATAAGAACAGTTCCATATAACAACAGTGCAGGTCGCTTAGCAATGCAGCGAAAACAAATCTGAAAACAGATAAATATCAGGATCAAATATGTGGAAATTGTGTACTTAAAAGTTGTGTGATCGATTTAAAGCGAAAATGATTGGAAGTTTACGTAAAGGTGATTTAGAGAAGTAGGTCAATATAAAACAGAACACAATTCTTTCATTTTTCAGTACGAAATATTTTAATCAAATTGAAGAAACTAAGACTTGGTCCGCTTGTGTGTGTGATTTTTTTTTTCTTACTTTGGTTTGTTGTTTTGTGATTTTTCCCCGCAGGAAATATTATATTACATGTACATAAATATTCCGATTCCCAAGTCAACATTTTCTGCACACAATAAAAATTGTTATATGACAGTTTATTAGCAGAAATTGTTGCCGTGATAAGTTAATTAGCAACTATGATTTTGCATATTTGTTGCAAATAGGTATCATATTGTTCTGTAAACAGGATTTGCGCTTGAAGCAAATGACAGGAAATCAAAGCTCATTTACAATAAACATGTCTTATAATTGCGTTATATTGACTTCATATTTGTTAGGCAACTGCATGCGCTATAACTGAAAGGCATATATCGATAAGTAAACAAATGTGTATGTATGTATATAACTATGAAGGGGGTAGGGTAGGGTAGGGTAGGGTAGGGTAGGGTATGTATGTATAATCAGAGATAATATGAAAAGGAAGCAGCCTTGAAAAATATTGTTGGTGCTAAGCAAAGGGTCTGCTTTATAAGCCGTCATTCTCTGTGCTAGGGGCTCTAGCACACTTTCCTGTCCTGTCTACTTTGTAGGGCCACTCCTCTCGGCTTTAGTAAGGACACCGGCAGCTGGTCCACAGATACAAGTTCTGGTCTTTGATGTTTAAGTTCGTCAAGTCTTCTGTCGATACCGATGACTTGTGCATAATACATACGATTACAATATACGTCGAAAATAAACATCCCCGTTGATAAATAAAACAGTAAATTGTTAGGTACGGGTGCTGAAAATGGCAGAAATCAATTCTGATAAGATTTTAATGCAGTAAAAATGTAGACTCTGATTGCCAAGCATATCAGTCAATCAGAATAGCTAATTCGATTAAAGCAGCATAATACCACAACTAAACAATTTATAACAAGAAAGAAATCGATTACATCCTGATTGTTTACAGAAACAATAACCTGATTGATTGAAATATAGTTGCAGACAGGAAGAATATTGTTTAAACACCACGACAGACATTGATCGGTACTCATTGCATACTTTCAGAGAGACTAGTGACCATTATTTCATACCTGGTTTATTTCCAGTGCTGCTATTCAGCTTGTTTGTTTGTTTTCTATTCCTGATTTTACGCCCAATTCAACACACTAAAGGCAATATGCTTCGATTACAAGCTTTCCTGGATAACTAACCAGTACTTACCAATTTTTCCGTAAGTTCACCGACTGCTAATCCCCCATATTTTTTTATTTTAATTGGCGATGAGAAACAAATGAACATTAGAATGTATGTCCCAGGTCAAGTCTTGGTCGAGGATCAAACCAAAGACCCCTGTTCTCCATACTGAGCTAAGCGGGTTTTGTTTATGAATAACAGTGGCTGTTTGCATCCAAGAAACCTGCAAGTATTCAAATGAATATTGCAGCAGTGGGTTTGCCTTACTGAAACATTATCAGTTATCAGGATCACTTGATTAACATATCGATCTTAATTACAATATCGTGTGGAATTATGTTCATGCATTACTTAACTTACATGTCAAGTTTGCTTAGATCTATTATCAATATTTTAAGTATGAACTGTTTTTCCCCTTTTTATCTTTTTTGTTATTTATTTATATTTTTATTATTTTTTTTTTTTTGAACAAAAGTTTTTCAAAATTGTGGACCCTCATTGATCAAATAGACCACATGCGGGAAACTTGAGTATTCCCTTTCAAAGTTAAAATACATTAATTTTGTTAAGTACATTAGTACAAGCCTCCCCCCCACTCCCCCTGTTTTCACTATTTTGACTATTTCTTTAAGGGGGTCCTATTTCGGGTTAAAGGTAAATAATGATGTTAACAATGGCATTGCTTTTGAAAATAGTCCCCGGTGTCGGTGACTAATAATGAACTTTTGACCTTTGGTTGTCAACTTACTGACCACAAAGAAATTTAATGATACTTTTGTAATTAAACTGGAAATTAATTTTAACTTTTGAAATGTTGTCCTTTTTCATCGTATGTATACGTACACAACTATTAACTTTGCAAATTTCTTCACATATTCAATAAGGATTTAGGATTTTGATCGTAAATGAAAGCAAATAAATATAAATATATATAATCTTAATTCAAAACTTTTCTTTTTTCTTTAATACTTTTCATTACCGATCAAAGGGTTTCGGGATGCATTGCCGTGTGAAGTGATATTTGAATTTATGGGGAACAATAATTTTGATTCATAGGTAATACATATTAAAAAAAATAACGCGATTTATTGCACACTTCACATTTAATTTAAATGAATTAAAGAATTCAAGTTTAGGGCTTGTGATCGGCCATGTCCGATAATTTACATGGTCATCACCGCCAGGTATATATCTCGGATGTTAGTAGCCATTAATAAGTACAGTACGGACGTTGAACGATTTTGTTTAGAATACAATTTTTCATGAAATAAAGACTCATGAATATGGTATGCTATTAGTGGAAATGTGTGACGCTTTTCTATTTATCAAGCAGAATGTCACAAAAAGCATTAGTCACGATAAAGGTTAAGGTATAAATAGATTGGATTCTTGTACACACACACATATTGCACTCCACCCAATTACAATACTCATTGTAAAGTGATAAAGTATTTAAAGTTTTGCTCTCATTTAATCTTAACGTGTCACCTTAATAAAAGCCTATTGATATATGTTTTACTTATATCAAACACCATTTTGACCGGGGCAATTAATTCTTATTGAGTCGTTAGAAGCATACCTGTTCTTCTTCAACTATAACTAAGTATGAATGATCGCAAATGGCCGCTATCTGGAGTAAAAGTTATGCATTTAAGAACTGATACCCGCCAGGGCTGGTCATCATCACGTCAAATGTTAATGATGTCAAATTGCCAATGACGTTACTTCGTTGGAATACGGCTTTAATGGTAGTAAAGTTGGTTATATCCATAGATGTTGAGATTTGCAACACCGGTGATTTCAAAATGGACCTGGAGAATTATTTTATTGTATGCCAAGATTACTTTTAAAGCAAAAAAATATGAAACAGTGTTGACATTTTTATTATTTTATTATCACTATTATTACTTTGCTTACAGGGGTTTGTACCTCTTTATCAAAGTTGGGAGAACTTTTACACCCGGAATTTATACCGTCGTGTTCGAGACTGTTGGAACCGTCCGATATGTAGCGTGGCTGGAGAGTACATGGACGTCATGGACCGGACTTCGCCGGATTCAGGATGGAACTTTGAGTGAGTAAATATAACGTCAATTTTGATGGTCCAAATTGACGCCCGATTATTCAACCTTAATGATCATATTGTTTAGCAAACATCGTAAATGTATATAGTAAATGAATAACATGCTGAATGGCATTATCAAATTATATAAAACCGTTAATCGGAATAACTCGGATTTGTTTATAATTGTACATAAATGGGCATTTTTTTTAAATTGATTATGATTGTCAGACATATTTTCAATCATTATTTTATCGAAATTAGATGTCAAATACATACATTCATTATACATTAACAAATATTTCACCCTCTGTTTTGCGTAATCTAAATCACGTGGTAGAACTACTTTAAGTCCGTATTAAAAGTCCGAGGTTATTATGAATAATAGCCGAGGTGTTCCGATTGGAAATTTATGTTTCCTTGAACTTGTTTGTTGAAATAAAAACTATACTTAATTATATTGCTTACATATTCTAACATTGTCAACAAACACATTTATACTTGTATACATGTATCATTTACCGGTCAATTATCACATTCTTTCCATATTCCCGTTGCAATTAATAACCTGTAATCATATCATCATATTTTTTTGCCAGATTATCTGACAAAAAGCACCACGTTATGAACTTTGGGTCGTACAATTACCTTGGGTTCGCCGACAACAAAGGACCATGCAAGGACGCAGCGGAAGAAACCACGCGGAAATATGGGATATCAACGTGCGGCAGCCGACAGGAACTGGGTAAACGGTGATCTTTCTTCAAAGTTTAAAATATATAGTGTGTTCTTTTTACTGACAACCAAAAATAAGGGAAAGAAACAATAAAAGAAAAAAATAGATAATAAACTTAAGTTTTTTTTTTAAAGGCCCATTATGCCTCAGAAATGCTTCCATTTTTTTTTGTGTGTATTTTTATAGTTTCCAAAAAGTTTTTCATTGGCCAGTTACCTGAACCAATTATTCATTCGTTTTTTGGGCAATAAGTACAGTTATAGTGAATTAGTATTTTGTATGGAAGTCAAACTACGACTTTGTTTACATTTTGTTACTTTAATGACAAATAATTTCGCATTTTTGCTACCTTCATCAGATAACAATCATCTAACATACTCAAAAACCGTTTTTAAACATTTCTAAAGAAGTGAAAATTTACTTGTTTCTGAGACATAATATGCCTTTATATTGGCTTTTCCATTGATTTTCGTAAGTATTTTTTATGAAATATTGTGCAAGCACAGTATGTCAACGCAGGAAATATATAAAATATCATTTATGACAGAAAACAAAAGGATAGAAAACATGCGAATGGAAGTAATTGAATACGAAAGCGTGACAATGCAATTTCTTAATAACGATTCTTTCATCCTATCATCAATATTTGTCTTAAGAAATAATAAACATTACAATTGAATGCATTTCTAAAAGTGCATATAGGTCATAAGAATTTTAATGATATGCATGTAACAGGCCCACCGAAATTTACTGAATTTGTGTCGTCTGCAATAAGTTTTATTTTCGTTCAAACTCAAAATTGTTAAAATTTTCAGTTATATACATGTATATATGTTTATATAATTATATATACATATAAAGTCTTGCATCAAGTCATTTGTATGCCTGTCCTTTTTCATTGACTGAGACATCCTGCTATTTTAAGTGAGATTACCATAGGCTTTAATGTTGAATAATGTATTTCACTGCATACTTCTGCGAATAACTATAGTACTATTAAAATCGTTCGATCTTTAAATCATATCTTATAAGTTATAATTGAGCCGTGCCATGACAAAACCAAATTAATGGGTTTGCGACCAGCATGGATCCAGACCAGCCTGCGCATCCGCGCAGTCTGATCAGGATCCATGCTGTTCGCTTACCAACTATATTACAAGTATAGAAACTGATAGCGAACAGCATGGGTCCTACCAGACGGCGCGGATGCGCAGGCTGGTCTGGATTCATGCTGGTCGCAAACGCACTATGTTCGTTTTGTCATGACGCGGCTTAATTATGTATTTGTTTTACAGGGTACCTCGATATACACCGAGAATTGGAGGATCTTATAGCCCAGTTTCTGGGCGTAGAAGCGGCCATGACAGTTCCTATGGGCTTCGCCACAAATTCCATGAATATGCCATGTTTAGTCAGTAAAGTGAGTTTGAAATTATACATAACCTTTTACCTCCTGAATTTATTCAATAGATTTACCCTGCTTTGAATTTGGAACAGTCCATTCTAAATTTAAGAAATTTTCAATGTCGAAATTCAAAAACTTAGCTACCAACAGTGTAGAGCCTAGGCTGACCGGACAAAAGACTGGTCGCAACGGCTACTCACTTTCAATACCAACATGGTATTGGACAAAACGATTTATTCTATGAAACCTGATCTCGAAAAAAAAACAACTTCAATAAAATATGTTTAAGATATCATATCAGTATTAAAAAGAGGCGTTGAAACTTCTAAATGCTATATAAGATAACCATATCACTTTGCTAGTAGCAGAGGAATGCCAAAAATGCCCGCCAAATATCTTCTGTTATCATAGTAAAAGCTTCCGTATAAAATATTGATTAAGTTGTATGTTTATTTTTTCAGGGATGTCTTATTTTAAGTGACGAGTTAAACCACGCATCTTTAGTCTTAGGAAGTCGTTTAACAGGGGCCACGATACGAACATATAAACATAATGGTAATTCACCTTTTGACCTTTTGTATTTGTACATGTATGCATTAATAAATATTGCATTTCCTTTTTTAACTCTTCAAAAAAGTAAGCGGATATCTTAATTGTTTGTGAAGAGATAATTCTAAGTCTGCAAAAATCCACTGGATTGGATTATATACAAATTGAAAGAATGAATGATAAAGGAAAATAGGTCATTATAAAGACAATTTGTATTGGAATAAATTGTATTCTATATCCATGATGAACAGAACAGAACAAAAACAAACAAAAAAGCAAAAAAAAAAAAAAAAAAAAAGCGGTGCCTTGCTAATCCGAACCATACAAAGTGTATAGGGGCTTAGTTTTATTCCTTCTATTTTCAATAGTAAAAACCTTTTCGGATCTCGGATCTGGAACCTGTCTAATCCCAATTCCGGACATTTTTTCAAATTTTGTTTTCTGGATTCGAAGAGAGTGAGCCGATTGTCACACCTACAGCCTGTACTTCCGTCCAAATTTAAAAAAAAACAAAACAAAAAAACACACACCTCGGACTTACCTTTTAAGTCCGAAAAATGCAGAATTTAGGACATTTTAAGGCATTTAGCAAAAGCTTAGCAAATATTAGTAAAAACTACAGACATAATGATTTAAACTTCCATTTGTGACGAGATAATAAATAATTTGTAAACATTTTTGTTTTAAAGATATGGCTGATTTAGAGAAGAAATTGAAAACATTAATCGTTCATGGTCAGCCTAGAAGTCATAGACAGTGGAAGAAAATACTTATAGTTGTAGAAGGCGTTTATAGGTAATTATAACTTCAATTTCATTTCTTATTTTCATTTTTATGCTTTTATGTTTTTAAGTTTTAAAAAGCTGTCCAAATTCAACATGCCAAACAGATTGTGCGACAAGAGTAAGAATTTAGTACTTATTTTAAATGTGTTAAAAGATCAAATGGTCCTTTCTCAACATTGCTTTGGCAGTATGACTACAAGAGCGGTGAGGTGGCCCAGTAGTTAAGGTGCCTTCCACTCAATACAGGGATCTTAGGTCTGAGCCCTTTTTAGGGCCATTGCCATTTTTTCTGAACCAAAATTCAATAAAAATTAGACCCGACAGAGGGGGTGGGGATGGGCTGCAAAACCACAACCGCCCTTTGATTTAATACGTTTCAGTTAAGCCCAGACTCTTGCGTCTTTTGCCCCGGCCTAAAGCAACATCTACATATGAACTTGCATTTAGTTAAATTTTAATTAAATTTACTTTGTCTTTTCAGTATGGAGGGGTCTATAGCTTGTTTACCAGAGATTTTACGATTAAAGAAGAAATATAAGGCTTATGTTTATTTGGATGAAGCTCACAGTATAGGTGCCGTAGGAAATAAGGGGCGTGGTATTGTCGATTATTTTGGACTAGACCCCAAGGATATAGATATTAGAATGGGAACTTTTACAAAAAGTTTTGGCTCAGCCGGCGGATATATAGGTGGATCTAAAGTAAGGAGAATTTCTGTTTACTTTTAAAACCCTGATCACCCTAAATTTATAAAATGGACTTGTCAATCTTTCATTCTAGACGAAACCATTAAGCAATTTTGGAGAAAATTTTTAAAATAAGTACGGACTGCATGAGTAGTGAAATGTGAAGACCGTGACTAGACGGCACGTGCCGGCTGGATTTGGTCTGCACTGGTCGCATGGATAAAATTAATTAGACATAGTTTTATTTCAATCATATAAGGCTTATAAGCCCATTATGACAGGATAATAGCATAATACAAAACTGTGTTGACGAAAGTAGGCTATTTGGTAAAAATAAATAACCACCACAAGTAGTCTGCATCACGTCCAGTCTAGCTACTACTATTTTTTGTCTACTACTATTTTTTGTCTACTACTATTACTTCGTCTGCTATAAAAACGAAACAGACATACAAAAAAAATGTTGAAATGGCAAAATCCCTTTAATGCAGGAACATTAATGCAAAGCTTGCATTTTATAAGTACAAGCGTACTTGTCTAGCTTGCTCTAGTGATGGTTTTTGTAGAGCTAAGGCGTCGTGTATGATGCTACAGCTAAAATACAACGCATTGAATGACCCATTTTTGTGGTTCAGAATGGCAATCGTGGTTTCGTTTAGTGAAACTTATATTTGGCATCTGGTTTATCACGATGAATTCTGTCTCCTTGTATTCTGCATTGTCACCCTGAAGTAAATATCTTGGGTTTTTACTGCTGTAAAATATAAATTAGTTTTGATAAAAAAAATATACTGAAAGGTTTTATGATATCATTTACAACCCCATGCCCATGATATAATAAAAACTACTACAATATGAAACTCCTATATAGTTGACCTCGAGGAATTTGACACTTATGGCTATTTGACACTTATGGCTTACGTATTAATGTGTAACATCTATTTGTTGAAATGAATTTGATATTTGTACGTTAAGTAACGCTATACAATAGAGTTTTATTTGATATTGGTTTACAAAAATAATACAGGATTAACAATGGTTATGAATAAATGATAACATTTGTTATGGGTCGAGTGGTTTACGTGTTGGACTAGTAATCTAATGATTGCTTGCCGCATGGGTTCAAACCACGTCGGGGGAAGTCGTTTTTGTCCATGAGCAAGAAACTTTCGTTACACCCACTGCTCGGTACTGGTTGGATCCAAGAACGGATTTGAAAGTGTCTATGAGCTTGTAGCTTCCTACACAATCGAAATTAACTAAATTCTGTATAAACCATTGTTTATCCTGCTGGAATGGAAAGTGGCCAGCATTGTCCGCCTTGTCCACCATTGTAGGACACGTGTACGCGTAGCCTGGCCTATTCTATACTGCTTATAGGCCATTGTGCATTTTCTTATTTGGATATTTTTTATTTGATATTGAAATCCCTAAAACTTTGAATGGACTGTTCCTTATTAAAAGCCGGGCATATCAATTACACAAATTTAGCAGCTCCGTGTTTGATATTGCGTAGTGAGTGGGCTTATATTAAATGACTTGACCGACGCACTATGCATTCAGAAAAAAATATGGCATGATTTCATGAGTTCATATAATCACCAATGAATGGCGCATGTATTTGTACAGATTTACCGTCTGCTAACTCTGCTGGTACATTGTAATTATTTCAATGTTTACAACATGTAGTTATGGATCAAATCAAATTATTTACTCTGCTTTTATAACCTTTCGTACATACTATTTTCAATTAACAATTGAATGATTGCATTGTGTGGTCAAGGGCCTTGACCTTTACACTAGCCATTAGACAATTCATGTTCATGCTGTTAATCAATATAGTAAACAGGGAGTGTAAATGGAGATTTCATTGTTAATTATTACAATTCATAATGACTATAAAAGTACACGCTTGAAAAATAATAGTTCATGATATTAGCAGTCATTGTCCGCTTAATCACGTGATCTTATCGTTTTAAATAATCGATTTGTGTTAATGAAGGACTCTAGAACTTAATAATGTGCTTAAATAAATATGCTTGAGAGAAAACGTTATTAGTCTATAACAGATCGTATTTTTTTCATTCATTGGTGTTTTTTTTGTCAAATGCAAATTTGAACAACTAGATCGATGTAGATTGTTCTTGCACAAGAAAACGAATGTCCATTGTAATAAGGCCAACTAAAATTTATTTTCCACTCTTACATAAATTATCTAGATAGACTTGCTTGTATACTCGGCGATATATCAAAACTATACTATATATGACCACTGTAGTTTTTTCTCAAAAAATGAATCATTTTGTATTTCAGAAATTGATAAATCACTTACGATGTCACTCACACGCCTCCATATATAGTCCAACAATGCCACCACCGGTTGCTCAACAAGTTATATCATCCATGAGAATTATTATGGGCTTAGATGGAACTAATCAAGGTAAGTCTTATGTTTTCCCAACTCTATGCCGGGAACCATGAAAACTTATAATTCACGAAAGGAATCATTATAAAGATGAGCAATGATACATCACTTCTGGTCCTGGACTAATCAGTACCTGTGTTGAGAAAAAAAACATTATTGTGGATTTTGTATGGCTCGAACCATCAGGTGTTAAGGTTCAGAGGCAGACAACTTTACCATATTGATAGTTCCCCGTGTTTATACAGGGTTGGATATTTAATAAATAGATTTTGTAGTGAATTTTCTGTCTAGAATTCTTTTTTTTCAAGGAACTGCACTTACAAATAGCTAATGTAAAAACGGCATCAAATGTATTTTCTATATTTCATGTTATTTGTTTTCTCAAAGCTGTAGAGTTATTTGTTTAAAAAGTACAAGTTTAATGGCCGAGTAAGTAAAGTCGTCGAGTTCAAATAAACATTTCTTCACGTATGTGGATTTGAATCGATGTGACTTAAAATCAAACGAAACAAACAGTATTTTAGTGCAATATTGTTTATGATGAAATTGTGGAAATTTTATTTTATCTGTTATCAATATGTAAACAAAAAGTTTTTTTGTAAACACGTATGCAAACAAAGGATCTTTTGCTTCCTGTTTGCAATGTTCTAGAAATTCTCGTATCTGGTGGCCTCCCTGAACTTCCGTACTTTTTGAAGGAGATGATTTCTTTAAAGCTCCTTTTTCGTATATGTATCCAAAAATTATATGTAGCATGTTGTCTTTAGATGTGAATATAAACGTTTCAGGGATTTTCTTGGTCGTTCCTATTATCAAATTCAATGAAGTATCTTAAATTACAAGCCTTAAATTACATGTTTTACGCAGAAATACTTGCCATAATGTTGTATAAGAACTATATGGCTATTTTTTGTTTGTTTCCTTTACTTTACTTAGGTATTTCGGAGTGTGGCAAACATTTTTTTTCCTTTTTTCTGTAGTATAATTTATGCTAGCTCGGCAGGAACCGCAGTTTTCAATTTATTGGTTACATGTATGTTCAGATAGGCTGCGTCTTTTTTTTGCCCAAAGAAAAAATCAAACAAGTGACGTACGTATTTTGCTACTTGAAATGATTTACCCATACCATGTACCAGCTTGATTTTCTGTTCATAAATAAAAAATATAGTCTAACTAATAAGAATTAACGTCAAATATATACCCACTATACATGTACAAAAATGAATGAAAATGTCGTCAAACAAAAAAGAATTTACGTCATATTTGCTAGAATACCAAGCCCATGTGCCTGTACCACCAATATAGGGTCAGACTAGACCTCTTGCATCATTTCCATGTTTTCAATCCCTTGCATAACGTAACAAAAATGTTGCAGCTCTGAAAAAGAACAAGTTCAATTTATAGCTATTTAGTAGGTTTTGGATATGTTATACTGTACATGTATATTTTATAATAGGTGTTGGAAGAATACAACAATTGAAGGACAATATACGATATTTTAGACGGAGGCTTCATGAAAAAGGTTTCATAATCTACGGAAATAAAGATTCCCCTGTAGTTCCTATTCTCATCTATTATCCATCAAAAACTGTGTACGTTGATATTTCTTAATTTTTGCGTTTTTTTCGTGATAACAATTTTATCATACGTGATTTTATACTGTAACAGTTATACTCGAGATTGTTTGAATAATATTTATGATTTTATAGGAATTAGGCATTTTAGAATGTTGTTTTATTGTTCTGATATGCAATATTGTAAGGCATAGTTTAACATTCTAAACTTTTTTCTCCTAAACATGTATATACATGCATTTAAACATGTTTGAATACTTATATTACACGAGCTTTAATAATACATTGTATAATATATAGAAGTCGTATTTTTGTGATTGAAAATTAAAATTATTGTTTAAATGTCGTCTGCAGATCAAAAGGTATGCAAATATTTACTATGTGACGTAATTTAATAGATTTTGAGATTTTTTCAAAGGAATAGAAATATTTCATTTCGAGTATTAAACTGTGTATTTGTTTAAGATATCTAAAAATATATATTTTTGAATATTATCAATATTAATTGTCATTAATATCGTAAAATTTTCTTATCCATTTTTTCAAATGTTTACAGAGCTTTTAGTAGAGAATGTTTAAAACGTGGACTAGGAACTGTTGTTGTCGGTTTCCCGGCAACCTCTATCATAGAATCACGTGCCAGAATATGCCTGTCGGCTGCTCACACGCCGGAAATGGTTGACAAGGTAAAATCAATACCCAGCTTTCTTGTTTGACAATGTTTCACAGGTGGAAACACTAATTTTTAAACTGAATTGAAAATATTAAACTTTGAAATGCAACGTGCATTTCATGACTTTGTACATCTTTTCAAACCAGTGTTTTCATTTTAAACCTATGAGTTTTTCTACTTTTTTTTGAAAAAAAAAAATGAATATCGTAAATAAAGATAAATAAACATTTCTTTTTTTTACAATGACTCGGATTATTCTAAATTTATGTAGCTTCGGGTATTTGTCGAATAACAAACTCTTCATATACAAAATGTAAACATGGCGTATACCCCAAGGAGCTTTTTGTTGTATTCCAACGTCATATTGTTTATTTTAATTTTTACCTTTATACCTATCCTCATATATTTACCCACATAATGTAAATATAATAATAAATAATTAAGTCTTTTGTAGAAAACTGAATGTTTTTTTATATCTATTTATAAACCCTCTCAATATAATCGACATTGTTTTGTGACTGTCAATCACAATAAATTTAAGAAACAGCGGCAGATATTTTTATGACTAGATGCAGACGATAATTATATTGTCTTGTAATATGTTATTTCCCAATTTTCCACGAAATAGTACAGTATACATGTATGTTCTTTCTAATATGATACTGTCCACACAATAGTAGTACACTGCTGAAACTTTTTAGTCTTTTTCTTTTGGTTTTATAGCATTGGTCATATAACGACTTTTCATTAAAGACCTCAGCGACACAAACTGGCATATAAGTAAATCCACCGACGTTCTGTTAGCTGGATAGCTTCCTCACACGAAAGAATCCAAAGTCCCTGTCAGGATTTGAACCTACAGGGTGAGGGGCAAGTGGTTTGAGCTAAGTGACCTTTACCACTCGGCCACGGACGCCCTAAGTTGATATTCAAAAATAATATATATGTTTCTGTAGATATTCGTAGGCACCTTGCAGAACAAAGACTACTTATCTTGTACATTAAAATAGTATTCCCCCCTACCATCCATAAAGTAACACAATGTATATGTACGCATTATCTACAACATCTTTCGATGTAATATAATAACATTTGCTGACAAACTGTCTTCTTATATGAAACAAAACACTTGAAACAGTTGAAATATACTATGTGGTATTTATCTTTTCTTTTTCAGGCCTTAGACATTATTGATGAGGTAGGAGATTTATTACGTATCAAATATTCTCATTTGGAGTTACCCCAGTGGTGCGAAGATGACACCAATGCCAACGATCTTATACAGGACTAGGTTTGTAATTATATATATTATGAGCCGCGCATAGACAAAACCAACATAGTGCGTTTGCGACAAGCATGGATCCAGACCAGCCTGCGCATCCGTGCAGTCTGATCAGGATCCATGCTGTTCGCTATCATGTTCTCTACTTGTAATACGGTTTGTGGATCCAGATCAGACTGCGCGGATGCGCAGGCTGGTCTGGATCCATGCTGGTCGCAAACGCACTATGTTGGTTTTGTCATGGCGCGACTCACTTTATTACAAAGTTGTTTTGAACTATTTTAGTTTACCATTGAAAAATTATGTTTTCCACAATTTATAACATCTGAATGCATTGTACATTGTTTTCCCTACTTTATCTTATAACAGAAATTAATATTTTCCATAATTTTCAGTAACTGAATATAATACATTCCATAATTAACAATAATAAGAGAATATTGTTCATGTTTTTGTAATAAAACAATGTAAAAAATAATATTTTTTATGTAATTTAGAATAAAATGTTTTTCCCCATTATTTTATATTTTATTTATTTTATAAATAAATGCATTAAATTCAATAATTTATGATGACAAAAGAATTTTTTTCTTTAAAGAAGCATAAATCTATAAATTAGTAAATATAAGAGTTTTTCTTAAAATCTGTCCAATCACACCACATGGTTTCCTGATGGCTATGAACACTGAATTTATGAACCCCAAACCTCCTAGAACCAATTACTTAACCTTTGCCACCAGTATAGAGCCAGCCCATCCTGCAAGACCATGCAGGCTGACCTGGCTCTTTACTGCCGGCTGCCCATTGAAAACCCTTCAAGGTTAAATATATAGACTGTTCCGAATTCAAATCTGGGACAGACCATTCCACAATTGTCGCAGGTAAAGAGTTAACACATTGTTTTCTTTTTCAGAAGAGATTTTCAACATTCCAAGATCTGACATCCAAAAACAGGGTATCGAGATTTTCCAAAATGACAGAACACACTATGTGAATAGTTCATGTGCTCTTATTGTATAACAATCATGCAGTACTTCCTGTAATGAAGTCTACAATCATAAAACAAATGTTCATCACATGGTTTTAACCACATGATTCAGGTGTGAAATGTCACAAATGTACACATGACTGTATTGGTGTTTTATATAGATAATTGCCTCTAAAAATAGAAACCATTGACAAGAACCGAACACCATAAATTAAATTCTGGATTGCACATTTGATGGAACACTAAAAAATCAAATTCTGACTGAAACATTTGATGGATATATGACAATTACATGTGCCTAGACTTTTTTGCAACAATCTCTTCACTGTTGATGAATATGGTTTTAATCTGTCTTAAAAATGCTTTTTATCTTTCTTGGAGGGAAAATACATGTATATGTTGTCAACTTAGCGCAGTAACAGGTTAACTCTTTATATATTTTATTAGGAGATAGCCCATTACTGCACTAAGGTGATTATGTATTGTACTGGATGCAAAATGCAACAACTACTTAGACCCAAGGAAATACCAATGGAACAATTATTATATAAAATTTTGCTCTTTATAATTGTATGCAAAATATAAGAAAATTTTATGCCAAAAATATCAAGTTTTAAAAGTAATTACTTATTTGCCACTCAAATGTTTACTAATAAATTATGCACAAATAATTTTTCAAGTATATTATACAGTTTAACGAATATGTCCCAACTTACACAAGACACTATACTTTTATATATCAATTTTATTTTTATGCACCTTTACCATGTTTTTAATGGTAAAAATATAGAGAATTCCATTTTATTTTGTAGTTTCTTGAGTACATATTCAAGATAAATAAAAGTTAGTCAGTCTTTATTTCTATGGAATAATGTACTATATTTATTGCTTCAGTTATAGCACAGTACAGACAACACAACTATACAATATCTAAAGATATTGACCTGCACTTTTTTAATGCCTATTTATCATTGGTCATACTGTATATAGTGACCATAAAAATATGAATGAGTGCAATATATAGGATTTTTAAATCTCATCTTATTATGCTCAATCACTGATGCTAAAATTAACACATAACCTGTTGGAACAAAAAGTGATGAGCCTTTGCCACCAGTATAGAGCCAGGCCAGCCTGCACATCCGTGCAGTCTGACCAGGCTCTATACTATTGGCAGCTCAATTTTTATATTCTGATATTGAAATCCCTTAAACTTTGAAATGGTCTGTTCCAAATTCAAAGCTGGACAGATCCATTATAGAAATATAAGGGTTAAGGGTAAAAAGTTCAGTCCAACCATCATTAATATCAGTGGGATTTGATCATTTTGATTCTTTAAATCAAACTTTTGTTGAATTTAACCCTTAACCAACTGAATTTGTGTAATGGACTTGTCCTATTTTGAATTTGGAACAGTCCATTTAAATTTTATGGGATTTTAATAAAAAACATATGAAAAATTTAACTTCCAACTGAATAGAGCCTGATCAGTCTGCATGGATGTGCAGGCTGGCATGACTCTATTCTGGTGGCAAAGGCTTCACTTTCAGGTCCAGCTAGCAGGTTAAGGGTGAAAACAATGATTATTAAATTGAATTTAAACAAAATCAACAATATTATGATTTATGATTAAGATTTTTACCATAGATTCTAAAAGCTAAGTCCATTTTAGCATACATGTATCATATTTTTTTCCTTTTTTTAAAAAATCTCATTCTGTAGTTTATCTATAAATATTTGGAAACAGTAACAAGATATGTAAAAACATAATTTGTTATGAAAAATAAATATTTCTGAGGCTTAATGGGCCTTTAATAAAATTACATTCTTAAAATATGAACTAAATAAATATTAAAAGTGTGTGATTTTGTCATGTACACATGAGCTTCATATTGAACTAACTTATCAGTGTTAAGGGGGCAATGACTGGACTATCAATTGTTCATATTTTTATTTGTTTGCATTCAATCTCTCATTTGTTTGATTAAAGATTTGATAAGATAAAACAATTATAAAGTAAAGCTTACTGCTTTGTACTTTTTAAAGTTTTAAATATTTTTCCCCACTTCTACCTTACAACAGTTAGTTGTGACCCTTGCCCCTTATCTCCAGGTAGTAGAGAAGAATGGGAGGGAATTTAGCCAAGTTTGAATCTGTTGTCTGTCCCCGCACTGCCTGGTCAATGTGGTGGCTTTATTTTGGTGCCAAAAAGGCAATATAGCAGGGAATATCTTTAACTTGCAGGGGTGGCAGTATTCGGTGGGAATGATCCGATAGCCCAACATGGAAGCACCTTGACCGCGTTATTCAATAATCCAAAACTAAAATTGAATTATGGACTGCTTGGTTACTTTGTTAATTTTTATATAATTTTATGAGTTAGTTTGAGAAAATGAAAATTATAAGCAGCCACTAAATAGTAGTGTCTAGTCAGACTGCAAAAAGCAGACTGGTATAAAACTCCATACTGGTGCCCTGGCTCATAATTACTAAGTATTCGTCAAGTTATCATCTCTCCAGAATTATTACAGTATTACATTATGATAATTATTACTTTTGAGCTTTTGATTTATTATACCTGTATCAAAAACTGCCACAGCACATGGTGTCAAAAACAGTGTCATTTTTACCATGATCTGATGATCATCATGATCCATGCGTCAAATGACAAAGATTATAGTCCAGGTCGTTGAAATGCTCATTGCATCATATAATGGATATGTTTAAATGGTACTACTTTTTATCATTTTCAGCCTCAAATGTCAGAAAACAGGATATCATACGGCTCATGAATCACTATATCATATCTCTTAAATCATGTACCATATCTCAATTGTTTTAAAAAGTACATTTTTAGTAACAATGAAGATTTGATGTCAAAGTCTTCAAACATTCAACTTGTGATCCTTGCATTTATTCACACTGTGATAAGATAACACATATCTATTAACCTTTACCCCAACTAATTTTGTATAATGGACTCACCCAGTTTTGAATTTGGACCAGTCCATTTGTAGTTTTAGGAAATACAATGTTTTAATTGTAGTTATATTGTAAAAAGCCTTAAAAATGTTTCAGGTAGAATAATAAATTCTTTAATAATTAATAACGATACAGAGCCCGGTCAAACTGCGCAGACTGAAAGACGAGCAGATTGGCCTGGCTCTATATTAAAAGCAGACGCCTTTATATCGTAAGGCGAATAATTATCATTGTGTAAGATAACATTATCATTTAATCTACGTATCACTTAGGAAGCTTATATAACCGTCACTATCAGGTTGTACGTTGAGCATTGTACAATTACCTACGTCAAGATCAAAATCTGATTCGCTACGGTGATAACATGACATAGTTTATGACTTTAATGTCAAGGTCACCGAACGTCATTTTTTTGACAAAAATAATCCCTTAGAAACCGTCTTACAAAATGAAAGTTATTGAAGCCAAAATTAGTCAACTTACTTTATAGAACAATTCATTCAAAATTCAGTAAACTAATTCAGTTTTTTTTTTATTATAAAATAATCCTTAACTTTTAATTGAAAACATTGAAGCCAAAATTAGTCAACTCATTTTATAGATCAATTCATTCGAAGTTCAAAGGATGGTATTATGTGCGTTTTTTTGTTGTTGTTTTTTTTATCTTCTATTATGTTGTACATTAATGGTGCAAACTTGTAGTCACTGCATAATCATGGTTATTTGATATTTTGATTAACATACATATTATGTAAACTACATTGCCACATCTGTGATGATTTTTTGAAAAAATATAGGTAAATACAATATAGGTAAATACAATATAGGTAAATACATATCAAGTTTTCTTCTACTTTCAGTATTCATTCCAACATTTATCAGGATTCAAAACTGAATATTTCTATGAAATAAAGTTTAAACTGACCAATCAATATAACTTTTGTAAAAACTAGAAGCACCCTCACTGTAAAAAGAGTATAAAACTACATGTATATATTTGACGTCTGTGGATTGTAAAATTATTGTTTAAATTGTGAGTACTTAGTAATGAGTGTAAAATTTGTAACTCAAAGAAACAATGGCTTGCCCCTGATTGGGTTTGAACCTAAGGATCATGGCTAGCGATCCTTTATGTCCAACATGTTAACCACTGGACTGTACAGACACTTCATAATATAATTTATCTCAAAGGCTTGCCCCTGATGGGGTTTGAACCCATGAGGCAAGCTATCCTTAAATTATTAGTCCAACATGTTAACCACTGGACCGCGCAGCTATTTTAATAGAGTAAATCTAATAATTACCATATGAAAATTGAAATTCATTTCTATTACTTTATTACCTACACATTTATATATGCTTGTAAATATTCATTTATTTATTTTAAATGTCATTTATTTTTATTGCCTCTGTTGTGCTTAGTTAGTTTTGTTTTTATCTTAGTTTATATAGAAGTTTCTGTTTTGGTTTTTTTTATGATTTTATTTAATTTTATATTTATTTTACTTAAGAATTGTTTAAACATCCATTTTAAAGCAGCACAACCACAGATTGTTAAAAAAAATTATGCTTTCGATAATTAAACAATTTTCTTTTACACTCAAAATATTTTCAATATTACAATTAAAAGGGATTTAAACAAGAATGGGATATTTACTTACAACACTTACAGACGCAGTTTCGAAATATGCAAAAATGAAATCCTATTCATTTATATAACAGGGTTGAAATTTAATAATAATAACATATTTGTAAGGACCAAGGAGTTAAATATGTGCCAATATTATTTCATTTCTTTCAGGGAGAAAAAAAATAAAATGGTAAAAAAAAGTATGTTTTATCAAATATCTAGACACTGTTTAAACATTTTCTGTGTTTTCATTCATATTAAAAACATGGCTTAATCTGTTAATTTTAACACCACAAAGAACACTACAAAGAAAACATGATATTTATCTTTGAATTCCAAAAACATGAAAAATAACATGTTTTTTTAGCTATTACTAAATTTTATCTCAGGATTTTTAAAACTTCATTTCTTTAATAAAACGTTTTGTCTGTGCGTTTTCATAGCTACAATGTATATGTATATGACAATGCTATTGATAATTGGATAAATGCAACAAGAGTGGAAGTACAATGTACATGTATATAAAAGTTTGTGTACTGCTAAATGTATGTACTATGTAACATCATATCACATAATGTCATATCATATCATGTAATGTCACATATCATATCGTACATTTAGGAACCCAATTATATATGCTTATAATGTTAAATAAATTTAAACAATTCAAATAATAAATCTGAAATTAAGAAAATTGTGTTTGTTGTTGTTTTCTATTTTCATTGACCACCAGTATAAATTATCAAATATTAACCATTTGTTTGAAGTCATAAGTCTATGAAATTTTAACAGAATCAATAAGCGCATGGTGTAAAGCACCATTTCACCTGCCCATAATTTTTAACGTTAAAGCAGCATGCCTCCAGATTCATGCTTATTTTTAATGAACATTATAAAAAATGTATTTAAAAGTAGAATACATATATTGTGAAGTGAACAAAGAAAATACTTTAAACATTGCAAACGAAGCTAAAATTCCACATAAATTACCAACAAGAGCACCGCTAGGCGGAGCATTATATGCCCGAAAGTGTTTTTTTTTTTTTTTTAGTAAAGATGAAGCAATTGTAAGACATGGGACTCAAATAAAGTATTACCTCCTTCAAATAACAATCCTCCTTTGAAGTTTCAATATTGTGGTCCAAATGGAACTTTAAGTTATGCCCCAGAAACTGTTTTCAATTCTAAGGTAAAAGTGACCTTGACCTTTGACCTTGTGACCCCAAAATCATTAGGGGTCTTTTACCCAATATGGACAATCATACTATGAAGTTTAAACACAGTAGGCCAAATGATACTTAAGTTATATTCCGAAAACTGTTTTCAGTTTTAAGGTAATAGTGACCTTGACCTTGTGACCCCAAAATCAATAGGGGTCTTCTACCCAATATGGACAATCATCCTATGAAGTTTGAATATTGTGGGCTAAATGGAACTTAAGTTATGCTCAAGAAACTGTTTTCAATTTCTAAGTAATAGTGACCTTGACCTTTGACCCCAAAATCTATAGGGGTCTTCTACCCAATATGGACAATCATCCTATGAAGTTTGAACACTGTGGGCCAAATGGAACTTAAGTTATGCTCCGGAAACTGTTTTCAGTTCTAAGGTAATAGTGACCTTGACCTTTGACCTTGTGACCCCAAAATCAATAGGGGTCTTCTACCCAATATAGACAACCATCCTATGAAGTTTGAACACTGTGGGCCAAATGGAACTTAAGTTATGCTCCGGAAACTGTTTTCAGTTTTAAGGTCATAGTGACCTTGACCTTTGACCTGTGACCCCAAAATCTATAGGGGTCTTCTACCAAATATGGACAATCATCCTATGAAGTTTGAACACTGTAGGACAAATGGAACTTAAGTTATGCTCCGGAAACTGTTTTCAGTTTTAGGGTCATCGTGACCTTGACCTTTGACCTTGTGACTCCAAAATCGATAGGGGTCTTTTACCCAATATGGACAATCATCCTATGAAGTTCGAATATTGTGGGCCAAATGGAACTTAAGTTATGCTCCGGAAACCAAATTGCTAACGTTTTCAGTTTTAAGGTCATAGTGACCTTGACCTTTGACCCCTAAATCAATAGGGGTCTTCTACCCAATATGGACAATCATCCTATGAAGTTTGAATATTGTGGGCCAAATGGAACTTAAGTTATGCTCTGGAAACCAAATTGCTAACGGACGGACGGACAGACGGACGGACGCCAGGGGGTATAACATAATATGTCCGAAATTCTTTCGGGCATATAAAAAGAGGTCAAAATATGCAAAAATAGCCCTTACTGCTTAAGTCACACAGTAGAAATATGGTGATGAATACTGCAAAGTCAGTCAATAGTGATACATTACATGTTAATTATTACTTGATTCTTAGATCTTTAAATCTTGATCCATTTTTCTCACTTTCGACTTTCTTGAAATAGTTTGCTCATCAGCAGGCAAGCAGCTTTAAAAGGGCTGTTATATTTTCAAGATCAGCAAACAAGATATGAGCCGTGTCACGACAAAACCAACATAATGGGTTTGCGACCAGCATGGATCCAGACCAGCCTGCGTATCCGTGCAATCTGATCAGGATCCATGCTGCTCGTTATCAGTTTCTCTACTTGTTATAGGGTTTGAAAGCGAACAGCATGGATCCTGATCAGACTGCGCGGATGCGCAGGCTGTTCTTGATCCATGCTGGTCGCAAATCCATTATGTTGGTTTTGTCATGACACGGCTCATATGGTTTCAATTATAATAACCTAAGAAGAATAATTAAAACTTGTTAAGTATCATATACCTATTTTATTTCAAATCAGACAAAATACATTCATGGAATAATTTTTATTCACCTTATAATTTGAATGAAACAAAATACTAGTACTTCACTTATTATGTTTAATATTTTGACTGAAATAATACTGCACTCATATTTGTTAAATATTTTGAGTGAATTAATACTTCACTCATATTTGTTAAATATTTTGACAGAAATAATACTTTACTAATGTGTTAAATATCTTGATTGAAATAATACTTCACTCATATTTGTAAAATATTTGAATGAAATAATACTTCTCTCATATTTGTAAAATATTTTGAGTGAAATATTATTTCACTCATATTTGCCAAATATTTTGAGTAAAATAATACATGTATTCAATTCATATTTGCTAAAAATTTTGAGTGAAATAAATCTTCACTTATATTTTGCAAAGTACCGGTACTAAGGACGGTGATAACAATATGTAACACATATTATATTTGTATTTCCAGCATACATTTAGCACAGTTAGTAAATAAATAAGAAAACATCATATGGTGGAGAATCAGTGCCATCTATCGTTTTTCATGTGGCTGGGGGGAAGAAATTGAAAGTATGAATGTTTGGAAGTATGAAAGTACAAAATCTCTACCAAGTCATGTTTGTTGAGTTTTCAACTCTATATCTTTACACCTTGCCACATGAAAATTAGATGGCACAAATATCAAACAGTAGATAATATAATTGTACTAATTTAAATACTAATGAAGCAACAAAGTCACTGTTTATCCTAAATTTTACCTTATTCATAACCAACTTTCTTTAAATTCAAAATTATCACCACTGCATTAAGCTGTCAATAATAATAAAATCTGTCAATTTACATTAATCACAAAAAACCCTATACATGCTAAAATTTAAAGAAAGGACTAGTCCAGTTTTCATTTTTGGATTTGTCCATTTTTAATTTTGGGGATATTAAGATGAAAATGTGAAGTTGATTAGTCAACACAACTGTAAATCACTATACATGTATTTGCGTGATCTTTATTTCATGAAAAATCCATTTCCATATCATTTCGTGGATTCATGAATTTGCGATGGCAAAGAAAAAAAACATACTTGTGGTTTCTTCTATAAATTCTTTTAATACACAAACACCTTTGACAAGTAATTTCGTACCATAGGATTGTCTTGCATTGAATTTAAACTGGTTTATTGTAAATTTCGGGAGTTTTTGGCATGAAATTGTAATTTTGTACAGCGAAGATTCTAGAGTTTTGACAATCAGCATTTTTGAAAGGTATGTAGGTAAACATTAACAGAGAAGAAAACATGCATTAACAGATAAAATTATGCATGCACATTTTTTTCAATAAGCATGAATCGGGACCCCATGTTAAAAATAGCTTACTGCCATGACCACCCTGGTAATTTCATTATCAAAACATAACTGTCAAATCACAAAAGCATGACAACACCTTTTCTTTACTAAACAAATAACGAAATGTTGAATTACCAAACTAGGCCTATATCTTTTATGCAACAATTGTGCTGATGCACCATTTTTCTGCATAAGCATCTGCAAAGTCCCTCAGACTTATCAAAACCACCGTCATATAGGCTTTGGTTTTAAATGCGCCCTTGTGTGTTTGCAGATATCAATACATAGAAAAAGGTGCATTCACCCTCTATAAATGTGTAGGCTGACCTGACTCCAAACTAGTTGCATTGGTATGATGGTTTCAAATTTGTAAATGGAATATAAATATAGCACATGCTCTTGCATAAATATCATAAAAAATATTGTACTGTAAATATAAACATTGATATGCTATTTAAAAACTTAACCCTGAAATAGAGAAATGGGCTTTTACTGTTTTGAATTTGGAACATTCCATTGTGATTTTAAATGATTTCATTATCAAAATAGATTAAATTAAAATATTTCACTATGCAGCAAAGAAAAAACTTGAATTACCAAAGAAAAGACAATCTTATTCTCCACTTGTAGCATTGGTTGATTCACTCGCTCAAGCATGGATTAATATGATGTTACGAAAATAACGCCAAAGCATATTTTTTAAGTAATGACTAGTGTGAAATACCTAAAAATAGATCTGAATGTATATATTTCATCAGTTGATAATATAGGTATTTTTGTTATAAAAGAAATAGAATATAATATTCAAACATCTCAATTACAAAACATTTTCATTGCACAAAATTTTATGTTCATACTTCAAAATATACATACAAAACTGTTTAAAACAAAATATCTCATGTTCTAAATTTTTTTTCTGCATAGTTACTTACAGAATAAGTGTTATTTTGACATAATTTGACAAAATAAGTTATTTTTGTGAATTCCCTGTCCCTAAAACTAGGTTATCACCCATTATTTGTACACTTGACAATGTATTTAAATTTAAGAACAATTTCTGATTTTTCGTGACAGAACAAATTTGGAGGTGTGATGCTTTAAACTGTTAATAAATCTTGCAGCAAAATGCTTTTAACTATTCAAAATATTAATACGGCTGGAAAAAAGCCTTCAAAAAAATACAATGTAGAAAGTCTTAGTGAAATCTTTATAAATAGATTTATTGTTATTTCACAAAAATACAACATATTGTCCGAGCACATTTCATTACATTCTATCAAACATATATATTATCAAAAAAACAAAAAACATCACACTTGATAAAACAAAAAACAACAACAATATATGTTCATTTTGTCATACGTTTCTAAACGACACAAAAACTGTGTATTTCATTAGCACTCCATTACAAAACTTATCCTCGTATAATCTATATAATTCATATAAGTCCCTGCTGTTCAAGGGTTTTAATACATCGCAGAGCTTTCTTCGCTGCAGCACTTTTGGCTATACGATAGTTCCGGCCAACTCCGGTAAACACGCCCTTACCGACGACATTTACCGTCACACGTATCTTACCATCCATTGTTCTCTCTGGTTTCCTGCAAAAAGTAAAAGGTAATGTTAAGTACAGTAAGACCTGTATTAAACCTCCACTTCTGAATAAAGACCACCCTGCAAATAAATGCAATTCTTCAACAACTCAATATTGACAAGAATTTGTAACAGAGTTACCAACGTCCCCCGCCTCGGGGAAGTTTTATATGAAGCATAAAATTGTGCTATTTCAAAAATTGAGGTATGGATGTCAGGACTTTCATTCCAAAATTATGATCAATGCTAGATCTACAAATGCAACAATGAATTTATTTAAAGAAATACTAGTAAAATGAAACACGGAAAGTGTAAAAATTCTATCATGTTAACCTTTGACCTCAAATGGTGACTTTGACCTTGGAGGTAGGGGTGCAGGTGTTGTGCATGACATATCATCTAATTAATATTACTATTTGTGTCAAGTATTTTCAAAAAATCCCTTGAACTATGTAGAAGTTATAGATCGGACACAAAATATACCTATAACAAGACTATGTCAATCTTTGACCTCTAAGTGTGACCTTTGGAGGTAGGGACCCATTTTTGCGCCTGACATATCATCTTATTTATTGGTGATTATTTGTGCCCAAAGTATTTTTAAAAAATTCCAGGTTATGGACTGGACACAAAATATACCCTATTACAGAGTATGTAAATGTTTGACCTCTATGTGTGACCTTGACCTTGGAGGTAGGGACACATGTGTTATGGCATGACATATCATCTTATCATTGTGACTATTTGTGCCAAGTATTTTCAAAATCCCCTTGATCTATGAAGAAGTTATAAGACGGGACACAAAATAAACCATATAACAGACTCTGTTAACCTTTGACCTTTAAGTGTGACCTTGACCTTGGAGGTAGGGGTGCAGGTGTTGTACCTGACATATTGTCTTATTATTGTGACTATTTGTGCCTAGTTATTTCAAAAATCCTGAAGAAGTACAAAAATATACCCTAAAACAGAATACGTTATCTTTTGACCTCTAAGTGTGACCTTGGAACTTGGGAGGTAGGGATGCAGATGTTGCGCATGGACACATTGTCTTATTATAGTGACTATTTGTGGCAAGTATTTACAAAATCCTTTGATCTATAAAAAAAAGTTATGGACTGGACACAAAATATACCCTGTAATAGACTATGTTAATAATCTTTGACCTCCAAGTGTGACCTTCACCTTTGGAGGTAGGTGACCGGTTTGTTGCACATGACACATTGTCTCATTATAGTGAACAATTGTGGCAAGTATTTACAAAATCCCTTCAAGGATAAGAAAGTTATGGACCAGACACAACGTATACCCATCAAATAATCAATGTTGACCTTGAATGCGCAAGTGCCGTACCTTGACCCTGAGGTAGGGGTCTGGTTGTTGGGCATGACACATCGACTAAATTATAACAAACATTTGTGCCAAGTTATTTCAGAATTCCTTTGATAAAATGAAAAAGTTTATGGACCGGACACAAAATATACCCTGTAATAGACTATGTTAATCTTTGACCCTCCAAGTGTGACCTTGACCTTGGAGGTAGGTGACCGGTTGTTTGCGCATGACACATCGTCTCATTATTGTGAACAATTGTGGCAAGTATTTACAAAAAATCCCTTCAAAGATAAGAAAGTTATGGACCGGACAAAATAGACAATGTTGACCTTGAATGAGCAAGTGTGACCTTGACCTTGAGATAGGGGTCTGGTTTTTGCACATGACACATCGTCTTATTATAACAAACATTTGTGTGCCAAGTTTTTTCAGATTCCTTCAATAAATGACAAAGTTATGGACCGGACACAAAAGTGTGACGGACGGACGGACGGACAGACGGACGGAGCCTATTACTATATCCCCCTTTTTTCTTCGAAAAGGCGGGGGACAATTAAAAAGAACAGAGTTACCTCAAAATAAAGAGCACTTGTTTATAGAATAATGTTCAGTCTCTACTTTGGATGGCCTTTGTCAACAGGTTTCACTGCACACAATTTGTAGTTGGAAATGGATCACATAAGATTTAGGATGTTATGACCTAATTGTGACAAACTTTTTCTATGACAGCAACGACTAAACGTACATTCAAAAGCTCAATATGACTGTCTTAAACATAAATCAGAAATTAAGGGAAAGGGAGGAGGAAGGAAACTTACTGACTGACCCATCGGAAAAACTGTCATACACAGTTGACAAAGGTGTCACATACCTATTGGCTCATAAGTTTGCTTCTCAACAAAGAGATCATAATTCCAGCCCTCCATGTTTCCTCATATGATACCAGTATAGGTTAGTATAGGCAGAATGAATAAATAATATCAGTTGAAATGACTTCCTTTAGAATCCACTCTGTACAATATGTGTATACTAATACAAATGACAATTTTAATCATTTTGATTTAAAGCTCAATAAAGAATATACAAAAACAAGATATGTTTGTAAAACATGTATGCCCCCTATCAGCAGCCAATTAGTCATGTGATAAGGTTATTATGCATGACTTCTGACCCAGTGATCAAACAATTAATAAGGGTTATAAAGTATCTACTGGTCATGACCTTGACCTTTGACCTCTTGACCCAAAACTCAATAGGGGTCATCTGCTGGTCACGACCAATCATCATACAAAGTTTGAAGTTCCTAGGCCTAGGCGTTTTTAGTAAATTGATCAGAAACCGTTTTTACCTACAAGGTCAATGTGACCTTGACCTTTGACCCCTTGACCCCAAAATCAATAGGGGTCATCTGCTGGTCATGACCAATCACCATGCCTAGGTTGAAGTTCCTAGGCCTAAGGGTTCTCTTATTATTGATCGGAAACCGTTTTAACATACAAGGTCAATGTGACCTTGACCTTTGACCCCAAAATCAATAGGGGTCATCTGCTGGTCATGACCAATCACCATGCCAAGTTTGAAGTTCCTAGGCCGAAGCGTTCTTTAGTTATTGATCAGAAACCGTTTTTACTTACAAGGTCATTGTGACCTTGACCTTTGACCCCTTGATCCCAAAATCAATAGGAGTAATCTGCTGGTCATGACCAATCATCACACAAAGTTTGAAGTTCCTAGGCCTAAGCGTTTTTAGTTAATTGATCGGAAACCGTTTTTACCTACAAGGTCAATGTGACCTTGACCTTTGACCCCTTGACCCCAAAATCAATAGGTCATCTGCTGGTCATGACCAATCACCATACCAAGTTTGAAGTTCCTAGGCATAAGGGTTCTTAAGTTATTGATCGGAAAGCATTTTTACCTACAAGGTCAATGTGACCTTGCCCTTTAACCCCTTAACCCCAAAATCAAATAGGGGTCATCTGCTGGTCATGACAATCACCATACCAAGTTTGAAGTTCCTAGGCCCTAAGGGTTCTTTAGTTATTGATCGGAAACCGTTTTTACCTAAGAGGTCAAATGTGACCTTGACCTTTGACCCCTTGACCCCAAAATCAATAGGGGTCATCTACTGATCATGACCAATCACCATCTCAAGTTTTGAAGTCCCTAGGCCTAAGGGTTCTTTCATTATTGATCGGAAACCGTTTTTACCTACAAGGTCAATGTGACCTTGACCTTTGACCCCAAAATCAATAGGGTCATCTGATTGGTCATAACCAATCACCATACCAAGTTTGAAGTTCCTAGGCCTTAAGGTTCTTTAGTTATTGATTGGAAACCGTTTTTACCTACAAGGTCAATGTGACCTTGACCTTTGACCCCTTGACCCCAAAATCAATAGGGGTCATCTGATTGGTCATAACCAATCACCATACCAAAGTTTGAAGTTCCTAGGCCTTAAGGTTCTTTAGTTATTGATCGGAAAACCGTTTTTGCTTTCAAGGTCAATGTGACCTTTGACCTTTGACCCCTTGACCCCAAAATCAATAGGGGTCATCTACTGGTCATGACCAATCACCATACCAAGTTTTGAAGTTCCTAGGCCTTAAGGTTCTTTAGTTATTGATCGGAAACCGTTTTTGCTTTCAAGGTCAATGTGACCTTGACCTTTGACCCCTTGACCCCCAAAATCAATAGGGGTCATCTACTGGTCATGACCAATCACCATACCAAGTTTGAAGTTCCTAGGCCTAAGGGTTCTTTAGTTATCACTCGGAAACCATTTGGTCTACGGACCGACAGACCGACGGACCGACAAGTGCAAAGCAATATACCCCCTTTTCTTCGAAATGGGGGCATAAATATTCAAAATATTAACAAATATATAAATATTACTTACTCAAACTTGGCTGTCTCAGGCTCTTGTTCTAACAGTTCCCTCACTGGAGACTTCGGTATATTCTTCAAATACTTATCTGTAGAAAAATAAAAATATATGAGCCACGTCACGACAAAACCAACATAATGCGTTTGCGACCAGCATGGATCCAGACCAGCCTGCCCATCCGCGCAGTCTGATCAGGATCCATGCTATTCGCTTACAAACCCTATTACAAGTAGAGAAACTGATAGCGAACAGCATGGATCTTGATCAGACTGCGCGGATGCGCAGGCTGGTCTGGATCCATGCTGGTCGCAAACCCAATATGTTGGTTTTGTCATGACACGGCTCATATTCATTTCCATTCCAGAATCATTTTATTTTCTAATATTTGTCCACTGCGGTCATTTATACATTATAACATCTTTACAAAGAATGGCAATACTTAACTAGGAAATAAAGTTAATGAATTTCACATAAAAGCATTTCGTTTTTTTAAAGGTTATTATTTTAGTTTATTTTACTATTATTTTAGGTTATGTATGAAATTCTGTTATAGACTCTATAATTATTTGTTCTATGACAAAATATATGCGCAAATTTCATCAACTGCAGGAATGATGTTTGTAAAAACACAGCACCTACACAGAATAAATGCATATCTTTGCAATAAAACAATATACAAGGAATGTTACATTAACAACCATGTGTGATTTATACTCGACACTTTTTTATCCACTATTTTGAAAAAAAGAACAACAGGAAATGAAAACAAAATTACAGTGACTTTTTAAATTTATATACATGTAGTGTATTCCTTCACTTTCAGCTTTATACTTTTTAGAAAGCATAACCTAAAAATTTATCAAAAATAAAAACATTATAAAGGTAGTATTGTTTATCAAAGAAATTTGATGTTCAAAGCATCTTTTCCTCATATTTAAATAAAAAAAAGTCGCTTTGTATACATCAATTTTTTTTTATGATGTCAGAGCTAAATTTGTCCTGGGTATGAGTTTATAAAGAAGTTCTTTGAGCTCAAACTCAAATCTCAGGTATTTGGTTGGTCATTAACTGCCACACAATGTACACTGACCAATTAAAATCCTGACATATGAGACAGAACACAGAAAAAAAGTTTTATAACCTTTAGGCCAGTACTCACCAATCTGTGGTTTCATGATTCTGTAAAACACCCTCCATACCGTGTCCAGTGACATTTTACTGTCTAGATATATAGCTCCAGCGACTGACTCAAATATATCACCGAGAGCTTTAGGTACCTCTAACTCTACATGTTCCTTCTCATGGTCCTCATCTGTCTGTAAATATATATTATACAATGGTTTTATGACAATTTAAACATATTTTTGGTTATCTCGGTACTCAGTCCACAAAACTGACTTCACTGGATAACAAACAGGTAATTACCAAATTTCTCTGCAAGTGACCAACTACTAGTTTCACAAGATTTTTAGATCAGCAGTGAGAGACAAATTTTCAAAATAAGTACAACTGAATAGCAAAAGGTGCAGATCATAATCAGACAGCACTACTAAAGTGCCAGCTGCTCTTGCAGACAGATTCAGTCGCCATCACCAAACTTAGGGTTAACAAACTAACGCGTCAGACAAGTAATCTTATGATCGCTTGCCCCATAGGTTCAAACCCTGTCAGGGGCAAGTCGTTGTTTCCTTGAGCAAGAAACTTTACACTCATTGCTCAGTACTAGCTGGTTCCAGGAACGGATTTGAAGGTGTAATGGAAGTTTGGGAGTCATTTACTCCTTGATTTTGGCTTTTGACTTCCAAAATCTTTTACTTTTTCTTCTTTACCTATACTGTGACTCCCAAAATAAGAAATTTTGAAACTTAATGGAAGCCCTGAGTGTCTATAAGCTAATAGCTTCCTACACAATTGAACTAAAATAAATTCTGTAAAGACCAAACTTAAACAAATCTAATCCCCTGTGTTATAACTGATACAAATATTTCATTATTTCAGATAATACATACCTCGTCATTTTCATCATCAATCTCATCCTCTTTTTCTTTCTGTCTTGACACAAACTTCTCTATAACATGAAACAATGATGGCGAGATAGCCTTGAAATACTTGTGAAAGTCCCACTTGACAGCTAGAGCGGCGAAAATGTTGTTGTTGACAAGGGCCGACCTCAAGTCGGTCAGTACACCAGGACTGTACTTGTCGGAGTCCTCGTACAAATGACGTGTTATCACATAGTCCAGAACTGCATCCCCGAGAAATTCTAATCTGTAAAAGATATAAATCACTATTTAAATACTTAAGATAAAAACAAAAGTAGCATACATGTAAATAAAACATATCAAAATTAAAATGATATTGGTTATAACAACTCAACTTATTATGATAAAATGCTTACAAAGATGTTGTTGCTGCAGTTACAACTCTTATTTTCAAATTGGTTGCCTCTCGGATAAAATGATAAACATTAGGTGGTTCCTTGAATATCATTTTAAGTGGAGTTCAGATAGAAAAAAGAAATCAATTTTGAGTGCACTGTTGTAGAATAATCTACGGTTGGAGTTCAAATGTGCAGGAATATGATCACAAAGGCCGATAAGCCCGAGTGAATAATTACAAAGCATTTGAACGACAAATCATGCATTATTATACTATAATGCATGAAAAAATAATATTTATTTCCATTCTAATATGCTAATAAACAAGAGGGCCATGATGGCCCTAGATCGCTCACCTGACTTATCAAACTCATCCAAACAATTACCTAGACAAGCAGTCTGACCAAGTCTCATGACAGGTGAGTCAAAAATGTGACCACTACAGTGTTAACAAGGATGATCCATATTTGAGCAGTGCGACCTAGTTTTTGACCCAGGTGACACAATCATCAAAACAAACTTTCAGACCAATTTCCAGGATACTTGGATCAAAACAGTAGCAACTAGAGTGTTAACAAGATTTTTCTATTTTTAGCTCCGGTGACCTAGTTTCACATGCGATTTCGAACTCATCCAAGCAATTACCTAGACAAGCATCCTGACCAAGTTTGATGATAATTGAGCCGAAAATGTGACCACTAGAATGTAAACAAGGTTTTTCCATATTTGGGCGGTGTGACCCTAGTTTTTCATCCAAGATGACCCATGTTCGATCTTGACTTAGAAATCATCAAAACAAACTTTCAGCCCAATTAACAGAATATTTGGATCACAACAGTAGCCCTAGAGTGTTAACAAAGATTTTTTTCTATTTTTTAGCTCAAAGTGACCTAGTTTTTCATCCGAGATGTCCCATGTTCGATTTATTTTCCCAGCAATGACCTAGACAAGTTTCCCTGACCAAGTTTGATGACAATTGAGTCAAAATTGTGACCACTAGAGTGTTAAAAGGTTGTTCTATTTTTTAGCTCCGAATGACCTTACTTTCTACCGAAGATGACCCCATGTCGAACTCATCCGAGCTATCACCTAGAGAAGCATCTTGATCAAATTTGATGATGATTGATTGCAAAAATGTGACCGCTAGAGTGTTAACAAGGTTTTTCTATTTTTAGCTCCGGTGACCTACTTTTTCATCCGAGATGACCCATGTTCGAACTCATCGAGCTTAATCACCTAGACAAAACATCTTGACAAAGGTTTGATGATGACTGATGCAAAAATGTGACCGCTAGAGTGTTAACAAGGTTTTTTTATTTTTAGCTCCGGTGACCTACTTTTTCATCCGAGATGACCCATGTTCGAACTCATCCGAGCTATCATCTAGACAAGCATCTTGATCAAGTTTGATGATGATTGATGCAAAAATGTGACCGCAACAGTGTTAACAAGGTTTTTCTATTTTTAGCTCCGGTGACCTACTTTTTCATCCGAGATGACCCATGTTCGAACTCATCCAAGCTATCAACTAGATAAGCATCCTGACCAAGTTTGATGATGATTGATGCAAAAATGTGACCGCTAGAGTGTTAACAAAGTTTTCTATTTATAGCTCCGGTGACCTAGTTTTTTTCATCCGAGATGACCCATATTCGAACCCATCAGAGCTATTACCTAAACAAGCATCCTGACAAAGTTTGATGATGATTGGGTCAAAAATGTGACCACTAGAGTGTTCACAAGTTTTTCTATTTTTTAGCTCGTGTGACCTAGTTTTTCATCAGAGATGACCCATGTTCGAACTCATCCAAGCAATTGACTAGACAAGCATTCTGACAAAGTTTGATGATGATTGGTTCAAAAATGTGACCACTAGAGTGTTCACAAGGTTTTTCTATTTATAGCTCCTGTGACCTACTTTTTCATCCGAGATGAGCCATGTTCAAACTCATCCGAGCTTTCAACTAGATAAGCATCCTCACCAAGTTTGATGATGATTGAGGCAAAAATGCGACCACTAGAGTGTTCACAAGCAATTGTGGACGTACGACGGATGACGGACGACAGACATTCACCGATCCTATAAGCTCACCCTGAGCAAGCTCAGGTGAGCTAAAAAGAAAATTGATAAAAAAAGGCATTGAACTACATTAAGTGCAGAAGTAATTTTCCTGACATCGTTTGGTTTATTGAAATCATGTATGACGTCATATGCATTTGTTTTTTTATGCTGTGCACATATCGTGTAATAATGCACTTGATTGCCCTATCTGTTATTACAAGCATAGTGTGAAGTGTGTTAGAATGTATAATTGAGCCAGATAAGAAGTGACCTACCTTTGATAACAGTCTGTGACTGTGTTAAAGTGATATGAAGCGTGTGTAAAGGCCTGCAGTAGGTAAGATCTATCACAGAATGTGTACCCAATCTTCTTCTCGAACCCCTTGTATCCATCGAGCAAGTCATGTAAGATGTTGTCAGCATCAGGAGATGTTCTCAGAAATGGTGACAACGGACAAGACAGGCTATCAAACTCTACATCATTCAGCTATATAATTCATAAAACAAAATATTGTCATATTAAAACCACAATCATTTTGTAATTTTTTTTTGTTATTGTAACGACATAGTCCTGTGATTTATACCAGTTTCACATATTATCTTATCGTGCAATACTTAAAACGGATGGAAACAATGCTCATGACTTCCTTCCATGTTTGAAAAGTTGTGTACTTGGCAGAGCTTTCTCACCTCCGGCAAATAATCTATATCAAACTACATGTTTAGGTTTATCTTTATAATGACAATATACAAGTAACCATGTCTGACAAGAGTTCTTTAATTTTTTTTTTCAATTTACTTATTCATTCATTTTTTCAACTGCAGTGCTTTCTTTTTTGGTCAAAATATTTGTATAGGGTACACGGCATGTTCTTCAGCCTAGAATATATATTTTTCACCTAAATCTTTTATTTTTGCCTTCCATAATTTTTCAGGAATAATAAATTTTTGATTACAGACATATGATATTCTATCTATCAAAGTGAAAAAAACTTGTTGGGTTTACAGTCACACTCACACTGGTCACTTAGGGATTTTCAAGTAGCTGTGGCAGACAGCCTCATCTTCTCCTCTGTGTTTAACTTCCAACATAATGAAGTATATTTTGTTTGTTTACACAACATAAAATTAAGCTCTTTTTATTTTATGATTGTCAAAACTATACAGGTATATTTAGTATGTCAGATATACTCTTATAGGAAATGAAATTAAACACTAGACTCTCTAAAAATAAGTATCATGGTCGACCATGATGTTGCTTATATTACTGTACAACCCTGCCCCCCCCCCCCATAAAAATAATAAGGTACATCAAATTTGCACATAATTATATCATTTTCAAAACCTTACCTCAACATTTTCTCCTTCAATTCGTTTCTTCTTGGGTAGAACTTTCAGACCCATCCATGACATCAGACGCAAGGCGGCCATTTTGTCACATGATGTCAGGTAACAACCAATCAGAGCCTCCATACAGTCAGCAATACTTTTATCAGGTAGACAGTGATGTAACTGTAAGCTGTAGGGAATAAAACTCAGCTGAACTTCACTTTTATCACCTTTCAGAAACTCCTCATCTTTCGCCTTTGAGATCTGATCTGCTTCATCCAGCTCTGTGAGAAATTTCTTCAGCTCCAGGTCTACTTCAGAATTTTTCCTTTTCAAATCATCACTGATACCATTTTGAGTGTCAAATAACTTCTGACTTGAGAAAACAGTGGAAGCAGTCTTATGAATTGATAAAGGAGCGACATAAACTTTAGGTACCGGCCCTTTCCTTTTATCGTCATTGATAACATACCCTGGAGGGAGCCAGTTCTCGTAGGGTTCAAACTTGGTTGAGATCATACATTCAGCAAGACCTTTTCTCTTTCCTAACCGATAAAGGTTATAATTACTAACTTGCTTACTTCTAAGGTAACTCAGCTTGCCTTCATGGATTCCTGGATATGAGCAATACAGGTACACAGTTATTGCATATTTGAGAAAAGAATCGCCAATGGTTTCCAGTCTTTCCAGACTGAAGAAGTCATTGGCATTTGACATAGTTAATGCTTGAAGTATCTCGCACGGACTTGGTCCAATGAACGTTGAGAGATCCATATCTTCATCTAGAGATATCAACGGCTCTGGACAAGTTTCCTCTTCAGCGTCAGTCTCTTTCTTTTCTATTACAAACTTCTCTATATTAGCAAATACATCAACTTCTTCAGCGATTTCAAAATTAACGGGATACATGTATCTTAGCTGATTGGGGAACTCAAGACCAAGAGAAAGATAATAGAGGATAGAAGTGTCCAGGGCTGTGCCATAAGCAGATGTATGGAGGACAGGAATATGAAGGGGGAAGTATAGAGCATATCTCTCTAGTTGTTCCTACAGGTTTTGTTTATTCATCTTTGACTATTTGAGTTTTTACTGTGTCACAAGAGATTTCAGTAGTTCTGCATTCTGTTTCAATTGCACCATTTTCTATTTTTGGTTTGGCTGAATCAATTAAACCATTTAACCCATTTAACCTGTTCTTACAAAGCTTTTCATTCATCTCATTACCCAAACATTTATCATTTTCTCTCAAAGTTTGATCACTGACTCTTGTTTTCCCATCATTGACAAGTCCATTTAACATAGATTGCTTTTCATGGCATTCATCTTCAATTTTCGATTCAGGATCAAGACTCTCTGATATGTTATCTTTTCTAATCTCCTCACCTGCAGCAGTTTTACAATCAGCTTTAAAAACAGAGTCTTCTTTAACAGTTTGGAATGTGTCTAATTTATTAGCTGTTTCACACACACTATCACAGTCTGCTTCAGTAATGTCTATGGCACTTTTTGAACATTTATTGCACCTTGTAATTTCATCATGAGATCTAGTGAGGCCTTGGTCCTTATCAGAACTATCTTCTAGATTCTTTAAATTGCACTTTTCTCCTATATCTACAGTTAATGTGTCTATAGATTTATCATCAGTGTCAGTCTTAGCACTGATATTATTTACACCCAACCCACATATACATGTTTCTGATTTGCTGTCTATCCCTTCAGCTGTTTCAGTTACTTGATTGTCATTTTTCTCCTTTTCTTTTGAACCATTCAAATTTATAACATCATCTTTATTATCATTTTGCGCCAGATCTCTGGCATTCCATTCCTCCTCATTTTCAGATTCCTTTGCTTCATCATCAACTGTTTTGAAATTTGTGTCTGTATTGTCAGTTAATGGTTTAAGATGCTCTGGACTAGTGTCAATTCCAAAATCTAACTTCGGAAACCTGTAATCCACTGGCAATTCTGAGATTCCAATTTTCGTTTCTGTGGCGATATGCTTCCTTATCTCTTCACCAAGCAGAAGGTAATTGACACGATACAAGATCGCCGGCAAGCAGACAGCTTTCCTCCAAAGTGAGGCTAGAAATACATGAATATCACACAGTTCTGGCACCAAAATCTGTTTCTGTTGCAGATTTTCGCGCCTCGCCTTTTTCGTCTCGGCACTGCTGGTAGGAAGAGGTACTCCTTTCTGGTTCATGTACCTGGGAATGAGTAGATTTAATCTGGCAGACGTGTGATCTACATCTAACAAAGGCTGCTCGGTGTTTGTAATTTTTAGCCCATACTTGGCGGAGTAGTAATCTTTGAATGTTTTATAAAGTTCAGGTGATGGGAATGGCGATACAGGGTTTAAATCAGATCTGATTTCTGCCACATAGAAATACTGGGGTTGATCAATGTTTCTATAGGACGGCATAACAACGGCATCCTCGAAATCCTCTGCATGAAACACAAATTCTTCTTCTGGTTGACGTTTTAATGGATTATTACTGGCCTCTACAACTTTCTCCGTGAATTGCCAGTCTACGTGTATTGCATCAACACCATCTGTAATTGTAAAAAGACATATATTTCAGCATGATTGTTAGAGAATATGATTTCCTTATTTTGAATCAAATTTGTGTTTCACTGGACAAAATACTTTACAAGAGTAAAATCACTGACCAAAGCAAATATAACTAAATGACAATATATTTTATATAGTCTTAAATTGAGTCTTGAAAAGTGTGATAAAGTTATCCTGTGGCAAGTTCCATAATATTTCTGTGATGCAGGTCTATGAATAACAATGAATTTAAGATATCCTTAATAAAATTGAAACAACATATCATTTACAATTGCTTTTCTTATTGTCTAATATTGCAATACTACTTTATTCACTAAGCAATAAAACGCACAGACATTCCTAAGGCTTGGATTTTTTCAACTTATACAATAACTCCAATAATCTTTTTCTATATATAGTGTGAAAATGAACTAAAACTTAAAATGCCAAAATTAATAAAATACTGTTGAAATACTTCCATTACCTTCTTTGTTCAATGGAACAACAAGAAAACCCATGGTACTACAGTCTGGGAAGAAATCCATCGGATCTTTCTCCAGTCTCAAAACATTAGAGAACAGAAACATGTGGAATATCTTCAGTTTATCCAGTTCTTCTTTCTTCAGAGCTACTTCCCTTGACAGAATGTTTATAGATACAGTGACCTCCCCTGATCTTGTAAACACTGGGAACATAGGCACCTGGAAATTAATAATTAATAAATTAATAAATTAATCAATATAAAGACTACTTAATTCATTAATTAATTAATTAATCAATATAAAGACAAAAGAAAATTCATTCTCAAAACTTCAAGCACCAATTATGCCAACAGGGACGGTAAAATTAATTGTCCGTATTGCTCAGGTCGTTCCACAGCCTGTATGGACAAGTGGAAATTTTCAGTAATTTACTTTTAAAATATCATACGGACAAGTTAAGAACTGATTAAGATAAAAAAACAACAAGTAAGTCAAAATCGGATTTTGCTGGCCCTGTTCCAAGGAAACTCGTATTTAATTTAGAAATATGAATGTCAATGTCTTTAAAGTTACGTGTCTATATTTACCAATGGTATAGTTTTAGTTGTCAATATTCCAAAGCATCTAGGAGTATCTTCAGGAGCATTTAGTTTTCTGCCCCGGGTATTTTGATCCTCAGTGATGGGCCCTGTCAGTACCATGTCTATAATATACAAGTAACATGCCGTATCCTCTACTGGCACCGTCTGCTGTAATGCTGTAGCTACCTGTAAATATAAGAACAATCAGTGATCACATGTTTTGCTCATGATAGCCATACCTCGGCAAAAAATCATTCAACGTAAAAATCTGTGTAATATGCTCAAGAATTTGAGCTATCGATCAATCCTGTAAAGTTGAATTAAAATTGCATTAGTGATATAACAGGAGTAGTCCTGATAAAATCATGAAAGGGCCAAAACTCTGACAAAAAATCAATGAACCAAAAAAGTTGAAGAGATGCACAACTAGATGACGGAAAAGTGATCCCTATATGTTGCCACTTCTCTGTAGAGGCGACAAAAATATGAAAACTTAAAGCAGCTCACATGTAAATTCATATAAAATTTCATGAATAAAGTGTATTATAAAAATTGTATAAATACAGTGTATTAAAAAAGTGTTCATTATACCAAAACTAATGTCTGGTGAACAAACAGATGTGATAATTTTTGAGATAGTATGTGTTCTGTGGACAGCGGACTCCACTTTTCTCAGTGCTATATGCCCAATATTCTATCTTGCTTTTATTTAACCATCCAGGTTAAATAAAAGCAAGATAGAATATTGGGCATGATTTGGCAAAAATAGTTCTAGCATGGTGTCCTTTTATCACAATAAACATATACACCAAGTATGAAGTGAAAAGCTTTCATAATTTCCGAGAAAATAAATTTTGAATAAAAAAGGTTAACCAAGCCAATGCCAACATGAGGGTCATTACAATAGTTTAAATTTTTATCTTCAAAAGTAGAGTTAAAAACACTAATCTTATATTATTTACTGGTTGTCATCAACACTCACCTTTTTACAATAATACTGTTTACGTTTGGTGGTTCCCGGCCTAGCCTCACCAAGCTGGTCCTCCTCCTCATCCCAGATATCATCATCTTCATCTCTCTCGAACATTTCCTTACCTACTGGCATCAAATTGTCATCTAACTCTCCTGTATAGCAAATGAAAGATTAAAACATTGAATAACTTCATATATAGCTAGTTATTGGTGAAACAGAAAAATTATTTCACTGGGATTTAGAGTCATTGTCAAGCCCAAACAGGGCTTCCTTCCATTAGTGGAAGTTTGGGAGTCATTTACTCCATAATTTTGGGTGATGACTTCCAAAATGTAATGCTTTTCCTTATTTACCTATATTTTATAATGTGACTTCCAATGTGACTGTCAGACATTTTGCAGTCTGACTTAAGTTTTGGAACTTAATGGAAGTCCCACTTAATGTGCCACTTGTAAGCATAAGCAGACCCTTGGTAGAATACAGTATTTAAACTCCAGTAAGCAAAGTACACAATTCTTCCTATAAAAATTCAGTGAGGAAGGAATTGCTGTTTTTGTTGTTGTTTTTGTTGTGTTCAGCTTGATAATCAATCCTTTGTTATTTTTATGATTATTTTGTGTGTATGTAAATCTTTTATAAACTGCATCAATTAAATGTCTCATATTGGTGCAGGACTTGGGGCTAAAGTACTTAAAAAAATCAAAAATCAAAATGATAGAGTAATACCTTGTTTATGAAGAATCTTACACATCTTTAATGCCACAGCTTGTTTTGCTTTCAGTTTTGTTCCCATTGGAACTCCCTGCAAATATAGTGCAGTTCAAAATTTAGGTTGATCAATCATTTTGTAACATTATTCCCAGACATTATCCACAAAACTAATCTAAATTTAGTCTCTAATACATTTTAATAGAAAATGTAAAAGGTCAACACACTTTTCTACATGAAATAAAGAACTTCAAATTATATTAATCATTTCAGTCAGTGAGGAAGAACCGATGGCATTGGACATATTGTCTTTAACAATATCTACAGGCAGATTTTAAGTTCTAAGACCTATCTCTCCATATATTAATATTATATCAATTACTCTAGCCTGAGAAGTAGTCCAACACAGTATACATCATATGGCAATTTTCCAGCTTTACTGCTGGAGGAAGACCTCAGGTGCCCCTCTGTTCATTATTTCAGACACAAACAGGTACCAAAGTAAAACCACCAATGTTCCTTAAGGCAACTGGATAGCTTTCTCACAAGTAATATCCAAACTGACCATGCCTTGTGTGACTCAAACCTTCAGCAGTGAGAGGCAAGTGGTTTGAAAGCAATGACTAAAAGCAAAAGATTGTTTGGGTAATTAGCCAGTAAGTGACTTTTTGGTGACTGTAACAAGGCGTCAAAATATAAAACTTATTGAGAAATTAGAAAAAAAGCATTTCCGGGGCATAATGGACCTTTAAGCTCTATGACTTTTTGTGTTTTCCTCAATTTTAAAAAATAATTATTTAAAATGACTCCTTAACTGAAGACTTTATATGAAGTCCGAGTGAAGATAACCTTTACAATCTCCTTTACTGAAGAGTTAATATAAAGTGAGAGTAAATATCTCCTTGACTTAAGAGTTAATATAAAGTCAGAGAGAAGATTACTATCTCCATTTAGTTTAGTGGAGAGTTGACTGGTTAGGGTGAGTTAAACTTTTACCTGAACTATCTCCTTCACTGGAGAGTTTATGGGAAGTCTGAGGGAAGCTATGAACATTTTCTTTCCATCTTGTTCGGTCTCTGTGACTGTACAAGCTGGTGTTAGATGAGTAAAGGCATCACTGGGAAGCTTTGCACAGTACCTGTAATATATATCATTTTCATCAGACTATTTTGGGTTAATAACTCCACGTCAATTGAAGCAGCATCAGGGTTATCATTTTTATCCAAGGCAACAGATGTGCCAATGAAAACAACCGATCTGGCAGAGGAACAAGGGAGATATTTTAATCTACAGGCTGAAAATACAACTGATTTTAACAGCATTTCAACCAAAGATAGATGATATAAATTGCTAATCTGTTAATAATGAAAACACTATGCATGCCTCCAAATTTATGCTAACTTTCATGAAAATCATTAAATGTATCAAAATATAAAATATTGTCAAGTGAACAAAGAAAGAGATTTACAATTGCAAATGGCACTTCGAATATGCAAACGTAGCTGTAACTGAAGGTTAAGTCCTTCTAAATTTTAATCTGAGTTAACTAGTTATTGCACTAAGGTGAAAATTAGTGTTTTTACTATTAACATCCTTAATATAGATATTTAGATTTACCTATTTACTAGCATAATGGAAGAGTCAAGTGTCACCTTGACATCACTCCAGCCTCCTGCCGGTATAAATGGCTCCACTAGTGTGTCACTTTCACACCCAGAGTCCTGGCTGGCCTCTTTTTCTGGTATTCTCCCACTTCTTCTAATCAATACCTTGAAAATTAGAATTGAGCCTTAAAAAACACCTTTTTTAAGATAAACCCCTTTTTGTCAGGTTTTACATTGCACCAATACAGTACAGGTCATAAGGTGACTTTCAAGGTTAATTGGTGGAAGATGACCTCAGGTGCCCTTACACATGCATTATATTAGGCCCAAAAAGTGCCTGAGTAGAACCACTTACATTCTGTAAGCTAGCTAAAGTTTTCTCACATGAACAAAATCCAAAGTCCTTGGTGGGATTGGAACCCACAGCAGTGAGGGCCAAATGGTTTGAAGTCAACAATCTTAACCACTCAGCCACAGACGCTCCTAAACCAATTTAAAGGTATATAATCTAAAATGAAAGAAGATTAACTTAATTCAGATGCTTAGCAATGTAACCATGAATGGAGATAATTTTGATTCAGTCACAATATTGTTATATACAAACAGATCATTTGATACAACATAAAACATAAGTCTTAGAACTGCCTTTTTTCAAGTTAAAAACAGTCTAAACAGTTAGCATATGTATCTTTATTATAATATGCTGCTACACTACTCTTGCTCTTATATATAGAAATGCATTCATAGTTTTCTTTTAATCTTATGTTTCATTTCACATATGTGTAAAATTTAATGTACAGTACCTAACATGCTTAATGCTGCAAAGTGACTGATGTCTTTACTATATATTATTATTATATAACAAATTGATAAATAGAGGCAGCAGGAACAATATAGTCATAAAAAGACTTTTATTCAGCTAAAGAAATAAAACTAAAGAAATTAATATATTTTTAACCTTTTCTATTTGATGATAGGTTTTAAGCTCTGACATAAACTGATCATAATGTTCTCCTTCTATCAGTATAATATATTCTGCATCCCTCGATCTAGCACGCCCCTGTTAAATTATAAACAAAATATATTTTAAAAGCCATATGTATATTATACATATACATAATTTTTTTTAAGGAAAATTATAATACTTTCACACAGGCTTCCTTTTTTATCTGTAGCAACAGATGCACCAAGGAAACAATGGATTTTGTCAAAGGTCAAGGGTAATATTTTAATATACAGTCTGAAAATACCAGCATTTTAACCGATGCTATGGATCACCATTCTGTTAATAATGAAAACCCTGTAACATAAAAACCATTTGTGTACCGGATTTGAGTTTTGTAACTGAAGACTGAGGCATAAAACATTCTGATGTATATCGATAAGATTTTACTGACTTCTGTTTCTCAACACTTCTAGTATGTTTTGGCTTTATAGTTTATGTTAGTAAACTGTTCATATAATGGTGAAATATCTCTATCGTCATTCATAAAATTCTTAAGGGAAAAATTCCAAGGTTTTTCATTATCTAAATTAAATTTACCTTTGAATGACTGTATGATTTGTATGTCTTCGGTACGTCAAATCTCACTACAAAGTTACACTTTGGAACGTCAACACCTTCCTCCAGAACATTTGTTGACACCAGCAGATTCAGTTCCTGCATTCGAAACTTTCTCAAAGTATCTTCCTGTTTCTTGTACAACTTTTCTTTCTTTGTGGATTTATTTCCCGTCAAATGACTGCTTTTCACAAAACAAAGTCCTTCGTCCCAGGCACACGCCTCTTCGATGAATTTATTCAGTGCGTAAGCCTCGTGTTGGTGATTAACAAACACTATACCACACAAGTTCCTCTCCTCTTCCAGCGAAAACGGATCAGATTTGTTTTCATCTTCAGGACTCACTTTTTTTATTGCGACATGTATTTGTTTTGAGCTTGGTGACCTATTTCCCCCATCATCTTCTTCATCATTCTCTGAGAAATCAGAATCATCGGACATGTCAGTATCACTACCAAGGTTTACTTCACCGTCACTATCCAAATCTTCACTAATGATAACAAAATCAGTCTGTGGCTTGTACTTTCGAAGTGAATCCATCAGCTCCGCTACTTTCGGAGTGGTGTATGTTAATAGATCGTCCAAGGAATATTCACACTGTTTAAAATGCTCTTCAAACACTTTTGACACCATGCGTAAATTTGTAGCACCGATTTTCAGAAACTTTTTATGCATTGGCACAAACTCTTTCTGTTTTTCAATCTTTTCAATTTGTGTGACAAGCAGATCCGCAAGACATGCTGCACACCAGGGACCGAGCTGTGACAAAATATTATGGCATTCAATCAAAGCAGCTTTTGCGATCAAGCACGGGTCTCGATTATCCAGATCCTCATTTATCACAATATTGCATTCTTCAAGAAATTCTATTGCATTTTCAAGTATATTGTACAATTCTACATTCAAACCAGTAGTGTCTTCATAGTCATTACATTCAATTATCCTTTCTGTCGGCTTAATTCCATATCGCTCTGGTATAACCAATGAAGAGGTTTCAGCCACAGACAGCAGGGACTTTTCCAAGGAGTCAATGAGATTGCTAAGAAGTTCAGGATTCTGAAACTTTCCGTCCAGTATATTGGAGGTCAGACCAAGAATACGAGGCCTATGACTTTCATTTGCGGACTTGTATATTTCCATTATATCTATGTAGGGGTGGGGTTTTAATACTAAATGACAGTTATCGAGAACGAGAAGATTTATTATTTCCATAGTAACTATGCCTTCTTTAAGTAAGCGAAGAAATTCTGTTCCAGTTAGTATGAATGCCTCTGACCTGAAAATATCATAAAACTAATGTCCAACAGGCTTTAAAGACATATTTCATACTTTATAAAGGATTAAAGTGTAATTAAATTGAAAAAAATCTTGCTTGACACCTGGTCAGAATAGAAAGTTTTTCAGTCATATCCTGGAAGGATATCACAACTAATACTTGATTCTGTACTAAATTTATCATCTCTAAATACCTGTCACCACAAGAAAAGACTTAATTCCGCATATATCTCAATTTAAAAGCAAAGTGTCAAAGTGCCTTCAAGTATATGTTGTTATACACAACATTATGCTTATGCAATCTCAATTGAGCTAAGGAGATAAAATCAATAAAGCTTAAACGTACTAGGATGTACTTTAATAATACTTAAAGTATTTCACCGACCATCTATCTGTGTATGAGTTAACATTTTTTTCTATACAATGAATAGTTTTCATTTGCAATGATTTTATTTTGCATCGTATTATGTTGCACCAACACATTAAAGGTTATATAGCGACTTTCAAACTTTATTGGTGGAGGAAGACCTCAGGTGCCCCTCTGTAAATTATTTCAGCGGGCCCCCCGAGTAGAACCACCGACTTTCTATAAGCTAGCAGGATTGAGACATTGTGTGCACTCACCTTGTGATTTCTGACCGCCATGTTTCATTTGACCATTCCGAGATACCATCTTCTTCAGTGTAGGCCTTAACCGTAAAATTGACCTGATGCTGTACCGCCACATTCCTATATCTTACATTGTCATCTACAGGAAAAAAATACAAAATTGTTTCCATTTAAATCTTTACCTAGCTGATATTCTGTAAAAAACTTGTCTTGGTTGGATAGTACATGTTCAATCTTAATACGAGCGATTTTGAAACACTAAAATTAGCAGACAACTTAAACGAAATTGGTCAGACGCCACAGATTGGAGGATGTCTAATCATTCTTTATTCACATACACAATTCATAAACCTTACTAGCACACAAAGGCTTTAAAATGTTTTCAATGAAAAGAACATAGAAATAGATCAATTAAAGCAGTAATTTACTTTTAAGTATAGTACTGGAAAACTTCTGTTTACTCAGTTATAATATAGTCATAGGTTGTTGCAATATAGTCTATGGTCATTAAAATAGAATAAAATGCATCTTAATGTGTTTCCATTGTATCTTGAAAATTGGTTTCCATAAGTCATATCATGATGTAAGATAAGCCTTTGACAAATTTTATCATTATTACTCTATCAAATTACTAGTATGTAAATTTCCTGTAACCTTCCCATTATTTCAAAACAAAATATGTAAATAGTTTAGACCAAAAGCTGTCATATCGCACAAGCTATTGTACCTGTATCTACAATGAAGAAAGTCCTTTTGCCATCTTCTGTCAGAGGCTTACGTATATCTTCAGCCATCTCTTTCATCAGCATGACAGCTATAAACATACGGCCAGTGGATGACCCCATACATACCACAGTGTTTCTTTCCAAGGCCGAGTCCAGTAACTCCACCTGAAATACAAAAAGTGTATATAAACATCAGTTTTTAAGGTTTTCCACATTGCAATGCTAGAAGATGTATTTAAAATTTTATACATTCACTGTAAGGAAAACTTAAGATGGTATCATGCCTCATCTTATCACATTATGTGAATAAATCTTTGAACTACCTTTTTAAAGTTTTTGCGTCAAAGTTTACTTGTACCCCTTTTTTAACAATAACTGTTGAATGGACAGCGTGCTGGACTATTCTCAGTGCTATACTGGGATCCTACATATTACTGGACAAAATATGAAGTTTTTTATCTGTAACTTTTATTTAAGATAATAAAAAAGAATGGAATTTAAACCAAATAACAGTGTCTATTCTAGGATTTGAAAAACAGGGGGGATTTTTTTCGAAAAGTCAAGACTTTATTACATTTGTTGATTTTTCCCTTCTTTCTCTATGTAAAATTTTCCCCCTGCCTCTGGAAAAATAGGGGGGGGGAATTCTCAAAAATAGGGGTGAATCCCCCATCCCCCCTCCAAGAATAGACACTGAAATAACTTTGGGTTCTAAATGCACATAAACATTCCTTTATCAAACATGAAATTAAACATTTGGCCGTAGAAATGTGATTTTAAAGTAGGGCATTATTAGAGAAAAAAAAATAGTGTAGACAACTCAATTCACCGGACATTGTTTTAAAAGTCATAAATTGAAATTAATCTTAAACTAATCAGCAAGGAAACTACAACTATTGAATGGCAAGGTTAAGATATTTGAAAAACCCAGTATGTCACTAGAAATAGACACGGCAGCCATGCCTATTATGAAGAGGCCAATATATAGGGTGTAATTGAAATTAACACTATTAACTCAATTAACGTTTTGATACTTCATGATCTTTAAACGTATGAAACATTTTGACATTCAAATGGAATTCTGTTCTTTGGCATACAGTTTCCTTTTGGTCATCATGATCATGTAGCATGTTACAAAAGTTTCCTCCCATGGGCGTAACCCGTTTCCTTATATGTCTTTTAATTTGCACTTCTTTGTTAAAGACAACAACGAGATACTGTTTGGACTAAATTTAAAATTACTTTTCATCATTAAAATATGTTACGATTGTCTCTTGAGGTAATGTTGAGAAGAATTAAAAGTAAAACCTATCTAAAATAACCCATTAAGGGTCTCCATATTCGGGCATGCACAGAACAGAATATTCTCCCCGATGACCAGGTCATGAAATAACTAGTAAACAAAAGGGCATATTAGTAGATAAAGAACTGAATCAACAAAATTTACCTGAGAGTGGTTTTGTTGTTATTTACTTTGAAATAGAAAGCGTGTGTACGATTCAGACTGTATGATTTTTTAATCGAAGCAAAAAGTAAAGCACTCTTGGGTAGTAATAGCTTTTGTCCGGTTAACTGATTGTCCGGTAAATATGTAGGATCCCAGTATAGAAAAATAAGAGCCTGGATAAATGAGATTTTCTAAGTGAGATGCTGATGCCTGTCGAGTTAAAAAACACCTATGCCAAAACAACCCTGTTGCAGTTCAAGTCTGTAACTTTTAGTATGTTCTACATTAAAATATAAAAGATTAAAATCATGTTCTTGTCCAATCCATGCAGGAGTTGATAATACATCTATAATTTAGCATATCAAAAGTTTTAACATACACTTTCCAGCTGTTAACTAGGTTGGTGCTTGACTATCAATCAATACTTCCATCATTTATATATAATATATATTATATGAAGATAAAGAATTCTTAAAGAAAGGTAAATGTGTAACATTTTATACTTTATAACCAAAGATTATACCTGGTATGTCCTAGGTGTGAATGTATCACGAGGTATGTCCTCATTTCTAAGATGTCTAGGCAGCCTTTTAGAAGTACTCCTACTACCCATCTGGAAAAAAGACATACATTAAGTGTTATATTACATGGCAGGTTTTTTCCTTGACCATTTTGATGACCAATATTGGATCATGATACCAATATCAAAATTTTTTTTCCCCTAATTTCAATGAGTAAATAAATAAATTAAGTAAAAGTATTGTCTTTTTGTATATCAATTTTGGGGGTTGGGTCATGTTCCTTAGTGTGAAGAAAAAACCCGCACAGGGCTGTATAGATTACTCCGATATAAGCATTTCAGACATTGACATTTACATGTATATCATTCGGGTATTCATTAGTTCCAAGATTGATATCACATGCATTTACTCTGATCTAAATAATTTGTTAAATTTGCATAGTGATAAATACCACTGTTTGGATCTTAAATAAATATCTATCAAATTTATTTTAAGACAAATATGGTTGAATAAAAGTTCATCAAGGGCCATAATTCAGTAAAAATTGATGTCAGTTACGAGACTAGGGTAGTGACCTTCCATTCTGATCCAGTAGACATTTGTTAAGTTTCACTTCATCAGAGTCCAGACATTGGTGAATACAAACTTTAACCACTTCCACTCTTCCAGGAAAGTTCACAAAAGACCATAATTCTGTCAAAATCCGTGTTAAGGGTTAGACCTCTAATAATGTCCTCCTATTATGATTCCAAATAAGAGTAGGAAGTAACAAGCAAATCTATATCTTTTATAGTGGTTGATGTGATGTACATGATGTTGCTTGTAAAAATTGAACCAAAGGGTTAGTAGGATAGCCCAACTATTCTTTGAATAGTCAAGTTCAAAACTTTCAAAAGACTCAACCTTTTTGCTTTGGCCTCTATGACTATAATGTAACCTTGACCTTTTTGCTATCAAACTGGATCTTGTTTTTCATTCTGGTGAACATGTATGCCAAGAATTTTCACAATCTTTCAATGATATGATAAAGTCCTGGTTCTATAAATTATGGACTCAGCACAAAATAATATAGTCACCATATTTATTTTATGCAAATTTATTTTAGTTTGACTGTGTTGAAAGCTATAACCTTATTGAAACACTCTAAAATTTGTTCCTAGAACAAACCAGTGCAAAGTAATAAGTGTATAAAGTTTCTTGCTCACAGAAACAATGGTTGCCCCTGACAGGGTTTGAACCCACATGGTCAGCAATCCTTCGATTACTAGTCCAATGCATGAACTATTCGGCCACGCCACCACTCTCAGTCTCTTCCATATTTAGCCTCTGTGACTTTGAATTTGAGATAATGTATAACCCTGGGAGAGCAATATCATAGATTTCATAGACTTGTTATTCTTTGAATTGTAGTCCATGTTTCAAGTTGCCGCAAGTGGTACATGTAATTTCACTATTGTTATTTCAAAGGATAATGTGCATATTTTATAAAGCCACAATAAATATTTTACAAAATTTGAGGAAAAACATAAAACTGAAATTCAAAACTAGAACTCCGCGAGTCGAATGTGTAGCTTTGTGAACAATATAGTTTAGGAGAAATGGCCAGGACAAAAATGAAATATGAAAAATAACAAATGGCAACAAGAATTTGTAACAGAGTTACCAACGTCCCCGCCTCGGGGAAGTTTTATAGGAAGCATAAAATTGTGCTATTTTAAAAGATTGAGGTATGGATCAAAGGACTTTCAGTCCAAAATTATGATCAATGCTAGATCTGCAAATGCAACAATAAATTTATTAAAGAAATAAAATGAATGTTAAGCTTTGACCTCTTAGTGTGACCTTGACCTTGGAGGTAGGGGTCCAGGTGTTGTGCATGACATATCGTCTTATTATTGTAACTATTTGTACCAAGTATTTTCAAAATCCCTTGAACTATGAAGAAGTTATAGATGGGACACAAAATATACCCTCTAACAGACTATGTTAATCTTTGACCTCTACATGTGACCTTGACCTTGGAGGTAGGGACACTGGTGTTACACATGACATATCATCTTATCATTGTGACTATTTGTGCCAAGTATTTTCAAAATCCCTTGATCTATGAAGAAGTTATGGACAGGACACAAAATATACCATATAACAGACTCTGTTAACTTTTGACCTCTAAGTTTGACCTTGACCTTGGAGGTAGGGGTGCAGGTGTTGTACTTGACATATCGTCTTATTATTGTGACTATTTGTGCCAAGTTATTTCAAAATCCCTTGAATTATGAAGAAGTTCTAGATCAGACACAATATATACCCTTTAACAGACTATGTTAATTTTTGACCTCAAAATGTGACCTTGACCTTGGAGGTAGGGATGCAGGTGTTGAGCATGACACATCGTCTTAGTATAGTGACTATTTGTGCCAAGTATTTTCAAAATCCTTTGATATATGAAAAAGTTATGGACCAGACACAAAATATACCCTATAACAGACTACGTTAATCTTTGACCTCCAAGTGTGACCTTGACCTTGGAGATAGGTGACAGATGGTTGCGCATGACACATCATCTCATTATTGTGAATAATTGTGGCAAGTATTTACAAAATCCCGTCAAAGATAAGAAAGTTATAGACCAGACACGACATATACCCTCAAATAGACAATGTTGACCTTGAATGAGCAAGTGCGACCTTGACCCTGGAGGTAGGGGTCTGGTTGTTGCGCATGACACATCGTCTTATTATAACAAACATTTGTGCCAAGTTATTTCAAATTCCTTTGATAAATGACAATTATGGCCCGACACAAAATAAACCCTGTAACAGACTATGTTAATCTTTGACCTCCAAGTGTGACCTTGACCTTGGAGGTAGGTGACCGGTTGTTGCACATGACACATCTACTCATTATGGCAAGTGGCAAGTATTTACAAAATCCCTTCAAAGATAAAAAGGTTTTGGACCGGACACCACATATACCTTCAAATAGACAATGTTGACCTTGAATGAGCAAGTGCGACCTTGACCCTGGAGGTAGGGGTCCGGTTGTTGCGCATGACACATCGTCTTATTATAACAAACATTTGTGCCAAGTTATTTCAGATTCCTTTGATAAATAACAAAGTTATGGACCGGACACGAAAGTGTGACGGACGGACAGAGGGACGGAGCCTTTTTCGATATCCCCCTTTTTTCTTCGAAAAGGCGGAGGACAATTAACTATATGAATCGGTAGGATAATTAACTTATCAGCTTATTTTTCTTTTCAAAACTGACCAAATATCATGTTTGAGATTTTGAATTTGTCGTTTTATGATTAAAGTTAAATATCACTAGAAAAGAAATAATTAGAAACAAACCCTTCTCGTATACGCCATATGTTATGTTATATGTGATCTAAAATTGAAATAAAAATCATTTTCTTTATTTCAGTGCAGCTATCCATTTACAGGTGAAAGTTACCTGCGCACCGTCAACATGCATTCACAATAAAAACCAAAGGATTCCAAATATAACCGGAAGTGGAATTACTGAATTTTGAGACTTTATTTTTATGATATTATACAGCCTTTCCATCAAAATAGAGTATCAAATTGATGTTAAACAATGGAAACATTAATTGATGATGCCCTTGTTTCAAAGGTAACAAATGACGACGCAAATTTGCATGTATACTTGTTAAATAAAATATTTGTACGGTGCACGTATACTTTCTTTTCGACAATTATATCCCAAGAATAAAGCAAGAAGGGCAGGTTGGCCGTTATTGCTTACCTGAGTAAACTAAAAGTTATGCATTTGCTTGAAATAAACCCATATGTGTATATGTTATACTAAATTATATTTGTATATGATAGAGCTATATTAGCAGCTAGAATTTCAACTTCTACTCAACTTTACTAATAATTGTTATTCCGCATCATCACTTATTTCACGGTAATGGCATATTTTTATGTGTCCAGTGTTAAAATTGGTCAGAATTGACAAAATTTAATCAAACACCTAAACAACAAAGTTTTTGTGCAAAATATTTTTAATCTATAGATTTTTACGTAAAACAGAACAACATTTTACAAATTTCTGCAAAAAGCAACAATAGTCTGTTAAATTTTTACATACATCTGAAACAATCATCATTTTCAAAATGTTCTTGTTTGTTGAAAAAATAAATTTTGAGTTACAATGTAAAGATACTTTTAATATTTAAAATTATGCAAAATAACATGTAGAAATTTTAACTGAAATATGAAAAAACTGAAATAAAACACCATTACCGCGATTTAAATGAGGCCATCCTTAAAAAAATGTTTGTTTGCAGTAACGGGACTGACTCACAAACTTTGCCCCTACTCAAAATTTTTTTTCATGGTCTGGATAAAAATTTTATTTTTTTTGAATCAGAAAATTATGCCTTGTGCTTTGTTTTCGTTCTTTTAAAGGTTAATAGAAGAAATAAAATGTAGGTCTTATTAAATTAGAATTCAGTTATCAATTTAATATTGTTACCAGATTATCAAAGCATATTTGTCCAGCATTTTGAAATTCCATGTTTATTTTCAATAAAAAAAAAAATCGACCTACCTACCCACCTTGAAAATTCTGGGTCGGGTTACTGCAAACAAACATTTTTTTAAGGATGGCCTGACATACTGTTTTCAAAATGGCCGACTTATGATCTACGTTTTGATCATTAAATTTGATTTTGATTAAATATGTTATTGTTCACTTGTGTCATACAGCAGAAAATAACTACATGTTACAGCTCATGACAATTTTTATGCCCCCACATTAGTGGCGGGCATTTAGATTTACCCTTGTCCGTCCTTCCGTCCGTCCATTCTCTTTTGTGTCGCATGTAACTCAAAAAGTATTTGACCTAGAGTCATGATACTTTACAGGAATGTTGATCAGCATGTGAAGTTGTGCACCTGGGTATTTTCGTCTGAATATTTTTAGTATTTTTAGAGTTATTGCCCTTGACTTAGTAAAATTTTGTAATTTTCAACTTGTGTCGCATGTAACTCAAAAAGTATTTGACCTAGAGTTATGAAACTTTACAGAAATGTTGATCAGTATGTGTAGTTGTGCACCTGGGTATTTTCGTCTGGATATTTTTAGTATTTTTAGAGTTATTGCCCTTGACTTAGTAAAATTTTGCAATTTTCAACTTGTGTCGCATGTAACTCAAAAAGTATTTGACCTAGAGTCATGATACTTTACAGGAATGTTGATCAGCATGTGTAGTTGTGCACCTGGGTATTTTCGTCTGGATATTTTTAGTATTTTTAGAGTTATTGCCCTTGACTTAGTAAAATTTTGTAATTTTCAACTTGTGTCGCATGTAACTAAAAAAGTATTTGACCTAGAGTCATGAAACTTACAGGAATGTTGATCAGCATGTGTTGTTGTGCACCTGGGTATTTTCGTCTGGATTTATTTAGTATTTTTAGAGTTATTGCCCTTGACTTAGAAAGTGTTTGCAATTTTCAACTTGTGTCGCATGTAACTCAAAAAGGATTTGACATAGAGTCATTTAACCTTATGGGAAAGTTGCTCAGCATATTTAGTTTGTTCCTGGGGTTTCGCTTGTGGATTTATCCAGTATTTGTAGAGTTATTTCCCTTGACTTAGTAAAAACTGTTTCATTATGTTGTTATTTGTTCCTTGAGTGCTTGAGTTAGAATCGACCAACTTTACAGGAATAATGATCAACATCACTAAATTACAGGAATAATGATTCACATCACTGTGAAGCTATGAACCTGCATATGGATTTTTTTTCAATTTTGTTAGAGTTATTGTCCTTGACTTACAGTAGTATAAATTTGCAATTTTCAACTGCAATTTATTCAGTATTTGTAAAGTTCTTGCCCTTTACTTAGTAAAAAGATTTTTAGTTTTCAAAAAATATTTGACCTAGAGTCATAAGATTGACAGAACAGTGGTGCGGTGGGGGCACCCGTGTCCTATGGACACATTTCTAGTTGTACCATAAGTTTTATATGTTGTTTTCTTTCTTGCTTCAAAGTGTAAGTACCGTGAACTAAGAGGAGCACAGTATTATGCTTGACCTGTTGATGCCCAGGTTTTTTTCCAAGATTTTGGGAACATGACCCATACCCATGGAATTGGGAAATTCAGCGACGTTTTGTTAAAAATTGGGAAAAATGCATTACTTAAATTTTGCAGTGATGAAATGAATGCAAAGGATCACTGTCTTAGGATGGCGTCTTCAAACATTTCTAAAAGCACCATAACAGTGAAGAAGCCCTTATTTTCAAAGTTTTTAGAATTTGTATTCATTTTGAATTTTTCATTTGGGATTTTTTTCCGATGGATTGGAAAAAATAATTACTATTTTCAATTGGGATTGTGACTGAATATTGGCTATAAAATAAGGCAAAAAAAATCCCTGAGCTATATCAAAAGGCTAGATATCCTAAAATCATGTTTTAAAAGTCATGACTTATTTTTGACTTGAATTATTTCGCCTTGGTTAACATTTAATAAAGAACATATCTTTTAAAAATATATCAAAGGTATTTACTTTAATTTGGAATAATTGTTCACTACCAAAATTAGAAAGTATTTCAGAATGACAAGCAATTTTGTTATTCATTTTTGCTCAGTTATGAGCCTTTTTTAGCAAGTTTAAGATCACCTTTTACAGGAGATATATGTCCTTCAAATATAAGACTAAGTGTATATGGTTATAATTGATTAGTACATGTACACATAAGTAACATGACATCCTTACAAAAGTACCTTGAGATGAAAAGTAAATAGTCATGTCACAAGGTCTAGCTACTATGTAAGGAATTAGACTATTGTTTTATTTCAAATGTATTACAAATGCATGTCATATATTACATGTAACATCAATATAATGTACAATTCAGGCAAAAGGAGTTATTGCAGTACAATGAAAAGAAACAATTAGACTAGACTATTTCAGTGTATTTCAATACTTTCATTTAATGTGCATGCAACAATGTTTAGAATTATATAAATTTCTTTAAAGATATATTGATAATTAAGTTTACAGTTTTGGCCGGGTTGCACTGGTGCAAACCTGGGTTATAGTATGGTGAATGTTGGGTGGCGGTTGGGCGGCGTAACAGTTTTCTCAGCAACTACTTATCACAGCCTTTTGATATTTGGTATACACCATCAACACATGGTCCCATACTGTGGGATTCGATTTCAGGTCTGTCGCTCATCTACTTCCTGTTTGCTGACCTAGTTAAATTTTCAACATTAATGGTCAATAGCAGGAAATTTTCGTAACAGTTTTCTCAGCAACTACTTATCACAGCCTTTTGATATTTGGTATACAGCATCAACACATGGTCCCATACTGTGGGATTCGATTTCAGGTCTGTCGCTCATCTACTTCCTGTTTGCTGACCTAGTTAAATTTTCTACATTTATGGTCAATGGTAGGAAATTTTCGTAACAGTTTTCTTGGCAACTACTTATCACAGCCTCTTGATATTTGGTGTACAGCATTATCACATGGTCCCATACTGTGGGATTCGATTTCAGGTCTGTTGCTCATCCACTTCCTGTTTGCCGACTTAGTTAAATTTTGACATAATTAATGATCAATAGATAGTAGGAAATTTTGGTAACAGTTTTCTCAGCAACTACTTACCACAGCTTCTTGATATGTGGTTCACAGCATTGACATGTGGTCCCATAATGTGGGATTCCATTTCAGGTCTGATGCTCATTACCAACTAAGTTAAATTTTCAACATCAATGGTCAAGACAGTGGTAGAAAATTTAAGTAACATCACAGCCTCATGATATTTTGTATACATATGCAACCCGGCCTTTTCTGTCTTTGACCCATTTTTATAATTATTTCTTTCTTATTACTTAAACTTTTTTATCTTTCAAATAAAAAGAATAACAATTCTGTATTATTTTATGTGCAGGCACCACCATCATGTATTTTGGTAATTTGGTTTATATTTTTATTTTTATTTCTTTCTATATACATGTATTGTTACTTAAACTTTATTATCTTAAAAAAACAATAACAACAACAACAACATTTGCAGGCACCACCATCACTGTACTATATCCCAGAATTTATAAGCAAAGAAGAAGAAGCCTACCTGCTCAAACAAGTATATGATGCTCCTAAACCAAAGTGGACACAGTTGTCAAACAGACGGCTGCAAAATTGGGGTATTAAATTCAAATAATTTACTCGATTTTAATAGAAATAGTCAAATAACCCAACATGTGTTTTTATCATTTATATATTACAGTATAAATTTACAGGATTAGATGCCTGTAAACGTCTGGCATAGTTGTTTAGATTACACTCTAGTATCATTATCATCCTTGAAGTTGTTGCACAAATAATGTTTCCTAGCTCTAGGCTTTGTTTAGAGTTGAAGTTGTTCCTTTATCAAGAAAACTGACCTATTTTCAAGGGACCTGTGTTCAGAGGTGAATTACTTCAGTGATTATATTTTTTCATATATGAAGTTAATACAAGTTTTATCATTAATGTAATCACAATTTTAGATACTGTATGTACTTGAAAACATGCATCATGCATCTATCACCCAAATAACATGTTGAACTTTACCCCCAAGTCAAATTATCTGGTATTTTGTTTATAAAGCAAATTTTAAATCTTTTGAACTTTTTCCAACTGACTTTCTTTAAGTCAAGAATGGGTTATATCTGAATCATAAGCTGTTAGTGTTATTGATCATACAAGTTCTTGCTTAATTTTTTACATGCAAGATTGTTTACTGTACAACTTTATGAGGGATTCAGTTAAAACACATGCAACATCTTCAGGATCATAAAAAAAAAGATGGTCAATATCTGAAATCTTTAGTTCTCTTTTATTCTTTAAGAATACTTAGTTCATTTCCAAAGAGCAGCTGTGAACAATGACTGAGTACATGTATTAGTAAACCAGTGTTAGGGATCTGGTTTGTCAGAAGAACAATAATTATGTGTACTACATAACTTTAATTGTTAAGTTTGTTTTACAGGTGGTTTACCACACCCGAAAGGAATGATACCAGAAGATCTTCCACAGGTATTACAACTTTATGGTATTTTTCATTATCTGTTTTCTCTTCATCATTATCATGATATATTTATATATGAGTCGTGCCATGACAAAACCAACATAGTGCGTTTGCAACCAGCATGGATCCAGATCAGCATGTGCATCCGCGCAGTCTGATCAGGATCCATGCTGTTCGCTGTCAGTTTCTCTACTTGTAATAGGGTTTGAAAGCAAACAGCATGGATTCTGATCAGACTGCGTGGATGTGCAGGCTGGATGGATCCATGCTGGTCGCAAACGCACTATGTTGGTTTTGTCATGGCGCGGTTCACGTATTTATATAAGTGTATTTTTGTGTTAAAGTTAATTGTTATTTTTTGCTGCAAGGTCTTCTAGATAATTATCATTTACCTTGTTAAATAATTTGAAAGATTTTACAGACTCAACCTTAATTCTACCAGCAATGAGTTTGCAGGCTAATGCTAAATTTGCAGACTATTTAATGTTAACATTCAGGACATTTATATGCCATGTTTAACTAATGCAAATGATGTTGTGTCAAAATATTTGTACAATCATGCAATACAGATTTTGCGAAATCACAAAAGATGCACAATTATCTGACAAATTTCATGAGGACATGTCTATTAAATGTGTTATTTCTCTTTATTTTGGTGTATTATTTCAGTGGTTAAAAGTTTATGCTGAAAAGATTGCAGGTCTTGGTTTGTTTGAGGATAAAGTACCAAACCACGTTCTAGTAAATGAGTACTTGCCAGGACAAGGTATCATGGTAAATATTTATCTTCAACTTAATTTACAGTGTATCAGGGTCTTTGTGGCTAAGTGGTTATGGTTGCTGACTTTGAACCACTTGCTCCTCACTGCTGAGGTCTGAATATATCCATTGTTGCATGTGAATAAGCTGTCTAGCTACCTAAAAGAATTTGATGGTCCTACTCAAGTTACTGCTTATTTACATAATGCACAAATGGGGCATGTAGTCTGTCACAGAGTGAGAAAAATGTGCAGCCTGACCAGGACTCGAACCCGGGACCCTCCGAATACCGTACCGTGGCTCTACCGACTGAGCTATCTGGCGGCTTACACACTTTCTCCCCTAAATAGTGAACAGTTCTGAACTGTGACATACTCCCCCGCTATATTGAAATTCGTCCTCGTATTTCCAATGTGTACAGAGAACAATGTGAAATTGGACTGGGAGCTTATACCATCACGGTCCCCCTTTGGGCGCCAAATGTCACAGGGTGAGAAAAATGTGCAGCCTGACTGGGACTCAAACCTGGGACCCTAGGAATACTGTACCGAGGCTCCACTGGCTGAGCTATCTGGCCGCTTACACACTTTCTCCCCTAAATAGTGAACAGTTCTGAACAGTGACATAGTCTTCTTTCAACAGGAAAGCAGTAAAGATCTTAAAATTGTGCCAATGTTACTTACTGGTAATTGCCCCTTAAAAGATCAGTATTTTATTATAACATTTTTTTTGGTGCTAGTTGATTTGTTAAAACTACTGACTTCAAACTACCTAAATTCGCTCTGTTGTTAGTTTGATTATCACAACCTATTTGTTGAATTCTTACATTTAAGGATGATGTTATTCTTATGATGTGTCAAGTGCAACACCAAATGCCTGACTTTCAAGGTAAAGGTCACACTTTGAGATCAGAGATGAACATTGTCTGTTGGTGAGGGGGGAGGACGTAAATTTTATGTCCGGCCTATAACTTTTTCATCCTTCAATGGATTTTGAAATAACCTGGCACGAATGTTTACTATGATAAGATGATGTACCATGTCCACCACTGTCCACACAAACTCCAAGTCTTACTCTGATTTGAAACCTTAACATTTTCCGTCTGGGGTCTGTTTTGTGTCTTGTCCACAACTTTACAATCTAGCAATTTGCACAAATAAATTATTATATACCATATTAAGACAAAATGTCATGTGCAACACCAAGTCTACACTACTTCAAAGGTCAAGTTCACACTTACAGGTCAAACGTTAACATTATCATATTTGTATTTCAGCCTCATGAAGATGGGCCTCTATATTATCCAACAGTATCAACAATAAGCCTAGGATCACACACACTGCTGGATTTCTACCGTCCTATCACAGATACACAGTCAGATGATAATACAAACATAGATTTAGAGGTACTGGTATTCTTTGGCTAATTTTCTATTCATTTTATTTTTGTGGGGAAACAAATTGCTATAGGCATATTTAGTAATACATTTGTTCATACTTATGTCTTACTGGTTCTTCTTTTTTCAAAATTCAGATACTTACAAGTATCTATTTTCAAATTGAACGAATTTAGAGGTATTAAATTTGATCAGTTAATTAAGTCGACAGTATTTGTTTGAGTTATTTAGGTTGATTAATTTAAACCCTTACTGATTTAAATTAAATGCCTGAAAATAGAAACTCAAGGAAGTTTTTGATTCTACAAATTTGACCACTTGCATCTTCAACAATGCATAAGGATATCTTTACCCTTTGGAAAAGTTTTGCTAATCTACTAATACCATGCCAATTTAGTGAAAAATTTACCCACAACTTCCAATAATTTAAAATTCCAAGATTTTGAAATTTTCATTTAAACATTTACTACGATTTTGAATTTTTCAGGTGTCCAAGACATCTTTCGAAGACCGTTTTTTGTGTTCAATGTTATTAGAACGAAGAAGTTTAATCTTGGTCAGGGATGATATGTATAAGGTCAATCTTCATGGTATAGCTGAAAGGAAGGAGGATATTATATCAGACAATGTTGTGAATGTGTATAAATGTGACGGTGTTCAAACAGGTGATAAACTTGAACGGACAACTCGTGTATCGTTAACTATAAGATACGTTCCTAAAATACTTAAAGCAAAGTTGTTTTTAGGAAAGAAAAGGTGACAGTGTCACTGTGTAAGGATTTATCATATCCTTTTAACAATTAATAAATAATTATCTATTCCACGAGATTTATCAACCTCTTATGTGGTTAAACATCTCTTTATCAAGGAGTTTGCTGTTTATTTTATAAATCACATATTTTACCTCTTTTTAAATGGTGTAAGAAAAAAAAAAGGGATTAATATGCGATTTAAAACACTTTGTGGAATAGATAGTAATTAACAAAAGTATAACTTGGGTTACTGATAAATATCAGTCATGTATAACCTTTTCAGGAGCAAAATAACTCCTTCCTTCCGCATTGTTCAGTTTTTCTTACAGATTTTACAAAAGGTTTATAAGAAAATACCAGATTGTAATATTATGCAGGCTTGTGGGGAAACAATTTTACACAATGTATTCAAATTATACAACCCATCAGAATAGAACACTCGTGCAATCTCCTTATGTGATTAATAACTGTTCAAGATCATGGATCTAAGTATATTTATTTTTCTTTATTTTTCTGTTTTATTTTAAGAAAAATAAAGATAAAAATGAAAGAAAGTCAAATTTTATTTTTGAAAATGATGCTTGTGTGTGTTATGTACAATACATGTATTTGTATTCATATATGATTATTATTATATATGACTATTATAAGATGATGACTATGTTCACATAGTTTTTTTTTACCCACAATCATATTCTATTATACATTTATTAACGTTCCTTCGGAAACATTCTAACACGGTCCGAAATATTTCTCATCTCATGTAAACCAAGTAATTATACTTATTTGTAGCTGAGGGATTGCCTTTTATGGTTGAGACATAAGAATTGTAGCCACCATTTTTCCCTGTGTGATTGTAAGAGATTACTGAGTGGGTTCTAAACTGGAGTCTATGCATCTCTTAGCTTCAGCAGCTGAGGTGGTTTTGACCCTTGTTGTTGCTTTGAAGTTTGTAACACTCCAGGTTAGCAAAAGTCATCTTTCCTGTTTCGGCGCCTATACTGGGTTGGTGCGCCATAAAACCAAACAAACAGAACCAAGTTATTATCACTGCTATCACTCTAACCCTTGACTGTTGAATGTCTGTTATCAAAATGCCCTGCTTTAGATTGGGAAGAGATCATTTGAGGTCTAAGCGATTTCATTATCAAAATACATGTACAAATCAAAATTTGAGCTACCAATAGCATAAAGCCTGGCAGATTACATGGATGTGCAGATGTGCAGGCAGACCTGGCTCTATACTGTTGACAAAGGCTTCTAGTAATCACTTTTTATTCCAGCAAATCAATGGTTATCACAGCCTCACATGGGAAATTGTAAAAGCCTATTATAATTTTATGATTTATATTTGATTACTTTCAGTGAATATGGAATATTTCTCTCTAAGATGTGCGATATTTCAAATAGTTTTTCGTTCATACCAATAAAAATGTATGATGTATTGAATATAATGAAAAATGAAATGAAAATTCTACAAAAACCAAATAATACTGGACGATTTATGAAATTCGAGTATAATGAATAAGATATATTGACATAACTAAATTGTATATCAATAAAATATTGGGGCTAAACTTGTCAGTTCACCAACAAGATAAATCTTCATCTTGTGTTTGTCATTCAGGCATAAAACACACATCTTTGGCAAACAATATCGAAATTAATAAGATTTCTTTCTTTCATGATTCAACTTTTGTTTCATTAAACATGTTTTCTGATATTTTTGGGGCATTTCCATCTTTGGCTTCATCAAACTCCAAAATCATCATGTTTTCTTTTTTTCTGATGTCTATTTATAGGGTTTGTTCTGAACTTCCATTTCATTAAAACTTGAACATATTTATAATTTTTTCAAGCTTTACTTCAACTTTGGTTTCATTTTACCTTAATCATTATGTTCCTTCGTTATTAGACTTAGTTTACACTTTTATATCACTAAACCTAACAAAAACTTGTTTTTGATGCATTTAGGTTAATTTCTACCCTTTGGTTCCATTGAACCTTCAATGATATTAAAATGTTTTCTGATCATTTTATGCTCAGTTCTTTGCAGAAGCAGGTCTGAGTTTCATTTCCACTTTCTTTAATGAATAGTTTGGGCCTGTCCAGGGTTTCCATGTAACCCCATCAAATCGCTTCTCTGGGATTTTTCCACCTTTATAAAATTTTCCATTCAAGTTTGAAGCATAGCATTTATAATACCATCCAGCACCGGTGAACCGTTTAGCACAACTCCCACCAAACTCCTTCACAACTTTATCATTGTCAACATCCTTTGTAGAGAATTTACTTCCATCATGTTTAGTCAATCCATCCCCTGCATCACCATTGTAGCCATCGATGTGAAGTTTGTAGCCCTCATCTTCACTATCAACAAGAAAATAATCAAATTCAGCAAATTTCTTTGTCTTTTCCCAGTCCATCATGTCTACCCGCAGTTTGTAGAAGTCCTGATTTGTAAGGTAGTGTATGTTGTCATTTCCAAGCCAGTGCTCACCATAAAGACCTGTGAAATAATGTATTCATTTTATTGAGTACACGTTTTCCCAACAATGTCCCAGTTGTGGTGACTTGAGCATTTCAACAGTATTATGCTAGGCACAAATTGATTTTTCAAGATTTTCAGCTTGACTATTTTTACAAATTTAATAGAAATATAAGAGACTCAATGGCTGAGTGGTTAAGGTTGCTGAGTCAAAGACCACTGATGGTTCAAATCCAATGATGGAATTCATTTGATTCTTTCATATGAGAGAACTAGAGATGACCAGGGTCTCAGTTCATTAAGAAATTTTCTCAGCTGTAACTCAGATTTCAGGTTGATCTGAAAATTGACAGTAAATTTACACTAACCAATTACTGACAAACCTAAGATCAGGAAAAAAAAGTTTTATACCCTTGAGGTCAGATGAATATGAAAACTGTGTGCTAACAAACAGATTATTTAAAACTTTATAACATATTTAGCCAGTCGTAGCATTTACACATTTGAATACTTGCTTTAGATAGCAGGACACTTACTACAAAAAGGAAATGGTTATGAGAACATATCCAAGAGTAGTTTGGCATACTCAAAATTCATTTTGCCACAAACCACTGATAAAATATAGAATGTAGGGTTTGAAATGATTGTTTAAAAATTTACCCCCAAATCCTTTCTTATAGTCATCCCACTCCTGAAAGAAATTAGTAGTGCCATCTTGACGCCTCTGTATAACTGTCCATCCACCTTTTCTCATGTCACAGAAAACTTGTATCTGTGTGTCTGAACCAAGTGGCTTCACTTTATATAAGCCATCTCTTTTCTCTCCTTTTAAGTAAATGTCATAGCAGTCTGAAAAGTTGTACATGAAAATATTATTTATATACTAGTACATGTATATGTTAATTAAGGAACAATTTGTAAAATATATGACTTTTTTGTAAATAAACGCAGTGTCTAACTGCTGTTTTACTGAGCAGTTTACAGAGTAAAAAAGTAGATAGTTTCAATACTGACAAAAACTACAAATCACTTATTGAATAGGACTATGATCCTGTTTGGAATTTGTGTCTTTGGATGGTTCCTGTACCATACTCAAAGGTTTGAAAACATTAACTTATTTTTTGGATGTTTTCATTTATTTATCACATTTAAGTGTAAGTTATAGACAGGTGATGTAAGTCGTAACTTTTAAACATAAGATATACTTTACCTTTAGGTTCACTTTGTTTAGGCTTTTCAATATTTATTGGAATTTTTCTTTCTCTTGGTTTGCTTATGCTTTGTTTGATCATTTGCTGATCATTTTCTTTCTGTTTTATTTGAACAACTTTGTCACCTGTAGAAGCTTGTTTTTCTTCATGTGTCTTAATAGGTTCTTTGTCATTGCCCACATCATCTTTGTTTTCTTTTAAAGCTATTTTCACTTTTTTATTTTCTGCTTTTGGTACATTATCTTTACTTTCCAGATTGCTTTCTCTGTTAGAAGTACTTTCTTTTTCAGATTCATTATCTTCTCCTAGTTTTGGGACTTTAGAATCACTTGTTGGACTGTTTGATTTAGAAACATCATTAGCTTTGCCAGCATTATCATTTGTTTGAAGTTTGCCAATATCTTTGCCCTGTTGATTGTCAGTGTCTTTTGCTATATCTTTAATTTCTTTAAATTCAATATCTTCTTGTTCAGATTTAGTTTTGTCTTTTTCATTTTTGTTGCTGTCAGTTTTGAGATCATAATCTTCACCAGTTTTCAGTTCATTTTTAATTTCATCTTTATTTATTGTTAACCGTTCACTGGTCTGAATCCCATTTTTCGATGTTTCAATTCTCGTTTTAGTATCAGTGGGCAGAGATTCAGTTATTGCTTCTTTGTCTTTTGGGTTTTCTCGAATTATAAAAACAGGTTTACCATTTCTATCATAACCAACAAGCGTATATTTGCTTAAGTCGTTATCTTCTGCAGCTTCCTTTTCTTTATTTAAGTTTTCCTTAATTGTATCCATTGCATCTTTAAATTTCTCTTGTTGGCCTATGTTTTGTACAAAAATATCTTCATTCTTTATATTATTCTCTTCATTCTGATCAGAATTATCTTCATTTTTGTTTTGAATATTGTTTAAATTTGTTTCATTTTTTTCTTCAATTTCATTTGGCTTTGATTGATATTCCTTTTTGCGTGCTTTTGGTAAAACAGCAACAACCTTTCTATCGGAGTCCGGGTTTTCTGTATCATCAATGACATCAGGTACAGTAGGATAATCACCTATAGTATTTTGTACATTTGATTTCTTTTTCCACAGTTCTGACCAAAGTACATTTTGATACGGAAAACAGTTTAAATGAACATATGGACTATAGTGGCAAGAAGGACACGCCCTGTCGTCTCGTGGACACCAGTTTGTGACCATAGATTTTTCTGAGTTTTTGTCATTTCTACTTTGCAACTGCAATCTTTCATTAGTTTCTTCACTAACTTTACTTTTTGAATCTACTTTATCCTTTGTTATTGAACCGCTTTTCTCTAGCAAATTATTAAATAATAAAGTGTCTAGCTCATCTATTACACCTTGATTGTCATTAGTTTTTACATTGACCTTCATATCATTAGCGTTAGTAACACTTTGCGCTACTTTTAATCTTAGAGCAGTTATTTCATTTTTATTTTTGATGTTTTGCTCCGAAAGATCTTGTACAGTTTTAACTATTGAATTCATGAAAATTGTTTGATTCATGACCATTTCATGAAGCAATTTATTTTGCTCCTCTAGGTGGTCGTGTTTTACTTTCAATTGCATGATTATGCTCGACTGGTTTCTAAGAACGTCAGCTAGTTCATTTATCTTAGCTTGATGTTGCGTTATAATCTCATATTTGTCATTGCTTTTGTCTGGTAGTTTTGGATATTCCTTCCTCGTTTGTTTAAAAGCTAATTCTAGATATTTATGTTGTCGTTTACTTGTGTTTTCTGTCTCTTCCCGGAGGTATTGATAGTTTTTATTCATTCGTAAAAGTTCATTTTCAAATTTAAGAATTTGATTTTCTAGCTTTGAAATGGTGGAGGAATGATTTTGTTTGTTTAGAGCTGCCAATAAAAGCTGGTTTTCAAGCTTCATTATCATCATCTCCAGATGCTGTATCTTTGAATAGTACTTCCTAGTTTTTTGTTCAACAATTTGCTCAAAGTCTGCCAGCGAAAGTTTATTAAGAAATTTTTCTTCAGTGGAAAAACTTTTGTCAGCAGGGTTTATATCCTGATCCTCTAATACACTTTTATGTATTTTCATAGTATCAGCATTATCATTAATTTCCGAATTTATATCGACCATACTTCCATGTTGTGAGATTGTTTCTAGATATTCCTTTATATCTTGAGTATTGTCTTTATTATCCTTGGTCAGGTCAACAGGCTCTTCCGAGGAAATAAAACTTTTCATGCAAAACGATTTTGATAACAAAAACTTATAAAAACATTGAAGAGTACAAAAGGATCCAAATGGACACTTAAGTTTAAATTTACGTTTTACTATTGACATGTTACTATTGTCGGATCCAGTTTTTATTTTTACTTCGTCATCATTTATATCATTTATTTTACTTAAGTCGCCACTACTGTAAACATCGAATATATCTGACATTAAACAGCCAAATGAGTAACAAACTCCGAAAGGTATCGATTTTGTTACTTGGACATCTACCTTGTTTATAGGTTTTTCGGTGTCGGATTCGGTATCAGTTGGTGTAGCATGGCGATTGTTTTGATTTGCTTGCACACTTTCTTCTGATTCTTCATCTAATGATGACAGATCAGGATCCGTATCCTCCAAATATTCCGTTTCATCTATATGTACTGCTTCATTTGATAATTGATCAGTTTCGTCGGTTAGAATATCTTTATCCTCACCGACAGTAGTTGCTCTTTCATCAATATCTGCCTGACTGTCTAGAATGTCATCTCTGGTTTTATCGATGTCTACATTTCCTTCGATTTTATCAATCTGTGTTTCTAATCCATCGATTTCAGAATTCACTTCAATACCGTCCTCATTTTCGCTCTCTCGCGATTCTTCTTTGTTATTATTCGTCTGCTTGTTTATGTCATCTGACGAAGAGGCTGTGTCTTTTACATCAGTCTCTTCACTTTCGACTTCCTTTAATTCCATCCCAGAACCAGAAGGTGTGTAATCAAACAGATCTTTAAGCATGTCATTATACAAGTACAACGTGGAGCATTCCAGCATGCGAGTTTCTCGGCTCTCGGACGCTCTCATTACTAATGATTCTATGACGATCTTGAGATTATGTTGTTGGTCTGTCAGGTCGACATCGAACACGTCATCATTGATCATATTAAGGTACCATACCCGCACATCGCATAGTTTCTTTGCCCTGAAATATATTTACTCATGGTAGTAATCGAACTTGTTCAATGAAATTATTATATAAGAAGACATGTTTATTGTGCATGCTGTCATTTTTTACCCCCCACCCCCCGAAGGTAGGCACAATATAACACACCGTCTGTTTGTCCGTCCGTTCATCTTTGCGTCCCCACTTCATTCGTGTCCGGGCTGTAACTTTGTCATACATTGAGGGATTTTAAAATAACTTGGCACAAATGTCTACCACATCAAGACGATGTGTCGCGTCCAAGAACCACGTCCCTACCTCAAAGGTCAAGGTCACACTATCATTTTGAAGTTTCACATTATCGCAATTAGAGTAAATAGGTACACACATTCGTGTCCGGACTGTAACTTTGTCATGCATCGAATGATTTTAAAATAACTAGGCATAAATGTCTACCACATCAAGACGATGTGTCGCGTCCAAGAATTACATCTCTACCTCAAAGGTCAAGGTCACACTAACATTTTGAAGTTTCACATTTTGAATCAATATGTACACAAATCGTGTCCGGGCTGTAACTTTGTCATGCATGTAAGGATTTTAAAATAACTTAGCATAAATGTCTACAACGTCAAGACGATGTGTCGCGTCAAAAAATCACGTCCCTACCTCAAAGGTCAAGGTCTCGCTACCATTTTGAAGTTCACTTTATCACAATTAGAGTTTATAGGTACACACATTCGTGTCCGGGCTGTAACTTTGTCATGCACCGAAGGATTTTAAAATAACTAGGCATAAATGTCTACCACATCAAGACGACATGTCGCGACAAAGACCCATGTCCCTACCTTCAAGGTCACACTTACAGTTTTAAGGTACTCATTCTCTCGAGAAGAGTTTGAAGATACACATTCATGTCCGGACCGTAACTGTCATGCATGTAAGGATTTTAAAATAACTTGGCACAAACGTTTACCACATCAAGACAATGTTTCGCGGCTAAGGCTCATACAACAATCATGTCCAGACTGTAACTTTGTCATGCATTGAGGGATTTGAAATAATTTGGCACAAATGTCTATCTCATAACAACATTTTGTCGCGTCCAGGAACCAAAGGTCAAGGTCACTTTTATATTTTGAAGGTTCATGCTAGTTAAAGGTACAACAATACAAAGAACATTATTCAGCAATTAGTTACTTTCATTCTCTTTTCTTTTCATAATACGAGCTGCATGCTTAAGAAACCTTTTCGGGGGCATTCCAGCTCTTATTATTATAAATTTATGTATGCAATATTGAGAAATATTGATAAAATGAAATATGTAGATTAATTTTCCGCATTTTCACCGTAAAACATATTTTCACTGCAGTTAAACATATTTTCTGTATTTTCACTTGTGTCTTGTCGGACTTCTTCAAAATTCAGTCAGTACATAACATTTAAGTGAAAGTTATTCAAATTGTAATGTAAAAAAAGAGAAAAATATATGCAATAAGCATAAAATTCAAGTTTTTCTATAAATACAGGGTTTTTTTCATGTGGTATGAAAATTATCTTGCTTCACTCCTAGCTACCGCCAATCATGAAATATTTATTTTCATACCACTCGATAAAAATAAATCCTGTATTTTATAGATTAAACTTGAATATCCTCTATATAATTTTGTGTGATGTTTTGTTATTGACATGAATATAAAATGAAACAACATCGTTTTATTTTAAATCATTTACTATAGATTAAGTATTGTTGAATTCAAAATATTAGCTCTGCAGAGATTGTTGAAAATTCCTAAATATTACAACCATAATTAACATAGGAAAATACGGAATGAAATTTTGCAGACGTCATACAAAATCCATTAATTGTTGTTGTGGAAACCAATTAATGTTTTTAAATCTTTCACACAACAAGTTTCAAAATAAGTTTAAATCAAACAATGTCAAAATATGCATGGTTATTTATTTATCTTCGCGTATCCTCAATAATTCTGATATTGATTTTAAACGAATACCTTTTATTTGAAAATTTAAGGACGGTCACAGCAACGGCGTTATGTTAAGAATGTTCTTAAGTTTTGTGTCATCTTATTAAATCGAATCCCTATCGTTTTACGAAATAACGGTAATGCACTCACCTTGTTAAACAAACGATGGAGACTAAAGAAATAAACTGTAGAAGTAGTCCCCGAAAATGCATTTTTGTTCTGGCTCTTTGAACTTAATTCTATTTTGAAATAAATTCTATCCAATTCCTGTTATTAAATAATAGAAGAATTTTATCTGAAAATAAATATGCGTCATTTCTTCTAAAAGATACACGTCACTTTTGTGAACACAGTTATTGAAATAATTTTGGATTTATTGAAACGTGTGTCAACGTGGCGATGTTTCACCTACTGTTTGTGTATATTTATTAAGCAATTTCGTTTATGCATCTACGATGCGACATCTGTTGGTTCAAAGCCGAACATCCGAATTGATTTTCGGGGTTTACACTCTATTCATCTCATAATCTCCCAGATAATATTCGATAAAAGAGGGACGTATCTCTAATTATTGTAATTGAATACACTGCGGCAACAAACATTTACGATAATAGATTTTGACTAAACATGATTTTAACTTGTAGACATAGCGACAAAATTTCTGTCGAGGAATATAACTTCTGAGTTACTTTTTGGTCAAATATTTAAACATGTATTTTTTTGTTAAATACCTTTTTACTTAATATACGGAACTTCTGTCATACGGGAGAGGAGCACCGACGTGTACATGTGTAATATCTATTCTGACAAGTCTATGGAATTAAAATGGTGCTCTCTTCTAATTATAGATTCTACTTAATAGCGACTCATATTTTGGAAAACAAAATACTGTTGGAAGTCACTGTAAATACATACATGTATAGATATACTGAAAATGACCCTATATATTTCTCGAGAATCTGATTATTTTAAAAGAGAATTGAACACAAAAAAAAACAAACAAAAAAAAACAAAAAAAAAACGTTCAACTGGATTTTCCCGTGTATGCACTAATTACAAATATAGTATGAATTGTGTTTCAGTCTGATTTTATAGACTGTTTGTCCATAAGACAATGATGTTTAAAAAACAGAGTTAATTTTAGGCACATTATGCCTCAGAAATCTATATTTTCTATATTCTTTAAGAATGTCTATAATGTGTTTAATAATGGTTATTAACGGATTTAGAGAATGTTAGATGCTTAACAACTGAAGAAAATAGCGCTGAATATGCATTATTGTGTTGCAAAGGTAGCAAAATGTAAACAAAGTAGTATTTTGACTTCCATAATTATTATGTAATACCAATTCAATATAATTATGCCAATATCAGAGCAAAGGAAATAAAAATATAGTTAAAATATAGTTAATATATTTGGCAATTGTGTGGGGATTTTTTTTGTTTGTTTTAAAAGTGTTACAAGATGTTTTTGAGAAATAAAAATGATAGAATTTCCGAGGCATAATCGGGCCTCATTCTTTTTGATATTTCTAGAATTCCACAAAATCTACGAGAACGTGTCATGCGAAAGTTTAATGCGGGTATATGGCGACGAATGAGGATGCTAGGGTTGTGTGTGATTTTGGTATACGATCCCTGCCACACATTTAATTAACCATTTTATCAGTTTAATAAAACTGAACATACAATTTCATATTGAATGGAATACAAGTAAAAATAGCCAAACGATTCTTTCTATATTTTACGTAAATAGTTTTGTTGTTTTTTTTTCCTTCTTCAGTGTATAAATTTATACGGCTAAATATTTTGACTACTAATAACAAGTACCCGGGGAAGACAATTTCCTATGTAGCAGAGCATGCTTGCTGTCTGCACCGAGACACATTTGTAGATAATCACGGTGCATGTCCACATCCGTACCCTCTTTGCGAAATCTACCAAAACCGTACCCTCTTTGCACAAGCACAGGTCACTCTCATCTGAACGGACACCAATTAATCCTGTGAATGTTCATCTATTGATAAAAGGAAAGCAAGTATACCACGGCACACTAGAATGTTAAACTATGTCTTTCTTAGGAATGTGTCTTAGATGTCATATACAAGTACTTAGTGCGTAAACTTGCATTTTCTACCGCATACTGAATTCTTTTTTCCCTTTAGTTTCAACAACGCAAAACACCATTAAAAAGGTTTTAAAAAGATAATACTGATTACTCAATACAGTGCTAAGAGGGTACCTGTGATAGCAAAGAGGTCTGTAACACGTGCCACCGGTATTATGTGCGTTGATTGGTCACTACCCCCACCTCACTTTTACCCACTCTACAACCCTGCTACCTCTCCAAAACAAGGTTAACTGCAGTATTTTTCATTTGGAATATGTTTTAATGTTTGGTTTATGATTTTTAATCAAGTTTTTTTCATTCCCGCAAAAAATAAGAAATTTACATAAGTATGTAAATACAATGTAGTTTTACATATGTATCATTTCGTATATGTATCATTTTTTGCGGGGAATGAAGGAAATTGAATTATAATCATATATACTGCAGTTTGAGAGAAATGGGTAAAAGGCGGGGTGGGGGAGGGTAGTGACCAATCAACGCGGCGAACACCTGTTACTCGTGCCGCGAGAAATCGAAAGTACGGTGTTTTTATGAATTTAAAATGTAGTACATTTGTTTGAAGATGATACAATAATCCTATGTAATAGATTTTGAAAAGATATGGTACCGATATGGATATGCACTGTGATAAATGTTCCTAGCTTAATTTTAGAAATCTAGGAAAGTTAATTTGGGGTGGAATTTATATAGTTGGCACATGGCCAAAAGATTTAAGGCGAGCGGGTTATTTTTAACAAGCTTCAGTACACTTTTAATTGGACATGTTATGGACTTCCCCAAGGCGCATGCGCAGTTGTTGTTTACTTGCAAACGGGGATTCCGCAGAAATAGGCGCATACTTCGTGGACTGCACAAATTTCGCTAGATCTACAAGCTTCTCAAGATTAAAGTGTCTAATTCTGTTACAGATTAAGGTAAAGTACAATGCCAACTATAGAAAACGAGAATCCGGAGACAGAGGAAGAAGAAATGGACCAGGATTCGCCAGAGATGAACAGCTCGGATGACGAGTCGGATGGTGACGGTTCGGCGGCTGAAAGCAGCGATATTGGTATGACTTGCTCGTGTTAACTTAAAATTATGTCTCAATAGTATCGTATACTGTCGATGTCTATTAGAATTTTTGTTATTGTTTCTGAATGCTATTCTTTTAATCATATGTGTATGTTATTTCGGATAGATACTTTTTCGGATAACGTACGACTTTTTCGGATATCGTATGCATTGGTTCACCGCCGCATTCACATTTGGGCTGAACTGTACAGTACTGTAGGTTACTAGAATTAAAGACTTTAAGTGTTATCGACAAGCTACCGGTTTGGCAAATTTAATTAATGATTAATGTGAAAACTGGTTTCGTGGATGTTATATTGTACATGTAATTAAACATAACATATTATAATATTTAGCTCATTGATTATAACAATAAATATTGTGAGACATTGCTTTTTTAATATATTGACTATCTCCATTCACTGGGAAGACAGGCGTCTATGTTAATTGTAATATCAGTCCTCACTTTCCATTGGAGCGCTTGTCGCTGAGAAGGCTGAGGACCAGCTGCCAATGAGTGTAGGACAAAAGCCCTCCCGGACAAAAGCCCTCCTGTAAAAAAGTGACAAGGCGGACTGGACAAAAGCCCTCCCGTGAAAATGACAAGGTGGACAAAAGCCCTCCCGTAAATGTGACTTGGCGGACAAAAGCCCTCCCGTGAAAATAACAGGGCGGACAAAAGCCCTCCCATACATAAATGTACGTTGAATAGTTTATATTTTCTTTTCAATGCACTCAACATATTAAAATTGTAATCATGAATATATTTTTGTTTTCCATTGGCATAAGCGTGTTTGTATGAGCTTGAGCACATTCCTGAGAGGCATCTGAATAAGAAGTGCTAAATTTATAAGTGCATATTTATTCACATAGATATGAAGGATTACTCCTATGTGAAGTTAAGATTAATAGAGTAATAAATGATGAAAAGAAGTTAAAATTATCTAACTTAAAAGTTAAAGACATTTATAATGTGCCTTGTAATGAGTCAATTACTTTTAAAAGTGACTTTGTTTTTAACGACATTCGTGTAAAAAGTTACCTCGTTAAACATTTCAGGAAGGTATATTCAGAATAAAAGGTGGTTCTAGCTCATACACATACTTAGGCCAATTGAAAACAACAAGAAATATATGTAACAATTTTAATATGTTGAGTGCATTGAAAAAAACACAGGTATTCAACATACATATTTATTTTTGTTACGGGAGGGCTTTTGTCCGCCTTGTTAATTTCACGGGAGGGCTTTTGTCCGCCCAGTCATTTTCATGGGAGGGCTTTTGTCTGCCTTGTCATTTAGGTTCTCATTGACTGCCATACAGTGACCTACTTTTGGCCCAAAATTAATATCTTTGGCTAATACTGCATGGAAATTGCATGGAGGTAAATTTTCATTACTTTGTGCTTACATATAAACTCTTACAGGACATGACTGGTGACATGTTCGCGGTCTGTACTTAACAGCGAAAGCTGCATTTTGTGTCCTTGTGGGCAGACGGACCCTCATTAAATATAGACTACACACACATAAAATCAGTAATGTTTTGATGTTGGAATATTAAACTATTCATTGTTAAAAAGGTGCTTTTTAACCATGGGCACTTGGTTTCACAAGCAAAGAAATTATTCGATTAATTACTTTGTATACATGCATAAAAAACAGCCATGTTTGAAAGCAACAGAAGCTGGTTTACTGGTTTACATCTGACTGTAGTTATATTTTAACCTACATCTGTAACTTTATTTCTTTCTTTTTTTTCATCTCCAAACTAACATTTTACTTGATTATCAAATTTAAATGATTAAGTGTCATATTTTATATATAATTTTTCAGCCATATTTTAACTGAAAACTAGGAAGAGAATGGATGTTTGTAATTTCTTAATAAAAGCCTAATTTTGTGTGTTAAACATTTAACAATTTATTATTTCATAACAATCTCATTAAAAATAATTAGGGCCAAAAAGTGACTATTCCAAATTTGAAAATCTGGAAAATGATTTTGTAAATAGTATCAGGGTGACTCTTGAAATGACTCTTTTACCCTTCAAAGTTCCAAAAGGCCTGATTTGACCCTCAGGATTTTAACTGGAGGGTCAAATTTTGTTAAAATCATGGGGATTTGGCCTTGTAGTCGGTTAAACTTAGTCAAATGACCCTCAGGATTTCATGGCTAGTGAACACCCTGATAATACTAGATCTATTAGGTATCATTTGTGTTTTACATGCTTCTCTTTAAAATGATGTTTTAACAATATCATAAGGAAGTTTCACTTTGACTTATTTTCTCAATTTCAGAGTTAGTTGATGAGGAGGAATGCTCACGTAGACGAAATGAATGTTTAGATGATATGGTGGAACTAGAACGACAATTTTCAGATATCCGAGAACAGTTAGTATTGAGATAGTAGATATCTTTATATACTTGGTGTTAAATTAATTTGCATATATTTACCCTGTCCTAAGCAAGATATATCATTACAGATGATTACAGAAGAATGGACATTTATAATCATTTTAATATTATATAAAGTTTACCTTACATTTTAAACAGTCATGGTAAACATTTTAAATTACAGTTGAGTAGGTCTATCAACTTTCAGAGCACTTTGTCATAAAGATATATACATAGTTACCAATGTGTTTCAATGATTTTGAGTCAAATTGTTTCTTAGTAGACTCTTCCTCATTCATTTTATCATTATACCCCCAAAAACAAAGTTTGGGGGGGGTATATAGGAGTCACCCGGTGGTTGGTTGGTCGGTCGGTCCAGACGTCTGTTGCATTTTCCTTGTCCGGAGCATAAATTGAAGACTACTGGTTGGAATTAAAAACAACTTCATACAATTGTCAAACACAATAAGGGGAAGTGCAGTGCACAAGAACAATAACTCTTTCTAAAGTAATTACAGAGTTATTGCCCTTTGTTACTTTTCCATTGCTTTCTTTTGTCCGGACCATAACTTGAAGACTAATGGTTGGAATTCATTATAACTTCATACAATGGTCAAGCACATTGAGAGGAAGTGCAGTGCACAAGAACCATAACTCCATCTTGACTAATTACAGAGTTATTGCCCTTTGTTACTTTTCCTTGTCCAGAGCATAACTTAAAAGGTACTGGTTGGAATTCAAAACAACTTCATACAATGGTCAAGCACAATAAGAGGAAGTGCAGTGCACAAGAACCATAACTCCATCTTCAGTATTTATAGAGTCATTGCCCTTTGTTCCTTTTCCTTGTCTTTCTGGACTTATTACAGAGTTTTTTTCATAATTCAATAAAACTTCATCAATAGCAAACATAGAAAGGAAATGCAACATACAAGAACCACAACTGTCTTTAATTGCCCACAACCATAACTCTATATTTCAATTCTTTTACAAGGTATTCTGTTACTAGTAACAACCTCATTTCCGAAGCAGTCTTGTGGGGGTTTTAATCACATTTAGTGATAGTTCTAGTTTTAATTAGTATAATATTTGATACATTTGGAATACAAAATACATATTGTCAGACAATATTTCTTGTTTCTGGATGATTATTCTGTTCAAGTAATTAATATAGTTATGTTTGTGAAATGTTTGTAAATTTATTTTTCATTTACATAGGCAGTATAAAATCTAGAAAAAAATGTCAATATGTGTAACGTTTACATTTGTAATCATCAGATTATACAAGGAAAGATTAAACCAGATTGAAGCGAAGCTAGAAGAATTGCGTGCTGGGAAAGCTGTAGAATATCTAGAGCCACTTGGACAACTGCAGGAACAAATGCATGTTCGTACACAAGTAGCAGGTAAATATACATGTATAGATCATAAATATAATTACAATTTCAGTTTTAGTCATTCTCCATTTCAAGGCTGCATTGAACAAAGTTTCAAAAAGTAAAAATTAAGAAAATTTTATTAAGAGTTTGAGATACGGTATGTGTGTAAATATTTACAAAAATTCTCAGTCAACATTATTAAAAATCTGTGAAAAGTTTATCCCTTTGGAAGCATTAAAAAACAAAAAAATTATATGAAAATTACAGGCTCTGTTTGATTGAGTCTGTACATAAGGGATAATGAAAAAGTGTAACATTCCTCAAGGCTCATGCCCCCTAGCATTGGCTGGAGTGGTACTCAATTTTCAATGTTAATGTACTGAAGTCAAAGATTTGACATCTAAATCCTAAAGATGAGAATTCATTTAAAAAGGGAAATGAGAACAGTTAATTGTATATAATAAGTATTGAAATTATTTGCTCATCAGTATCGAAGGTTTTGGGTGAGCTATTAGTATCAAAGGGGGATGCTCCGTCGTCATGCGTGAACAATCGTCTTCATCGCTGAAACTCTGGGCAGATTTACTTCAAATTTGGTCTGTAGAATCCTTGTGACAGTCACACTTAAATTTGCTCATATCATATCAATTGGCCCCTTTTAGGGGTCAACAGAGCTAAAAATAGAAAAACCTTTTAACAACTTCTTCTACAGAACTAATGGATGGATGATCACCAAACTTTGTCTGTAGCATTTTTTGTTAGTCTTTTATCAAGTTTGCTCATATTAATTTGATTGGCCCCTTTTAGGGACCCCGCTAAAGCTAAAAATAGAAATACCTTTAAACGTCTGTTTCTACAGAACTTATTGATAGATGATCACCAAACTTTGTCTGTAGCATTCTTAGGTAGTCTTTTATCAAGTGTGCTCATATTAATTTGATTGGCCCCTTTTAAGGGCTGCTAAAGCTAAAAATAGAAATACATTTAAACATCTCCTTTTACAGAACTAATTGATGGATGATCACCAAATTTTGTCTGTAGCATTCTTGGGTTGTCTTTTATCAAGTTTGCTCATATTAATTTGTTTGGCACCTTTTAGGGGCCGCTAAAGCTAAAAATAGAAATACATTTAAATGTCTCCTTCTACAGATCTAATGGATGAATGATCACAAAACTTTGTCTGTAGCATTCTTAGGTAGTCTTTTATCAAGTTTGCTCATATTAATTTGATTGGCCCCTTTTAGGGGCCACTAACGCTAAAAATAGAGAAACCTTTGAACATCATCTCCTACTGAAATAATTGATGGATCACCAAACTTTGTCTGTAGCATTCTTATTAATCATAGGAGTCTTTTATCAAGTTTGCTCATATTAATTTGATTGGCCCCATTTAAGCTAAAGCTTAAATGCCCCAGGTCATGGCATTTCTTCAAATTATTGTTTAAAGATATTCTATGCTCAAATTTACTATTAGAAAATATTGACAATGGATAATTTTCAACACTGAAAAGCAGTTGTTTCTGATGAGCGTCTCAAGGCCATCATGGCCGCCTTATTATATTTTTTTAACTAGATATATCCAAATATTTTCAGGTATTTTGAAAGAGTTACGGATAAAGGCATGTATGACAAAACATGAAAGTGAAGAATTGGCAGCAAATCAGCACATGAGGGTACAAATGTTTAAATATCTTATTATTAATTGATAAATTGTGAATTGAAAAAAAAAGTTAATGGCTAGCAATATATGCATAAAAGTGTCAGAAATTTACCAAAACTTACCATTAAATGTTTTTAAAGAGAACTAGTATCTTATCTAGTTTGAGCTAGTAGAAGTAGTTCAACTTGAGATAATATAGAACAGACTTGGCTGACAAATACAGATACACAGCAGCCAGGGTTGTCAGTAAAAGAAATTTGGGTGGACAGTCAACCGTGTGTTTGAGGTAGTCGCGTTTGTTTTTGAATTTATCACATGCAACAAAAATTATTTTATAAGTTTTAAGGCAACCCCAAAATGAATTTGAAACAAATATTTTAGCCTACAGAAAACTGTCCCATCTGTGAAATGATGCCAGATTATAATGTTTATGAATAATAGAGCTGAGTTTGTGCTGTTATATTTAGTATTACCTTATGTATCAATAAAAATGTAATTACACATGATGTTTTTTTTCTCAGAGTGACAAGATGTTACTGTTTGACTCGATCAAGTCTGATTTGGAAGAGAAAATAAGAAGATTAGAAGAAGACAGACATAATATAGATATTTCATCAGGTATGTTATGATCATTACGATTATTTAGCATTAAACACAGCATGTCATTATGCAATAACAAAAGAATATAGAAATAATAGATTTATGAAACAAAAATAGGTCTACAGTCAATGTTATTAACTAGGTTTTCAACGAAAACTGGGTTATTGTAATGTCGAAGTTGGCAGACGGGCGTCAACTTTGGTTTCCGCTCAATAACTTGAGTTTGCTTTGGCCCCTATTGACACCAAACTTGGTGTCGGTAGTTTTAATCAAGAGGCAGCTTGCGGTTGCTATACAGCAAGGTCATGGTCACTGTTGCTAAAAATAGAAATTCAGTTTCTGCTCAATAACTTGTTTGCTTAGACCTATTGACACCAAACTTGGTGTATGGGTAGCTTATATCAAGAGGCAGCTTGCGGTTGCTACCCAGGTGTCTGTGATTATGGTCAAGGTCATGGCTGCTAAAAATAGAATTTCATTTTCCGCTCAGTAACTACAGTTTGCTCTGGCCTACTGACGCCAAAGTTTGTATCTGGGTAGCTTATATCAAGAGGCAGTTTGGGATTGCTACCAAGATGTGTTTGATCAAGATCAAGGTCACTGTTTCTAAAATTATAAATTAAACTTCCGCTCAATAACTTTAGTTTGCTTAGACCTATTGACACAAAACTTAGTACATGTATGTGAATACTTATATCAAAACACTAGTTGGACGGGCGGGTGTCAACTGTTGCTTAAAATAGAAATTAGGTCTCCGCATAATAACTCGAGAATGCTTAGACTTATTGGCACCAAATTAAGTATGTGGGTAGCTTATATCAAGAGGCAACTTGGGATTATATTTCATTCCAAATTCCTGTCACATCAATACCTGGTGGTTGAAAACCTGGTTTTCGTCGCATTGCGGCACTTCTTGTATGTACTTTCGTTTTCTGTGTTAAAAACTAGAATTACTGTTTATAAATGATCTGATAAAAAAAATCACAAACAATTGAACACAGTTTGTCAAAACATGTTTTTATAAGCTTCAGCTGTGATAAATAACAAAAGAAATGATGTAAACCAACACATGTTTATCGTATAAATGTGATTAAAATAATATTTTTTCGAAATTCTAAACATTCACATAAATAACTGTTATTTTCACACTTAGGCTTGCTTATAAATGACTTAGTTATAAAGATACAAGAATCATGTATTTTGTTAAGCAATTTATCTTGTGTGTTTAGAGTCAGAATAAACAGTACTACTACTGCAATGTTGAGAAATATGGTTATAAGTGCTTTTAACCTTGTTGGGTTAAAAGGCAGACAACTTTGCAACTAGGCCACCTCTCTTTTATACTATGAAATATTCAAATTTGGAGTTTTTTCTCCCTTTTTCTTTGTTCTAATTTTTAAAAAATTTTGGTCCATTCATCCAAGAATTTCTTTATGCACTATTGTTATTAGCTACAAAAACTAAAGAATTTTATCTCTGGGGTGTCAGATATATACAATGTACATTTTTTTTATCTGGGCTTGGATAATTTTAAAACTGATAAGAGCTTAAGAAATCTCTGTACAATTTGCAATAGATAACACCACACTGTCAGTTAAAACACTTTAATAGTACAAATTTTGTTATTTTCAGATTTATGGAACGAAAGTCAGTCACAAAAGAAAAATAAAAGGAAATCCGATCCTTTCAACCCTGATCGTAGACGTAAACCGGTCACTGTGACCGGACCTTACCTTGTATATATGTTAAAAGATGTTGATATTATAGATGATTGGACTGCTATCAAAAAGGTTTGTATTTAGTTATTCAATTGATTATAGTACACCGTTATGAGCCGTGTCACGACAAAACCAACATAATGGGTTTGTGACCAGCATGGATCCAGACCAGCCTGCGCATCCGCGCAATCTGGTCAGGATCCATGCTGTTCACTTACAAACCCTATAACAAGTAGAGAAACTGATGGCGAACAGCATGGATCCTGATCAGACTGCGCGAATGCGCAGGCTGGTCTGGATCCATGCTGGTCGCAAACCCATTATGTTGCTTTTGTCATGACGCGGCTCTTAAAGATAATGAGTGATTAGCCAATTGACACCTTGCCTTGAGGTTATAAAACTGTATTCTTTTTCAAATCTCAGGAATTTCATTGGTCATTTTACATTCTGAGCCGGTTTCTGACCAATCAAATATCTGAGATATGAGATTCAGCTAAAGAATAGAGCCAGGTAGGCACATTACACTAGAATGCATCTGTCTGATCAGGCTCTACACTGTTGGATGAAAAATTATTATCTTTATAAATTTGCATGCTTGTAACATCACGTTTCAATGGATAATCATAATGCTTACATAGTTGCTGTCAATATATGAATAAATGATTTTTATGCCCCTGCCATGTAATGGCCGGGGCATATAGTGTTACCCTGTTCCGTCCTTCCGTCATTCCGTCCTTCCGTCATTCCGTCCTTCCGTCATTCTGTCATTCCGTCATCATCAGTTTCCGTTCATTATCTTAGTAACGGTTGCATATATTCAACTCAAATTTGACATATGGATATGTCATGAGAAAATACAGGTCAAGTTCGAATTTGGTCATGGTTCGATGATTTTTGGCAGAGTTATGCCCCTTTTACTTTGAAAATAATATGAAATTTTCAGTTTCCGTTCATTATCTCCCCAACGGTACAACACATTCAAATCAAATTTGACATATGGATATGTCATGAGAAAATACAGGTCAAGCTCGAATTTGGTCATGGTTCGATGATTTTTGGCAGAGTTATGCCCCTTTTACTTTGAAAATAATATGAAATTTTCAGTTTCCATTCATTATCTCCCCAACGGTACAACACATTCAAATCAAATTTGACATATGGATATGTCATGAGAAAATACAGGTCAAGTTCGAATTTGGTCATGGTTCGATGATGTTTGGCAGAGTTATGCCCCTTTTACTTTGAAAATAATATGAAATTTTCAGTTTCCGTTCATTATCTCCCCAACGTTACAACACATTCAAATCAAATTTGACATATGGATATGTCATGAGAAAATACAGGTCAAGTTTGAATTTGGTCATGGTTCGATGATTTTTGGCAGAGTTATGCCCCTTTTACTTTGAAAATAATATGAAATTTTCAGTTTCCGTTCATTATCTCCCCAACGGTACAACACATTCAAATCAAATTTGACATATGGATATGTCATGAGAAAATACAGGTCAAGTTCGAATTTGGTCATGGTTCGATGATTTTTGGCAGAGTTATGCCCCTTTTACTTTGAAAATAATATGAAATTTTCAGTTTCCGTTCATTATCTCCCCAACGGTACAACACATTCAAATCAAATTTGACATATGGATATGTCATGAGAAAATACAGGTCAAGTTCGAATTTGGTCATGGTTCGATGATTTTTGGCAGAGTTATGCCCCTTTTACTTTGAAAATAATATGAAATTTTCAGTTTCCGTTCATTATCTCCCCAACGGTACAACACATTCAACTCAAATTTGACATATGGATATGTCATGAGAAAATACAGGTCAAGTTTGAATTTGGTCATGGTTCGATGATTTTTGGCAGAGTTATGCTCCTTTTACTTTGAAAATAATATGAAATTTTCAGTTTCCGTTCATTATCTCCCCAACGGTACAACACATTCAACTCAAATTTGACATATGGATATGTCATGAGAAAATACAGGTCAAGTTTGAATTTGGTCATGGTTCGATGATTTTTGGCAGAGTTATGCTCCTTTTACTTTGAAAATAATATGAAATTTTCAGTTTCTGTTTATTATCTCCCCAACAGTACAACACATTCAACTCAAATTTCACATATGGATATGTTTTTGGAATGCCCAGGTCAAGTTTGAATTTGGTCATGGTTCAATGATTTTTGGCAGAGTAATGCCCCTTTCACTTTGAAAATAATATGAAATTTACAGTTTCTGTTCATTATCTACCCAACAGTGTTACATATTCAACTCAAATTTGATAAATGGATATGTCATAGGAATGGGCAGGTCAAGTTGAAATTTGGTCATGGTTCAATGATTTTTTGGCAGAGTTATGTCCCTTTCACTTTGAAAATAATATAGATACATCTTAGGAATAAGCAGTTTAAGTTTGAATTTGGTCGTGGTTCAATGATTTTGGACAAACTTATCTTTCTTGAATATTGGAAAAATTTTGAACCCTCAGTTTCAGCACTCATACTTTTGTGGAAATGTATGTAGCCATTATTTTGGCTACAAATATGAAATATGCTATTTTCAAAAGGTTAAGACTGAATAATTTCAGTGCCTTGAACATTGTATGAAAATGGTTTGTGTAAACGTTGAAAAGTTTTAAGGGCTTTGAACTTAAAATGAAAACAATAATTTGTGCAAACAAATTTGGAACTAAATATTATAACATCTGAAATTTTGGCTGCATGCGGGGGCATCCGTGGCATGATGACACATTTCTAGTTTTTTATCTAAAAAAGGAGTTTGCTGTAACAGTATTATAAGTTCGTTATAATGATTCCTGACAGGTTATATGGCCATCAATAGAATTCTCACCTAGTGGCTTGGGTTATATGTAATAGTTATAGTATATGAAACAAGTTAGTTACAAGGATAAAACACTGGCTGGGGCAACATGAGGGATGTTTCTGCTTAAAAATTGTAGAGACGACTTTTTTTTGCAGAAATATCCCAACACATGCCTAGTATATACATGTAATGACATGTTTGAATTTGCTAGTAAAGTGCAATATTATGTAACTGTAAATATTTTGTCTTAATCAACGACAGTAGGCAAAGAAAATTTAGTAAAAATATGTACATGATTACACTGGAATCAGGAAGACATTTATTCCTAAGTTTAAGCGGAGTGTTTACCTTGCTCTACTGCTTTTAAACAGAACCATTTAAAAGAATGCAATTGGAAGGAAATATCTTTGGCTACAATATTAAGTATTTTGCATAAATGTACATACATGTAACTTTTAAGTAAAACATTCACCCATTTTAAGTCTAACATTTTCACTATTTTGTTTCCAGGCTTTAAAACAACAGCAACAACAGCAACAATTACATAAAAGAAGACCAGAATGTAAGTTTGAAACATGATTGTTATTTGAAACTTCTGTTACAGTTTTTAAAAGTAATTTTGAATTGTTAATATATGGCAATATCTTATTCATAATGGTGTGAACTTTAAATTTTCATGTTTATAAAAAGATGAAATTTTCTTTCACAAATTTCAATCATTCTTACATCAAAAATTTAATGTCATTTTTTTGTTGTTGATAAATACGTTGTTTGATGTCAGGCAACTTGTGTTGCCAAAATGCTTCCCAGGCATTGTGTCATCATCTGTTATTATTGGTTAATAAAGTCATGTGCACTACATAATGCACTTTGCCAGGTGTAAAAGAAGCACAATATGCTGATAATATAGAGTACTTGCTGCAAAATCATTATTATTCATGGGAGACTAATTTTGGTTTTCCTGCAAAATCATACATGGGAGACTAATTTTAGTGGTTTTCCTGCATAGGTCAGTCAACGAATTTAAGATCCAAAATTTTATTTTGTTTGCTGTGCAATTTATTTATGTTACATATTTTTCTTTATACTTTTTTCTGTGAAACAAAGAACCCACAAATTAAAGATCTCACAAAAGTGTCCATTTTGACGTAATTTTGTGCCCGCAAAATAATATGAATTCACTGTACACTGTATATAAATTAGTAAGTAATGTTTGTCTATTTTCAGATAAACAAACAATACAAGTGAGATGAGAGGAAGCTTAAGGTACATTGTCTCATATCTGCTGTTTACAGCATCTGTAAAATTAATGTTTCTTTGGTTGGGGTGTCACAGTTAGCAAAAAATGTAAACAGTTTAAAGTGCAACCGAATAACCGTGTTAAATGTTTAACCATCCATACTAAAACAACTCTTATATTTTCAACATAAACTTTTGTTGCTTAATGACAAGATATGACATTTAGTTTGTATATTGTTGTACTCAACAAGATTAAAAAAAGTATCAAGGTAAAGAGTAACTATTTTCAATATGGGCCATATTGTACAAAATGAGATAGCTTGCAATTTGAAAAAAAAAAAACAGGTCTGTACAACTATGGTAAATTTAAAAAAATGTATCTTGTCTAAGGAAACACAGGTAATATTTAAAATCATTCTGTATTTGGCTATTGGTGGTATACTTACCTAGGTCATCTGTTACTGAATTTTCCTCTGGGGAGGCGGGAGGGCTAAAAACTGACAGAACCCGTTTAGGAGGATAAATGTAAATTCCATACACTTTGGCCATTGGCTGATAAAAATAACAAACCTTTGCCACTAATTCAGAGCAAAGTTATACTGCGCGTCAATGCAGTCTCACAAGGCTGTATACTGTCCACTTCTCAGTTCTAATGTTCATATATCGAAATCTCTTAAAATACTTCTGGACTTTACTAAATTTAAAGCTGGCCAGTTAATTTTTTTTCTTTAAGTTCATTGTAGTCTGAACAGGTTGTGCATTGTAATTGCCTCAATTTTAGTTTAGTGTTGCAATCCTACAACCCCTAAAAACCCTCGATGAAATGTTCCAAAATAGAAACAAGCCAAGTCCACTATAAGAATTCATAAGGGTAGTGTTTATATATGTTTTCTTTATATTATTGCAGGTGCTACTGATGACAGTGTGTTCTTTATGAGTGCTGAATGACCATCTTTATGACCAATGACCTTTAGAGAGTGAAGGAATATAAAACATGCACAGACAGTGACCAGTATGTGTTACTGTATCATTGAAAAAAATTAGAAAATTTATGACATTCTTCGAGCTTTAATGGCATGGACAAATGAAGAAATATAAGGATTTTGAAACTCTTAACAATAAAAAAACAGAGCTAATCCAGTATGATAAAAAATACCACATTGGTAAAATTTGGAATTAAAACCTGTAGTTAAGTGAAGAAACAACAGTTTAAAACTCGGGTCAAAGCAAAACGCATTTCCATTTGAATTACATGAAGAAACTTTACAGTACAATACAATTTACTGGTGCATGTTCTTTGCGCATGTCTGAAATTAAATTAATAGGGCCAATTTCGCTAGAATCAAGTGGGGGTACTTGAAGAAAAAGTGAAGGCCCAGGGGCAGCAGCCTGACCCTCCACCTTTGAACATCAGAATAAAAGAAAGGCCTACTAAATTTTGCTGTTGCTGGCATCTGCGTTTTAAACAGGAATTTCCTGTTTGGTTAAGACTTTGTTGTATTATTATTTATATTCATCCGTACTTTGTGTATTGAATTTGAGGTAAAAGATGTATTGTGATTAAAATATTTTTAAAACTTGATACTGTTAAATGAAATTTTACTGAAGTATGAAATACACAATGTTATATTATGTGGCATATGACTCAAAATAACTCAAAAGTTAAGGAAATATATGGATTGTAATAGAAGTGAGGTACTTGTTAATATGTATTAAAATCTAGACACTTGGAATGAGAAGCCCACCCTCCTCTGAAAATAATAATGAAAGCACTATTTAGTAATAATATGCCATGGTATACACTTGATTAAAATTTAACAGAATTCATTTTTATCTGACACTTAGTTTCCAATCAAATAATATTATCAAGAGTTTCAACAGTTATCAAAATAGAACAGAACAAGTTAAATGTTCCAATACATTTTCAACAGATCCTATTAAATGCAAACACATTTTGTTTTTGAGGTACCTTTTGGTAAACAGGTGCAGATAAGAAAAGAGCGAGGCACTTAAAGGAACCATCTACCAAGTGTTTATGTAAATGTATAGAAAAAAATAAACAAAATTTTTTTTTGCAACCCCTCTTTATTAAACTTTAATATTTCAGAGTATCTTTACAAAGAGCCAGTGCATGATTTAGGCCTTCAGGTTTTCAAAATTGGGTAATTCTAGCTTTAAGGAAAGTATTACAGTCAAACCTATGTTAAAGAACTCCTGAATAAAGGTAGCCACCCAAATAACGTCCACTTTTGAGAATCCTTCAATGATAAAATATAATAAAGTAACCTCCAAGTAAAGACCACTTAACTATAATTAATGACAAAGATTTATCTCTCCTTGGGTGCCCCTTGTTCACAGGTTTCACTGTACATGTTGATGTTTTTGGAGAAGCTAGGAATGTAATAAAAACAGACTGATTTTTGCTATATAATTTTATTTATGCAACAAATGAAATGTTCAAAAGGCTTAGTTATAATTTATAAATTGTGACAAAATACATGTATTTGTTTATGTTTTACATTATGTACATATATTGTAAATAATAGAGTACTGAAAACAATTCTTCCGTTGTTGTCTTTTATAAACACTTCATATTTTCACATTATGTATGAATAAACAATTTCCATATTTAACCGATATCCCAAAGAAGATACCTCTTCTTTAAAGTGTCTTTCAAGTAATGAAAGTTGTAACAACGTAAACAGGATTTGTGTCTGTTTAAAACACAAATGTGTTAATATTATCCAAAATTGACATGTAACTGTCACAGATATCACATTTAAGAAAATTTTATACGTAAAACATAATCACTATCATATAACAATTTCGCCATTTGCAGAGTTTGTACAACTGAACTAAGTTCATATTTTTGTATTCATAAACAAGATGAGGTTGGTTTTTTTTTTTTTTAATGACATATTCATATTGTGTAAAAAAATTAACAAAGGATGAACAGACATCATAATTTTTTCGTTGCCGTTTGTCTTTTTTTTATTTCTTCCAATAATAGTTTATCTCTAGTTTTTTCGAAATGTTTCAGCTGAAAATAGAAAAAAAAAATAATTGAGCATCAACATTTTTCAATGGTTAATGATTCGATATTCATATACACTAGAATGGCATACATGTATTTAGGTTAAAAAGGTTATTAATTCAGAACAACAGGTCATAGTAATTGCATGTATCAATATATCGTGGTTGAGAACTGTTCACTATTTAGGGGAGAAAATGTGAAAGAGGTTGGATAGCTCATTTGGTACACCCGCAAAATGGTATCTTGAGGTTCCAGGCCCGATCTGGCTGCACATTTTTCTCACCTTGTTAGCTGTCATCAATTGAAATGATATCAATGTGTCATAGATATTTTTTGTTGATAAATTATTGATACAAATTTGAAAAAGAAAAAGTGTTTTGACTTATTAAAGACATGTCTAGAAATAATAAATAAACGCCCAAAACATTTACAGGAGCAGAAATCCTGAATAATTTCCAAATACTGTAATACAAAACAGCCTCTGCTGACAAACATCCTTTGGAAAACAAAGATTTTGGTTGTTGCTGAAATGTTGTGCTCTAGAGAGAATTTGAGCCGCGTCGCGACAAAACCAACATAATGGGTTTGCGATCAGCATGGATCCAGACCAGCCTGCACATCTGCGCAGTCTGATCAGGATCCATGCTGTTCGCTTACCAACCCTATTACAAGTAGAGAAACTGATAGCAAACAGCATGGATTCTGATCAGACTGCGCGGATGCGCAGGCTGGTCTGGATCAATGCTGGTCGCAAACACACTATGTTGGTTTTGTCGTGATGCGGCTCTATTATACTTAAAACTTTCCTTTGGGATAATTAACTGATATTGTTGTTCTACAGAGGCTTTTGTTTTAGAGAGGTTGCACTGTAAATGAAGGAATAAAAGAGCCTTATCTATAATGCTACAAAACCTAACTCACCCAAATTTTAGGGCAATCTGCTTCATATTTTTCTAATGTTGCTTTACATTTATATAAATCTTGATCATTATCGTCAAGGCATTTGAAGTGTGCATCTCTTGCTGTGTAACATTTTTCTCGTTGTTTCTTTAAGGGTGGATCAGACATTGTAAATGACCTGAAACATTGTATGAAAGTTTTATTTATTTACGATTGTAGACATGTAGACATTTATTAGTTATAAATTTACAATGTCTTACCATGAAACCATCATTCTGGCTGTATACTTGTGATCTGGGGATTGGGAAACCCAGGTTTTTTTTCCAGGATTTTGGGAACATGACCCATACCCATGGAACTGGGAATTTCAGCAATGTTCTGTTAAAATTTGGGAAAAAATTCATGACTTAAATTTGGCAGTGATTAAATATATGCAAAGAATCACTGTCTAGGATGGCATCTTCATACATTTAAACACCATAACAGTGAAGAAGCCCTTATTTTCAAATATTTTAGAATTTGTTATTCAATATTCTTATTTTGTAACTTGCAATTGGGAATATTTTCCTGTGAATTGGGAAAAATAATATACTTTTTTTCAATTGGGAATATGACCGAATATCGGCTATAAAATAAACAAACAAAAATCCCTGGACCCAAATTGTGACATACATTAAAATTTTTACATTTTGTTGGAACCATTCTAAAATGATGATATATACATGCCATTGCAGCTTCTTTATTATGTTAACATAAAAATTCTTTTTTTTACTCAAAAATTTGATGTTATATAGTAAAATGTTAATTTTGTGATTGATAACAAAAGTGTTAAGATGATGACTTGTGTCACTGTGTGTCAAGTTGCCAGGTTGGACGCTTGCTCTTAATGCCAACAAGAGCCAACACCAAGTGAAGGCCTCACTCAACTTTATTTTAATTCCAAAGGCAAGCATTTCATAAGAAAAAATTGTATTGAATGGTTTAAATTAGTTTAATACAGATCAAGCAAGATTAAAAAAATTTGACCTTGATGGTCAAGGTCATATTTCAGTTGAGATAAAGATGTTGTTTTGTCACGGTATCAGGTCATATTACAATTTTGAATTATATTCAGCATGTCTGTTTAGTCAAGAGTTTTTTGTCCAAGTCTGAATGAAATCCCATAAACAAAATGACAAAAAGTTATAACTTATAGCCAGTTCCCAGCAAAAATTCAATAATTTTACCTTTGAATGTCAAGGTTCATATTAAAGGTCAACTTTTCATCCAAAACCATCATGAAGGGGTCAATTGTGTTGGGTGTCGTTCCCGAGTATGACAAACAATCCGTTCAATGGCATTGATGATTCTTCAATTAAAAAGTTATAGCCAATAAGGCAAAAAGGCTCTGAATTCATAAAACCTTAACCTTCAAAGTCAAGGTCAATTTTGAACAACGGTCAAGTTCAGTTTAATCTTCTGTACACCTTGTTGTAAACTTTAAACGGTAAAGGCTCTTGTGTCCAAGTTGAAGTATGAAGACAATTGATTAATTTATAAAATAATAGCCAGTTACCGCAAAAATTAAGCAAACTTCAATTATTTGATCTTCATGGTTAAGTCAAGGTCATTTATAAGTCAAGGTCAAGTTTAGTTTGATTTTCTTGAAGGTCTGGGCTTAACATTGTTGTCTACATGCATGAAGACAATGATCCTTCATAGATTAAAAAGTGATTGCCTGTTTAAAAATTGACTTGAGGGTCAAGGTCATTTGTTTGTAAGACCAAGTTCAGCTTGGTCTCCTTGAAGCCCTTGTCCAAAGTGTAAGGCAATCTATCCAGAACAAACAAAAGTATGTGTATGACCAAAGTTTAAGAATGGCAATGGCATCAGCAACGTCAACATAAACAATTTTCTCTGGAAAAGTTATGGTAAAATAAAAAAAAAATGATAAAGAAGTGAAAAGCAAGTAAATAAAGTTAAGTTCAGCTAGTGAGATGGATCATAGGCATTTGGCTCATTTATCTTGTCAAGAATGATTCAGAAATAACTAATAATAATTTTACCTTAATACAGTGAATTGCAAAATTATTGCCATCAAATATGTAAAATACTGTTCTACTGAAAATAAATTTTGTCAGTTTGATTGCTTATTGGAGATTTTTTACCACTGGTTAGCTCAATAGTTAGAGCATTGGACAATGAAGTGGCCGGGAGACCCGGGTTCGATTCCCGCACTGTGCACTGTCTTTTTCATTGCGATAGATCATGAAATTCTTTCTACAGTCAATCGCACTGTACTTCTGCTCTGGCTTGCACAGAAGTCATCAGTTCCTTGTGAAACTAAAGGTAACACCACCATAAATAACCATGCCCATGGAAAATCTTATGCAACAAAAGTCAATAATCATTTTTAAAATATTTTTTATTCAATAAATTGAAGAGATAAAACAATGTTGTTTTCAGGTTGATATTTCTTATGCTAAAATGATTCTTTATTTGTAATTTACATAACTTCTTAGGGTAAATTATAAAACTTGGTCTTATTTACCTTTGACATTCAGTCACTAACACACATGTAAACTGAAACAGGAAGTGCCTACCAACACAGATTCCACTCAAAAAATAGTGCAAATTACGATGAATGCAAATACCCAAAACAACAATAAAAATATATTTATCCGCAGCTGTTTTGAAAAATCTTTAATTATATAAACAAATAATAGGAATATAAAAGGAAAACAATTGTTGCTTAAATCAAAATTACTGCGCTTACTCACTAAACGGAAGTAATATGGCCGACACCAACAACATGTCGAAAATTGTCGGAAAAAAATGCTTCAAAATCGTTTTTATAAAGTCATAGCGGGGATTTGATTTGATTAAAGCAATGTTTAATTGGAAAACGATATATTAAACAAAATGACTGATTGTGAAGTACCGGATCAAAGTCTGAACATTTCAGATTCAGAAAAAATAAGTAAAATATCCTACCCCACCCACTCAATTCAGCACGAAGATGACGCAAATACAATCAGTGGCAAGTCGCTTCCTCTGGATAAGCATCCTCCAAATGGTATAACTCATGTTTCACCAGATGCTAATGGTCTCTTAAACCAGAAGAAAGATCCATTGCCATCTTTTCAAATATTTTCTCAGAAGGCCCCCTGTTGTGCTGCAGAAACCTGCACTGAAGAGAATGACAGGTGTAAATCTATGGACAAAGATGAAGGTCCTGTGTGTGATTGTGATAAATCCAATATGAATGATGTCTGTCAATTATCATCTAATTTGAATAGTGTTACATTTGATGAAAATGAATCGGAAGAAAGAGACATATTTAATGGAATTGAATATGTTGTCTACAAATCAGAAGTGCAAATGCCTGATATCATGAGACTCATCACCAAAGACTTGTCAGAACCATATTCCATTTATACTTACAGATATTTTATCCATAATTGGCCAAAACTTTGCTTTTTAGTAAGTGTACTTAGTCTAGGTAAATAGTAAAATGGATTAGTAGTAATCAGTTGCATTACAAGGACGAGATTTAAGCTCACAGTGAAAACAAGGGCTATACAATCATTGCTGAGATTTTAGCTTTCTCTATTTTTTGGAAGAAAAGAAAAACCTCAAGTTAATCAGACAGACCTTGACCTTCACGAAAAATGACCTTGACATTGAAGGTGAAGTTATTGAAACTAACTTTCATTGCTATAAAAGGCTATTACTTTGTTAGTAATAAAAAGATTGAGTTCATATTAAGACACAACATTCTTTGCAATAACACCTTCGTGCAAATCAAACTAAAAATGACCATGACTCATGAATGACCTTGAACGTCAAATTATTTGATTGTCACTGTCAGATATTGCTATAATTGTCTGTAACTTGGTAACTAATCTATCTTATATTCTATGAATTATCTTCATACTTCAACAAAACAACCTTTTTTGACAAGACCTTTTAAAAAGTTGAACTGACCCTGACCTTTAAAATTACATTGACTTTCAAAATTTAAATGTAAAATTGCTAAAAATATTGGATTTTTGTTAAGTTATCATAATTTTATAATTTATGAACAGATTTAATTCAAGTGTGGAAAAACAACACTTGTGACCAAAATGTTGAATAATTTAGTTATGACCTTGACCTTTATATGACCTTGACTTTCAATGTCAGATGATTGAATTTTGCTTATATTTTATGAACTTTGTCATTTATTTATTGTTTGGTGAAACCCTTTGGTGAAACATAGTTCAGAACGTTTATAAATGACATATTTATATAAAAAGCAGGCATGTGAACTTTGTGTACGTGTCACATTTGTAAGTTTCTTGTCCATGGAGAAGTTAAAATTTTTGAGTTTTTGCCTGCTCTGTAGAAATTCTACAGAACTCTGCAAATGTGGGTTTTTCCATCTATTAATCGATGGGTACAAACAAACTTTTAAAGTAACTTTTCCATCTAATCCCATTGTAGTAACATTTACTGTACTTAACAACTTGGTAAATATATTGATAATAATATGAAATTAGGCAAAGCCTATGAACGGGGAAGTCGTTAAGAAATTCCTTTTATTCTTTCCGTTTTAAAGGTGTCATTCGGTATTACATGCACCGCTTCCGTTTTCACTCAGAACACTCAACGTTTATTATTTATCCGAAAAGTTGAGATTTGTTCCGTTATCGGAATACCCCGCCTATTATCATTGAGTTACATTGTAAATGGCGGCGCCCGACTAGAACTGACACTGAAAATTTCATTGATAGGTATAGAATTCTATATATTTTTAATTGTTTTTTTATTTGATTTTCTTTTAAAAGACCGGGCGCGGTCTTTGACTTCCCCGTATAAGTGCATGTCATGTTGATTGTGAATGATACTGCTATGTGAAGTTAAAATGGTAAATGTTTATTTGTACCATTGGATCAGATTGGGGGAAAAACCCACATACGCCTAGGTTCAGATATAATTTATTTGCATATATATATAGTTAAAGATGGCTTAAAATTGTAATAAGTCTTGCCGCAAATGTGGTGATTTCAGATTTTTATTTTTACCTTTGATAAAAATCTCTTCAGTCATCTGATCTGCGTGACGATCCATATGTTAAACCTGTAGAAGTGTTTTTCTTTAGAGAAATTTAATTTATAGTCAGTGTTAGTTATAAGAAGCATTATTAGTATGAGAAAAAAGTTGACAAGTCAAGGAATAAAATTAATTCAGCAATTATGTAAGTTAATCTTGTATTTTTTAGGCAATGGATGAAGAGAAATGTGTTGGGGCTATTGTCTGCAAGTTAGACTTGCATAAGAAAATGGTTCGCAGAGGGTATATTGCCATGTTAGCTGTCGATTCTGAATACAGACGGAAAAAAATAGGTATGATTGTGTCAGACATATAGCTTTGAAGAAAAATAAAAATATTAAGTGAATGTATTTATGTATTCTAGGCTTAATGAGGGTCCACCCGCCCTTTCAGGCACTGGGAGTACGGATCCCGGACATGTCACCATTCATGTCCCTAATGTTAAGTGAAATTTATGAAAAATACTAATAATATTAAATAGAATGATTTGAGTTTAATCATGGTTTTGTTGTTCATTTTGTTTATGCTTCACTTATTTATAACTTGAATTGAATTTAAATTATATTAAATATGTTTGGACTAAGTCTGGAGTTTCTATATTTGTAATTAGGATCAATGTTTGTGGTCAGAGATATGACAGAATCAGTGTTAATCCAAAAGGTAGTAAATGGTGCACAAATGTTTCACAAATAGTTGTTTTTAAAATTATAAAGAAAAGAGTCTTGCACTGACAAAATGAGACATTGTATCAGTTAATGTTATTTTGTTTTGCTTTGATTCAAACTTTAAAGACATTTTTGGAGGACGGCAAATTTTACATAGGCTTAGAAGGAAAAGAAAAAAGAAAACTCACTTTCCAGGGTAGATAACTCAAAAAGTACTTGTGCAAAGTTTAAGAAAATGTTCTGCACTGGTTCAAGTTTTTCCTTTTGTCATGTGTATGTTTTGTAACTGTGTATAAAAAGTAAAAGAAATGTACTGTTCTGTTCTGTAAAAAGTTCCAATATTTCTTGCTTCTTTTATATATTTTTTCTATATATCGGGTATTTAATTTTATAATAAGTTGTGTATGATTTTGTTTTAGGTTCACATCTTGTTCTGAAAGCCATTAAAGCTATGATTTCTGATGACTGTGATGAGGTAATGTTTTCAAGTTTTACACTTACAGATTTATGTTAAGGTAGTCTTACTGCAATGCTTTCCTGCCAAACATTTCTAACTTCGGCCAATATCATAATAAATTGATCATTACCTGAACGTTACTTTTTACAATCACCGATATTCAATAAATTTTTTACCATTTATAACCGGAATTTAGTACATAACGATACAGGATGAAAGATTAGAATAAATCTAATGCCAAAGATTTTGGGAAAAAAAAGTTCCGGAAATAAAATTAATGATATGCTACGATATTGGCCGATGTTATAATTTTTTGGCGGGAAAGCATTGCAATAAGACTATTTTAACACTAAAACTGCTGAATTTGGGCAGTAAATTTGCCCTATTTGTAATTTTTGACAGTCTATTTGAAAATTAGGGGTGTCTGTGCTCGAGTGGTTAAGACCGTTTACTTCAAACCTCTTGCCCCTCACCGCTGTGGGTTTGAATCCCAACTGGGACTTTGGATTCTTTCATGTTAGGAAGCTATCCAGCTAGCTTACGGAACATCAGTGGTTTTACTCAGGTGCCCAACCGTGCCTGAAATAATGCAGGGAAGGGCACCTGAGGTCTTCCTCCACCAATAAAGCTGGAACGTCGCCATATGACCTATAATGTGTCAGTGTGACGTAAAACCCAATTAAAGAAACAAATTTGAAAATTATCTGTAAGGGATTTCAATATCAACCTACACAAATTTAGCTACCTTGGTTGGCCTGGCAGTGTACTGGTGGCAAAGGCTTATCATTTGGATGTCCATTAAGTTTAGAGTTTATTTTTATGAAAATTTATTAAGTGTTGAAAAATAAGAAAACAACAAAACCAAACATTGTTGTCACCCTTAAAACTGACAAAAAAACAAAGCAATACCATGTACTGGTGGCACTTGGACCTTGCATGTTTTTAGCTCACCTGTCACAAAGTGACAGGGTGAGCTTTTGTGATCGCTTTTCGTCCGGCGTCCATCCGCCGTCCGTCCGTCGTCCGTCCGTAAACTTTAACTTTAAATGACATCTCCTCATAAACCACTAAGCCAGTTTCATCCAAACTTCACAGGAATGTTCCTTTGGTGGTCACCTTCAAAAATTGTTCAAAGAATTTAATTCCATGCAGAACTCTGGTTGCCATAGCAACCGAAAGAAAAAACTTTAAATATCTTCTTTTAAAAAACCATAAGAGCTAGAGCTTAGATATTTGGCATGAAATATCTTCTAGTGAGTGTCTACCAAGTTTGTTCAAATAAAAGCCCTGGGGTCAAAATTGGCCCCGCCCCGGGGGTCATTGATTTTCCCTATATGCATATAGTAAAAACTTTAAAAATCTTCTTTTAAAGAACCCAAAGAGCTAGAGCTAAGATATTTAGCATGAAACATGTTCTAATGGGTGTCTACCAAGTTTGTTCAAATAAAAGCCCTGGGTTTAAAATTGGCCCCGCCCCGGGGGGTCATTGATTTTCCCTATATGCATATAGTAAAAAGTTAAAAAATCTTCTTTTAAAGAACTCAAAGAGCTATGGCTAAGATATTTAGCATGAAACATGTTCTAATAAGTGTCTACCAAGTTTGTTCAAATAAAAGCCCTGGGGTCAAAATTGGCCCCGCCCCGGGGGTTCATTGATTTTCCTTATATGTGTATAGCAAAAACTTAAAAAATCTTCTTTGAAAAAACCCAAATAGCTAGAGTTAAGATATTAAGCATGAAACATCTTTTAGTGAGTGTCTACAAAGTATGTTCAAATAAAAGACCTGGGGTCAAAATTGGCCCCGCCCCGGGGGTCATTGATTTTCTTTATATGTGTATAGCAAAAACTTAAAATCTTCTTTGAAAAAACCCAAATAGCTAGAGTTTAGATATTAAGCATGAAACATCTTCTAGTAAGTGTCTACAAAGTTTGTTCAAATAAAAGCCCTGGGGTCAAAACTGGCCCGGCCCCAGGGGTGTCATTGTTTTTAACTATATGTGTATAGTAAAAACTTAAGTTGGGGGTTGGAGGGGCCTATATACAGGTGAGCGACCTCAGGGCCATCATGGCCCTCTTGTTTATCAAAATTTATTGTTATGAATACTTGCATCATAGTCAACTTTGCAAGGCATTTGAAAGTAAATAAAAGTTTAAAAACATTCAAACTATTTAATATAAAAAACAAAAAGTTTTGAAAACATTCAAACTATTTAATATAAAATCATGTATTATGTACTCTTTACATGTGTTTGTAATGAGAAGAATGTTCAATAAAAAATAGGAGAAATTTCCATACAAAAAATCAGTCATATTTTGCATAAAACTGAAACCTTGGACATAATACATGTATGCCTGGACATGAAACTGGGGATAAGTACAGCATTATCTTTTTATCCAATGAGATCTGTATCTAAAATTTCTTTAGACAATCATGAACCCACAAGAGTTTGGTGGTTTTGTATCAGTTTGTATATAAAATATTCATGAAGACGTGTTATAATTTAATTTCAGGTTGTACTGGAGACCGAGATCACGAATCAAGCAGCGCTAAGGTTATATGAAAACCTGGGTTTTGTTCGTGATAAAAGACTATTCCGTTACTATTTAAATGGTGTAGACGCATTAAGACTGAAACTGTGGTTACGATAACAAAACTGTGTTCTAGCAATTAAATAAACTGTTATATATACGAGCCGCGCCATGACAAAACCAACATAATGTGTTTGCGATCAGCATGGATCTAGACCAGCCTGTGCAGTTTGATCAGGATCCATGCTGTTCGCTTACAAACCCTATAACAAGTAGAGAAACTGATAGTGAACAGCATGGATCCTGATCAGACTGCGCAGTCTGGTCTGGATCCATGCTGGGTGCGAACACATTACGTTTGTTTTGTCATGGTGTGGCTCACATATAAATAAAAATCTGTTGTACAAAACCTTGAACTGGTATATATGATAGTGTGTCTGGAGTGAAAAGCAGGGCATAATGATTGTTTCGGATGGTTTTAAATAATTACTAATATCATTTCCGTCAAACTGTAGGATAGCCGTAGAAAACAAAGTTGTGAGTGTCTCAGTGATGAGCAATAGTTCAACTGTTGAATGTGATGATAAGAAATTTTAAAATTCCTTTTGCTCTTTATTTGTTTGTAAGTTTAGGTTTGAATTTACTTGATTATGATGCCTGAATAGTATAGGATATGATTCTGTTATAGAACGCACATGAACTGATTAAAAGGTTATGAAAAAGTTGTGCTTTATTTATTGCAATGTATATATTTATTCTCCAACCAGATTTATGATGACTTACTCTTACCAAGTTAAAAGTGAACTGTACTAAGATGTTAATTTAAGAAATCATGTATCAGAATATTGAGACGGTCCTGTTTTGTCTATAGAAAAGGAATATTCTTGCACATTGACATTCGCACAGTCTGTCAAGATTTTAGTCTGTAAGCTGTAGTACATGTATGATCAGAAGCATTTTGATAATTTATTTGTTGAATAATAAACATTTGACAGTTCAAGCATAGTAAACCCTTTAACCAAATTAAAAATGTTGGATAATAGTTTATATTGTGATTTTTTGAGGTTTAATATGATTGTTATTCTTGAAGAATAGTGATGTTTGAGGTTATATTAGTGATTTTTGAGGTTAAACTTTAAATTAGTCATTTTTGAGGTTATAATATAGAGATTTTTTGTTTTTAGTTTAAAATAGTGATTTTTGAGATGTATGATTGTTGAATTTTGCATGGTTCGTCTGAATGTTTTTACTTGTTTGTTATTATGTAAACTCTACAGGAAACCTATACATACTGAAACTATTTAGTCTCTAATTTATTTCATTATTTTCCTTTTAGAATTGGCAAGAATAATGAATTTTTGTAATCGGATTTACTATTAAAATTTATTTTCTAATTTATTGTATGACAGCCTATTTGGGTTGTATGTGTGTCAAAATTGGTTATAAGAAATTAAAAGATATTATTTTTGCATTTGGTAAACTAACTAAATATATACAGCCTCATTTTTGTTTAGCTCGTAAAAAATTGAATGTCTCAGAGATAGTGTTGATTCATTGTACTTGTTGTTTTAACTACATAATAAACAATTTATTTAATTTTATTCTTATTTGTTTGATTTGCATGATTCAGCAAAAATCACATTATGATAAATGCTTTATTTTCTCTGAAAGAGTGGTGGATGTTGATACAAATTACTCTTTTAATGTGTTTGTGTTTCCTTTTAAAAATGGGTCAGCATCTACCATTGTTTCAAAACCTTGGTTTATTTTCTCTAATGATTCCCAGTCATGTTTATCCTTGAAATACAAAAATGTATATTATATAAGTATAAATTAAACTGCCCAGTTTCTGACCTCAGATGTACATGTATGACGAGTTAGACTGCGATTTTTGACATGCCCCCCCAATTTCTTTGTGTTGCATAATTATTATTTTAAGTTTGTCATTTCCTTCTAGCCTTTTTCACACTTATTCCCTTGGTGTTACTATAAGATTGTAACATCCGAGATTAGCCAAAATCATCTTTTCTGTTTTGTTACCATATCATCCAAATTTTGTTGGTGCACCATAAAACCAAACAAAACAAAACCACATTCACACTTATTTATAATTTTTATAGCACCTTCATGTAATGGCTGATATTCTAAATCTTTCATTGACCTTTAACCCATAGTTGGGTATGGTTGATTGAGCCATTGTAACTCGGGCTAAAAATAGAAGCTCCTACTGTTGATTATAAGGCCATATATTACGTTATAATTTTGTTTAAGCTAGGGAGCGTCCATTGATATAATCAATATTCTTCTTTTTTTCCTAATCGTCTTGACATTTATCTTGAAATTTTGGGATTGATCACAATCTAAAAAACTGAAGTATATACAGAAGGTCTTAATGCCGGTGTAATTGCTCTTCTCAACGATACATAGAGGAAATACTGCCAGTCATAAAATATTTATTTTGATATCACTCGATGAAAAAAGATCGTGTATTTATAGAAAAAACTTGAATTTTCTGTATATTTATATACATTTTCTCTTTTTTTGACATTACAATTTTGGAAGACTTTCCCTTAAATTTTGTGTACTGGCTGACTTTAGAAGAAAGTAGTCCAGCAAGACACCAGTGAAAATCATGAAAATATGTTTCACTGCAGTGGAAAATAAATTATGGTGACCATGAAAATACGGTAAATGAAAATACGCATTTTATTTCATTAATATTTCATTAATAATATGTAATAAAATATCAGTTCTTGATTATGTTAAGAAGGAATGATTAAATAGCATGACGACAATGACGACAATTAAATTTAACACCCTTTCAACTTTTAATAGAAGAGTTAATATGCATGCCATGCTCTTGTATGTACATTACAATTGACAATTTCAAAAATTGATTATGAGGCAAGTTCATTGCTCAAATTCAGCAATAATACTTTATGCATGTAGTTATTTAAAACAAATAATGCTGCTGCATTTCATGTTAATTCTATATAAAGATTACTACCTGCACAGCTCCAGAAGAGCCAAAATATTACTAGAAAATTAACTTGAACAAAGACTTTAGGAAAAGTAAAAATATTCCTCTCCAAGTAATAATTTACATATTAATTTACATTAATAATTGATTTATCACCATATTTATATCGCTTGACCAGCACAGTTTGGTTGCTCTTGCATATTTTGGCCATTCAAGTATAATTCAGGTGCTAAGTGAGAGCGGTTTGCTATGTGTAAATTACTCTCTTTTTTTTGTTCACTTTACAATTTGCTCTTACTTTTTTTTCACATTTTACAAATTTTCATGAAAGTTAGATAAAATGTGGAATCATGCTGCTGTAATGCAATGAAAATGTACAAATATGATGCTTTTATTCATATATTATTCAGCTAATTTTTATGCTCTCAGAAGGGTGGGCATATAGTCGCCGCTTTGTCCATCCCTCCATCAGTAATTCTTGTCCGGGACATAACTTTGAAGCAACAAGAGGTATCAACATGATACTACTAGATATATCTTATTGAGTTAAAGTGCAGTGCAAAAGAATCATAACTCTGTCTTGCCTAATTTTGGAGTTATTCCCCTTCGTTCATTTTTACACTTGACATAACTCTGACACTAAAAAAATATTCATTCCTGTGTCCAAAACCTATTCGGAGAGCATCACCTGGTTCAACCGGCTCTTGTTTGTATTTATTACCAGAAAAAAAATTAAAAACTGTTTATATTAGAAATAGAATGATATTTTTATCCTCATTTAAAATTTAATTTAGTTTGTTTAGTAAGCTACCTCTCAGTTTTGAGGCATATAAAGAAGAAATGCACCCCATTTCTCAGTCTGTGAAATTTTTGTGAGTTTTCATATAGACATATAGGCAAAATTAAAACTGTTCAATAGCATTTCTTAATTCTTGCATTTATCCTGGATTTTGTTTTACTGGTACTTAACCAAGCTGAAAATTGTTAAAGACACTGCCCCACTGATAGTCTTTGTTACATTTGTTTGATACATGTACCAAGTCAAAAAGTCTCATTTTTGTATGAGTGTATAAATGTAGAATGAAATATGTAAAGCTGCCTGTAAATAAATGTGCCTGAAAAATGCTTGTGAACAATAAAAGTCAAGTAATATGGCTCCTTAGTCAAAACTGATCTTGTTCTCCATAGAAACTCTCTAGTTTTCCAAAGGGAAATCTAAAAAACAAAGTAACTGTTTGGTACAATAATAATTTGATAGATATTTTACTGTGATTTTGTCAAATTATTTTGATATGTCCAGGAAAAATTCTAATAGTCAATAAAAGTACAGTTTGTATATGTTTATTCTCTTGTTTGTTGATTTACTTTACAAAAATATATTCATGAAGTACTTTTATCCTTGTTATACCCCTGCACAACAAAGTTGTAAGGGGGGTATACTGGAATCAGCTTGTCCGTCTGGCTGTCCGGCCGTCTGTCGTTTTTTTCTTGTCCGCCCAATAACTTAAGATTCCTTTGACCCTTAGTCTTCATATTTGGCATGGAGGTTAGTCATGATTAGTAGATGACCCCTATTGATTTTGAGGTCACTATGTCAAAGGTCAAGGTCACAGGGGCCTTGACTTCAAAAAGCTTGTCCGCCCAATAACTTAAGATTCCTTTGACCCACAGTCTTCATATTTGGCATTGAGGTTAGTCATGATTAGTAGATGACCCCTATTGATTTTGAGGTCACCAGGTCAAAGGTCAAGGTCACAGGGGCCTTGACTTCCAAAAGCTTGTCCGCCCAATAACTTAAGATTCCTTTTACCCACAGTCTTCATATTTGGCATGGAGGTTAGTCATGATTAGTAGATGACCCCTATTGGTTTTGTGGTCACCAGGTCAAAGGTCAAGGTCACAGGGGCCTTGACTTCAAAAAGCTTGTCCGCCCAATAACTTAAGATTCCTTTGACCCACAGTCTTCAAATTTGGCATGGAGGTTAGTCATGATTAGTAGATGACCACTATTGATTTTGTGGTCACCAGGTCAAAGGTCAAGGTCACAGGGGCCTTGACTTCAAAAAGCTTGTCCGCCCAATAACTTAAGATTCCTTTGACCCACAGTCTTCATATTTGGAATGGAGGTTAGTCATGATTAGTAGATGACCCCTATTGATTTTGAGGTCACCAGGTCAAAGGTCAAGGTCACAGGGACTTGACTTCAAAAGTTTGTCTGCCCAATAACTTTAGATTCCTTTGACCCACAGTCTTCATATTTGGCATGGATGTTGATCATGATTAGTAGATGACCCCTTTTGATTTTGAGGTCACTGGATCAAAGGTCAAGGTCACAGGGACTTTGACTTAAAAAGTTTGTCCACCCATTAACTTACGATTCCTTTGACCCACAGTCTTCATATTTGACATGGATGTTGATCATGACTATAAGGTGACCCCTATTTATTTTGAGGTCACTGGGTCAAAGGTCAAGGTCACAGGGACCTTGACAAAAAAAAAGCTTTTCTTCTCAATTGTTAAAGAATGTCCTGTCCGCAATGTATTGATTTTGACATTTTCACATTTGAAGCATGTAGAATACATAACTTAGCAATGCACTGGCTTAGTAACCTCAGATTTGGCAGGGAGGTTGTTCTTGAGCTCTAAATGGCCACTGTTGATTCTGACAAAGTGGTATGCGGGGGTATTCACGCCATGATAGTGGCAGTTCTAGTTGAATTTAGTATTGCCTTTGTCAACTTTGGTATTGGCATATCAAATGTAGTATTGCCTTTGTCAAAGGTGGTATTACCTTTGTTAATTGTTGTTTCATCTTAACAACATGTGGTAGTGGCTATGGTGATTGAGATATGGCCATTGTCAGAACTTAATGTGGTATTGACTTTGTCAAATGTTCTATGACTTTTGTCAAATGTGGTGTTACCTTTCAGGAATGTGGTATTGCCTTTGTCAAATGTGGTATCACCTTTATTGATTTTGGTATGGCATTTGTCAAATGTGGTATCATCTTTGTTAAATGTGGTACTGCTTTTATTAAATTTACTATCACCTCTGTCATATGTGGTATCATTCTTCTTGAATATGATATTGTTTTTGTCAAATGTGGTATTACCTCTATTGAATGTGGTGTTTATCAAATGTAGCATGGTCTCTCTTGATTCTATTATTGCCTTTGACAAATTAGGTTTCTTCTTTGTCAAATGTGGTTGCATTGCCTTTGTCAGGTTTGATGTGGATCATGTCAAATATCATCATTGTCAAATGTGGAATGCATGTAGGAATGTCTGCCATGTATTCCTGAAAATTGTTTGAGAATTTACCTAGTTGTTTTTTTATCATAGGTTTATTGTTAAAACATTTATTCCTTTGAACATTACTGTCAGTTACTATTTGAAGTGTAACATATTCAATTATTCATGAGTATTAAAATTATGGAACATGTGTTGGTTCTTTTTGACTTTTGGTACTGTGTTGAAATTTTTAAAAAAGACATTTAAAAATATTATTTACTTATTGACATCATCAAATTAGTGAAATAATTGGGAATACCTGTATAAGACAAAACGTTTCATCAGAATCACTTACGTTGCCAGTACAACGTGACTTTCTGATTATCATGGGGCAGAAAACCAATACAAAAGACAGTTGATTTTTTTTCGTTGTTTTTCTTTCTGAAGGTGAAACTGCCTGAATATCTGATTGTTCAAACTCGCATTTTCGTCTCCTTTTCAATTATTTTCTGTAAAAATACTGATTTTCCCCTTAAACATTCTATGTATGTGTAAAGTGTTTTAAACAGATTCTGAATTTGAAAGACCGTAGTATGTGTTACTCATTATGCCCCTGAAACAAAGTTTTAGGAGGGGGGGCAGGGGGTTTATAGGAGTCACCTGGTGGTCTGTCGGTCCAGCGGTCTGTTGCTTTATCCTTGTCCGAAGCATAACTTGAAGACTTATGGTTGGAATTCAAAACAACTTCATACTATGGTCAATCACATTAAGAGGAAGTGCAGTGCACAAGAACCATAACTTTGTCTTGACTAATTACAGAGTTATTGCCTTTTGTTACTTTTCCTTGTCCGGAGCATAACTTGAAAACTACAAGATGGAATTCAAAACAACTTCATACAATGGTCAAGCACAATAAGATGAAGTGCATTGCTTAAGAACCTTAACTCTATCTTAAGTAATTGCAGAGTTATTGCACTTTGTTACTTTTCCATTTCTTTTTCCTTGTAGAGAGCATAACTTGAAAACCACTAGTTGGAATTCAATACAACTTATTACAATGGTCAATAACATTGAGCGAAAGTGCAGTGCACAAGAACCATTACTCCATTTTGACTAATTACAGAGTAATTGCCCTTTGTTACTTTTCCCTGTCCGGAGCATAAATTGAAAAGAACTGGTTCGTATTCCAAACAACTTCATACAATGATCAAGCACAATAACAGGATGTGCAGTGCACAAGAACCATAATTCTATCCAGAGTAATTATAGACTTATTGCCCCTTGTTACTTTTCCATTGCTTTTTTCTTGTCCGGAGCATAACTTGAAAACCACTAGTTGGAATTCAGTACAACTTCATAATTCCTTGTCTGGTGCATAACTTAAAGGTAATGTTCAATGCAACTTCATACAATAGTCCAGCTATGAGAGGAAGTGCAGTGCTTAAGAACGGTAACTCTTTCTGGACTTATTACAGAGTAATTCAATAAAACTTCATCAACGGTCATCCACAGTGAAAGTCAATGCAACTTGCAAGAAGCACAACTATCTTTAATTGCCCACAACCATAACTCTATTTTAAATAACTTCCTTATTTCCGAAGCAGTCTTGCGGAGGTATTAATTCCAGATATAATTAGACGGTTCTACGTGATTAAAAATAATAAAATTTGTCAAAAGTTATAGGCAAAAAAATGTACCGTGTATGCCTTACGCTGATTATAAAACGTGACATGGTATAGACGCTGTGTCCTTGAACAGACACGTTTTCACAAGTTTACATGAATATAATATTACATGCTCATGTTTGTTATTTTTAATCAGTTACGAAGCTGTTACACACATTTGTCAACTTGCTGTATTGTACAGTTGAAGATTGCTTTCATGTGGACAATGAGATTTCCGACAAAATGAAATCAGATTGAAAAGTGAATAGAATGATTGCATGATATGAATATGTTTTCCATAATAGGTTAATAAAGACAGAACAATGTGAATTTGTACCATTGCACACTCGGTAGCTGGAAACATAAGTATTTTGGATATCGTAGTAGCTAAAACTTGGATATGAATAGAACTGATCACGTACTTTATTTGGAATGACACATAACAAATTACAAGTAAAATATAATAACATCTGAACAGTCAGTATAGTGGCTTGGCTATTTCGTATACCACAGTATCATTGGCACGTGCCTCGTTACGAATAAAATAGCGATTAAAATTTCTTTTAATGTTTATTATTCAACTGGAAATGAATAAACGTATCTATATGCGCATGCGTCAGTTCTTTATAAATTTGATTATGTAATCAATCGGCATTCTGGTTGGACAATGGAAACAAGAGGCGGGTGACTGAAGCAAGCATTAACAATTCTGATGGGCTCTGCATTCTGGTTGGACAATCGAAAAGCGAGGTTGGTGCCTGTAGCAAGCATTAATAATTCTGATTGGCTCTGCGATTGATTAATCATCGAGGAAAGAAATGGACAGAAATATATAATAAAATTCATTCAAGCAGCATAACGCATTGAACGTTAGGACATATCGCTATCAAAATTTTAACCTATATTGGAAATTATGTATTACAAAATATCGCTGTTTTTGATCGTGTTGTTTGGACGTGTTTGCTCACAGGTCAGAATTATAGATCATTTCATATCAAACAATACTTTAAATAACAGTAATTAACAATGCCATTCAATTCAAATCTTTCTATGGCATTTTCGGCCTTTTATTTCTTTGATTTCTACAAAGTACATCATCATAAAAATAAAATATGGTAAAATATGGTATACAATACGCTGTGAGGTTGCCAGTAGAATTTCTATTACTGCTATGATTGAGAAAAAATTTACTTATTACTCATAACATTATTTTTGTAAACAATGTACATTCTATTGTATATTCTAAGTATTATATTGTACTTTGTGTTACCATGATCACGTGACGAGATAATTGTTTTATTTATCTATTTGCATGACGATGTACCATGTACAAGTCTAAATAAAACGTATGTTCTGTTCTGTTATTTTCATATACGTCATATAATTTCAGAGTAACAAATACATTGCAATAATATAAAAGACAAAAATAATGCTTATATTCAAACATTATATGTTGTTAAGCCTCAGTTAAACGAGGATAAACATATCAACAAATATTTTGTATTATCATGAACATAATTTATTATTGAATTTCTAATAGTCATAACTTTTTATAATAAACTGCTAATTTGCATAGCTCATTCCTATTTTTACTTTGTAACAGCGCTATAAATTTAAACAAACTTGGATTTACAAAATTGTATCTTTTGATATAAATGCTACGAATACTTGAATAACATTGACATATGAGAATAAAATGAATTTCATCTTCCAGGTCTCTTACAGAACAACATTGACAATAACGTTCATGTCTTTGCATTCTATTTCTAGCATATCTTCCAGTTTGTATTCTTAGGCTATGTATCTAGTAATAAATCGTCTCAAGTGAGTAGGCATCAAATCAAAATATTCTGCGTCATAAAAGTTTAGCTTACACACATTATATAAATCTAGTACAGAACTTGATTCTTTCGATACATGCCATCCTTGTATAAAACAATCAATAATTCGTTGTCTAAATTTTAAAATCAATAATATATGGGTTATTCCAGACATCTTTAAAACCATAGTCACACAAAAGCTTTTTAACATATGTTACCCAGTTACATAACTCTTATTACATTATCATTTAATGCTAACTGGTAAACTGAGCGTAAAATAATATTTTCTGTATATAGCAACGTAAACCAATATTTAATAATGCGTATATAACGGGATATGAACAAAGGATACCTTCCTAACTCTCCATATACACAAACCGTACAGGTAGTATTTTTTACTTACAAAATCATTTTACAAAATTTCAAATGTATTCTTTCAATCTGTTTTGATTTTGTGAAGCCCCATATTTCTGAAGAATAATTCAAAATCGAGCCAACAAAAGAATCAAATAACTGACATAATAACCTGGGTTTAAAATCCTACTTTTTACAATTTAAAAGCATAACATTCAACGCCTTTAACGCTTTACCTGTAACGTATTCCTGATTTAGTGAAAAATTACCAGTATAATTAAAAACTGTTCCAAGATAATTAAAATCATTCACTACTTCAATATTATTACCATTATATGACCAAAACTCGTTTTCTAATAAACGCCCTCTTTTTCTAAATACAACAATTTTAGTTTTCTCTGTATTTACTTCTAATCCCCAATTTTGACAATATTCATATAATTTATCTAAATGCATTTGCAATTCCTGAGGGGTTTTACCTAATATCACCATATCATCAGCAAAGAAAAGTGAAAGTAAAACAATTTGTTCTATATCAAGTACGGAGCTGATATTTTCCTGTAAAAACAATTCTAGATCTTCTAAAGTACTCAAAATACTCGTTACATGACCTAACACAAGATTTAACTTTAGTATACATGTCCCTTATAATTCTTAATAATTTACCTTGTACTCCTAAGTTATAAAATTTCATCCACAATGCATTTCTATATATAGTATCAAAACATTTTTAAAACAACAAATACACAGTATAATCTTTTATTTTCATTTAGATAATATTGCACTATATTTAACAGTATAAATAAAACATCTATAGTTGATTTACCCTTTCAAAATCCAAACTGTGGATCAGATATAACATTATTATTTTCACAAAAGGACGTGATACGTTTATTTAAGATTATAGTGAATACCTTAGAAAAGCAACTAGTTTAACTAGTGTAATACCCCTATAATTGTTAACATCATTCTTATCACCTTACTTATGTACTGGTACAATAACACCTTCCATCCATTTATTCGGAAAATATCCAGAATCTAAAATTGCATTAAAATCATTAGATCTACAAATATGCAACCCTAAAATATCAACACTTTCAATCAAATAGTCATTCAAAATAAAATCACTACCAAACGCTTCTCCCCTTTTACATACAACACATATTCATATAAATCACTTGAAATATGACATGCATATATAAAACACATACTATGTAAAATCTACATATAAAATATATATTCTTTTTTAAAGTTGTTTCTAATGCACTAGATTTTAATGCAAATTCTTTATCTAGGAATTAATATAATGGTAATATTTAACTACTATTGCCTGTTGAGATAATGTTACATTTGACTATTCAATGACCTTTGTCAGAAAGTATTTCCGAAAACCATACGGATTTTAATTAAGAAATAATATATCCCAAACTCTGATTTTATTGCTCAATAACATCACTGTTTGGAGTTCGGATGCGAGGAATTATATCACGAGGGCGTAGCCCGAGTGATATAATGATGCGCATCCGAACGACAAACAGTGATGTTATCAAGCAATAAAATCACCGATTTGGATATATTATTTCGATTCTAACACGACATCAACAAATAAATGCTGCCGTACCTGATATTTAGCTAAATTGCGCCTGATTTGTTTCCGTACTTATTGTCAGCGCGTCACATTTTTAGTGGTTACGTCACGTGTATAATGATTACGTCACATGTCTAAATATAGAACGTCAAACAGTGATTTTATAGCATATTCTAACACGACCCGCATTTTTCCCTATTGAACATAGAAGAACAGAAAGTGTGTGTTATTATGCAACAGATGCACAGTTTGACGTTCTATATTTAGACATGTGACGTAGTCATTATACACGTGACGTAACCACTAAAAATCCGACGCGCTGAAAATAAGTACGGAAACAAACCAGGCGCAATTTTGCTTAAGTTATAACTATCAAGTACGGCAACATTTATTTGTTGATGTCGTGTTAGAATCGGAATAATATATCCAAATCTGTGATTTTATCGCTTGATAACATCACTGTTTGTCGTTCGGATGCGCATCATTATATCACTCGGGCTACGCCCTCGTGATATAATTCCTCGCATCCGAACTCCAAACAGTGATGTTATTGAGCGATAATATCACTGTTTGGGATATATTATTTCTTAAATAACACACACTTTCGGTTCTTCTATGATCAATAGGGAAAAATGCGAGTCGTGTTACAATTTTTGGTAACAACCTAGAACTACCAGCAAAACACTTTATTGCCTTACTAGCCTCTGTTATGTAAAAGGTGTTAGACTTTTGTATATATATAGTTTCAAATTGAAGATTGTAGGTTCGAATTAAATATCCTATATGTTGTAATTTAGGATGTTACATACAGTAAAGTTGAAATTTTATATATGTATATAATTATTCTTTTAAAACAATACCCAAACATTAAAGAATGTGTTAAATATGTACTGCAAATGTGTATACGCATTATAGATAATCATTAAAATATATGCGTTCATTTCATATTGAAAAATTTGGCTTAAATAAATTTCTATATTACCTCCCTTTATTTACATGAAATGTAAATTCGGTTATATATTTATAAATAATGCTTTTTGAACTTACAATATTGATAAATCTTCATTTGAGCATCATATTTATGATATAAAACCATAAAAAATTGAGTTACAAGATCTTTTAATTAACTAGTTTGTTTGTTTGTTTTTTTGTATGAATTCAATTATATTTGCATAACTTGACCAGACCATAATGTGTTATGCTTGCGAATCACTTTTGACTTTTTGATACTTTTGTGTGCCTTCTTGTTTTTCTCATCTTTGTTTTATATTATCATTGAACAAAGCCATAGTGTCTTATCACCCCCCCCCCTCTTATCACCCCCTCTTATCACCCCCCCCCCCTTCTTGCATAAAATTATCAGGGCTTGCCGAGAACAGCAATTTGCTTTTGCATGTGCACCAGATATTTAACTTTGCTGTAAATAATGAATTAGAAAGTAAAACTTTATTTTTCAATTTTTTTAGAGCTGGGATGATTACCTTGACAATTTGATTGAACAGTCTAAAGACGGAGCGGGACAAGCCCAGTGTGACAAAGCTGCCATCTTTAGTTTGGATGGAGGCGCCCCCTGGACATCAACAGATTATCCAAATGCACTTAATCTGTCACAAGATGAAAGATCAGATATATCAAAAGGTTTCAATTCATTGTCATTGGACGGCATCTTTTTATTGACGAAAATAACTGTCGAGGGAATAAATTATGACTTTTTAATTGAATATGACAATAATCTTGTATTATACAAAAACAAGGGCCACGGTTCGATAATTATTCAACGTTCTGTCACAGCATTAGTTGCTTGTCATGTCGTTGAAGGGGGTCACGTGGAATATGCTGTTAAAGCTGTGATCACCGTGGCAGATCATTTCGAGGCTTCTGGGTTTTAAAGGGTAAATTATACACAAAGGCAACAATAATACATTTTTAAAAGTGTTTCGAGAATATAATTTATGAATTGTACAATATGTAAGCTTAATGCAAAAGTTCTTAATTTATCCGAAGAGTTTCCAGGTTCTGTTAAACTGGTCGACAGATCACAAAATGAGTAAACCAATGCGTTTTTACTCGGCACCAGTGGATCATTTTCAAAAAAGTGAACTTTCTCTAAATATTCTTGAACATTATTTAAAGTAATGTTTCGTTACACATTTATGTAGAGTACGTTTGCATTAAATTGAAAATTATTACAATTTATAAAAAAAGAATGGTCTTGCATTTTTAATATTATTAGTTAGATCTAATGAAAAAATAGCTCTTAGATATATTTAACTGTTACTTTTTTGTGATATCAAGACATGTTAGTATGATTACATACAACATTCGGGAATCGAGCATATTTAATTATGCAATCTATTCAATAGATTTTTATTTTTTTATTTTCTTTATTTGCATGTACGGTAACGATAAAAAAGTGTAACAACAATGCCAGGAGGTCATATTGTATTAAACAATGTTTAAATGGCTCATCAATTTTTAGCATTTTGTCAGAATTGTGTTACTTCAAATACCAAATACGATTTAATACTTGGAAATGTAAATATGCTAGACGGAGTACAACCAGGATGCAATATGGATATATTTCGGACTCGGGGGGGGGGGGGGGGGGAATGAAAAGGATTTTGCAAAAGAGAAAAATGGACATAAACTAAACTATGGAACAGAATTAATGCATTTATACTATTTTGCTTGATGACATTGGAACTTGCATTATGCTTGATTCCATCTTGCTTCATGACATTGGAACTTGCATTTTGCTTGATTCCATCTTGTTTGATGAAATTGGAACTTGCAATATGCTTGATTCAATCTTGCTTTATGATATTTAAAATTTGCATTAAGCTGCAGTCCATTTTTCATTATTTCATTCAAACTTTCGTAGTGACTAATTCTTACATTGGGTGATAACTATTAAACTTGCACAAGCCATTTATCGTACTGTTTTGGAAGATTAAAATGTTAACGTCATATACCTTTATGTATAAGCTACCTTTCATCATGCTCTATACAAGCTATATATACGGTTTAGTTCTTTTTTGTATTACTTTTATGTAGAAGTCATTAAAATAGAATGTAGAAGTCATTAAAATCGACTATTTTTATGCTATTTTTACTATTTTCAAATTCGATTTTGTACAACTAGAGACGGTCTTCTTTGCACATGAAAAAGCCTAAAGCGCTAACTCAAGTAATATGTCCAGGAGATTTCCGCATGGCTTGGTCATTTTTTGCACCGGCGATTTGTTCTTTCTCTATGTAAATTTCGGGAAGAAACATCATATTCACGAGCCTACCATTCAAAAACCATTTGATCAATTCCGTTGCAAATTTGATTTTGTACAACTTGAGGGGGTCTTCTTTGCACATGATAAGGCTTAAAGCCCTAACCCAAGGAACACGTCCATGAGATCTCCGCATGGCTAGGTCACTTGCCAGCGATTTGCTTTTTCTGTATATAAATTTCGGAAACAAACATCAATTTTACGAGCTTACCGTTCAAAAGCCATTTGACCAATTCCAATGCAAATTCGATTTTGTACAACTAGAGAGGGTCTTCTTTGCACATGAAAAGGCCTTAAGCCCTAACCCAAGTAATATGTCCAGGAGATTTCCGCATGGCTTGGTCATTTTTTGCACCGGCGATTTGTTCTTTCTCTATGTAAATTTCGGGAAGAAACATCATATTCACGAGCCTACCATTCAAAAACCATTTGATCAATTCCGTTGCAAATTTGATTTTGTACAACTTGAGGGGGTCTTATTTGCACATGATAAGGCTTAAAGCCCTAACCCAAGGAACACGTCCATGAGATCTCCGCATGGCTAGGTCACTTGCCAGCGATTTGCTTTTTCTGTATATAAATTTCGGAAAAAAACATCAATTTTACGAGCTTACCGTTCAAAAGCCATTTGACCAATTCCAATGCAAATTCGATTTTGTACAACTAGAGAGGGTCTTCTTTGCACATGAAAAGGCCTAAAGCCCTAACCCAAGTAATAAGTCCAGGAGATTTCCGCATGGCTTGGTCATTTTTTGCACCGGCGATTTGTTCTTTCTCTATGTAAATTTCGGGAAGAAACATCACATTCACGAGTCTACCATTCAAAAACCATTTGATCAATTCCGTTGCAAATTTGATTTTGTACAACTTGAGGGGGTCTTATTTGCACATGATAAGGCTTAAAGCCCTAACCCAAGGAACACGTCCATGAGATCTCCGCATGGCTAGGTCACTTGCCAGCGATTTGCTTTTTCTGTATATAAATTTCGGAAAAGAACATCAATTTTACGAGCTTACCGTTCAAAAGCCATTTGACCAATTCCAATGCAAATTCGATTTTGTACAACTAGAGAGGGTCTTCTTTGCACATGAAAAGGCCTAAAGCCCTAACCCAAGTAATAAGTCCAGGAGATTTCCGCATGGCTTGGTCATTTTTTGCACCGGCGATTTGTTCTTTCTCTATGTAAATTTCGGGAAGAAACATCACATTCACGAGTCTACCATTCAAAAACCATTTGATCAATTCCGTTGCAAATTTGATTTTGTACAACTTGAGGGGGTCTTCTTTGCACATGATAAGGCTTAAAGCCCTAACCCAAGGAACACGTCCATGAGATCTCCGCATGGCTAGGTCACTTGCCAGCGATTTGCTTTTTCTGTATATAAATTTCGGAAACAAACATCAATTTTACGAGCTTGCCATTCAAAAGCCATTTGACCAATTCCAATGCAAATTCGATTTTGTACAACTAGAGAGGGTCTTCTTTGCACATGAAAAGGCCTAAAGCCCTAACCCAAGTAATATGTCCAGGAGATTTCCGCATGGCTTGGTCATTTTTTGCACCGGCGATTTGTTCTTTCTCTATGTAAATTTCGGGAAGGAACATCATATTCACGAGCCTACCATTCAAAAACCATTTGATCAATTCCGTTGCAAATTTGATTTTGTACAACTTGAGGGGGTCTTCTTTGCACATGATAAGGCTTAAAGCCCTAACCCAAGGAACACGTCCATGAGATCTCCGCATGGCTAGGTCACTTACCAGCGATTTGCTTTTTCTGTATATAAATTTCGGAAACAAACATCAATTTTACGAGCTTGCCATTCAAAAGCCATTTGATCAATTCCAATGCAAATTCGATTTTGTACAACTAGAGAGGGTCTTCTTTGCACATGAAAAGGCCTAAAGCCCTAACCCAAGTAATATGTCCAGGAGATTTCCGCAGGGCTTGGTCATTTTTTGCACCGGCGATTTGTTCTTTCTCTATGTAAATTTCGGGAAGGAACATCATATTCACGAGCCTACCATTCAAAAACCATTTGATCAATTCCGTTGCAAATTTGATTTTGTACAACTTGAGGGGGTCTTCTTTGCACATGATAAGGCTTAAAGCCCTAACCCAAGGAACACGTCCATGAGATCTCCGCATGGCTAGGTCACTTACCAGCGATTTGCTTTTTCTGTATATAAATTTCGGAAACAAACATCAATTTTACGAGCTTGCCATTCAAAAGCCATTTGATCAATTCCAATGCAAATTCGATTTTGTACAACTAGAGAGGGTCTTCTTTGCACATGAAAAGGCCTAAAGCCCTAACCCAAGTAATATGTCCAGGAGATTTCCGCATGGCTTGGTCATTTTTTGCACCGGCGATTTGTTCTTTCTCTATGTAAATTTCGGGAAGGAACATCATATTCACGAGCCTACCATTCAAAAACCATTTGATCAATTCCGTTGCAAATTTGATTTTGTACAACTTGAGGGGGTCTTCTTTGCACATGATAAGGCTTAAAGCCCTAACCCAAGGAACACGTCCATGAGATCTCCGCATGGCTAGGTCACTTACCAGCGATTTGCTTTTTCTGTATATAAATTTCGGAAACAAACATCAATTTTACGAGCTTGCCATTCAAAAGCCATTTGACCAATTCCAATGCAAATTCGATTTTGTACAACTAGAGAGGGTCTTCTTTGCACATGAAAGGGCCTAAAGCCCTAACCCAAGTAATATGTCCAGGAGATTTCCGCATGGCTTGGTCATTTTTTGCACCGGCGATTTGTTCTTTCTCTATGTAAATTTCGGGAAGGAACATCATATTCACGAGCCTACCATTCAAAAACCATTTGATCAATTCCGTTGCAAATTTGATTTTGTACAACTTGAGGGGGTCTTCTTTGCACATGATAAGGCTTAAAGCCCTAACCCAAGGAACACGTCCATGAGATCTCCGCATGGCTAGGTCACTTACCAGCGATTTGCTTTTTCTGTATATAAATTTCGGAAACAAACATCAATTTTACGAGCTTGCCATTCAAAAGCCATTTGATCAATTCCAATGCAAATTCGATTTTGTACAACTAGAGAGGGTCTTCTTTGCACATGAAAAGGCCTTAAGCCCTAACCCAAGTAATATGTCCAGGAAATTTCCGCATGGCTTGGTCATTTTTTGCACCGGCGATTCGTTCTTTCTCTATGTAAATTTCGGGAAGAAACATCATATTCACGAGCCTACCATTCAAAAACCATTTGATCAATTCCGTTGCAAATTTGATTTTGTACATTTTGAGGGGGTCTTCTTTGCACATGATAAGGCTTAAAGCCCTAACCCAAGGAACACGTCCGTGAGATCTCCGCATGGCTAGGTCACTTGCCAGCGATTTGCTTTTTCTGCATATAAATTTCGGAAACAAACATCAATTTTACGAGCTTACCGTTCAAAAGCCATTTGACCAATTCCAATGCAAATTCGATTTTGTACAACTAGAGAGGGTCTTCTTTGCACATGAAAAGGCCTTAAGCCCTAACCCAAGTAATATGTCCAGGAAATTTCCGCATGGCTTGGTCATTTTTTGCACCGGCGATTCGTTCTTTCTCTATGTAAATTTCGGGAAGAAACATCATATTCACGAGCCTACCATTCAAAAACCATTTGATCAATTCCGTTGCAAATTTGATTTTGTACATTTTGAGGGGGTCTTCTTTGCACATGATAAGGCTTAAAGCCCTAACCCAAGGAACACGTCCGTGAGATCTCCGCATGGCTAGGTCACTTGCCAGCGATTTGCTTTTTCTGCATATAAATTTCGGAAACAAACATCAACTTTACGAGCTTACCGTTCAAAAGCCATTTGACCAATTCCAATGCAAATTCGATTTTGTACAACTAGAGAGGGTCTTCTTTGCACATGAAAAGGCCTTAAGCCCTAACCCAAGTAATATGTCCAGGAAATTTCCGCATGGCTTGGTCATTTTTTGCACCGGCGATTTGTTCTTTCTCTATGTAATTTTCGGGAAGGAACATCATATTCACGAGCCTACCATTCAAAAACCATTTGATCAATTCCGTTGCAAATTTGATTTTGTACATTTTGAGGGGGTCTTCTTTGCACATGATAAGGCTTAAAGCCCTAACCCAAGGAACACGTCCATGAGATCTCCGCATGGCTAGGTCACTTGCCAGCGATTTGCTTTTTCTGCATATAAATTTCGGAAAAAAACATCAATTTTACGAGCTTACCGTTCAAAAGCCATTTGACCAATTCCAATGCAAATTCGATTTTGTACAACTAGAGAGGGTCTTC